TCAACAGCCAAACCATAAAAAGGTTTCTTGTCCTTTTTTGCCCAAGCAATCATATTGTAAATTGAAAGGACTCTGTGAATAGTTTCTCTGCCGTCTTCACCACCAAATTGAGCTAATGATAATCTTCCCTTTAACACTTCCTTCAATCTTTTGGTGATTAATTTAGTAGCTATTTTAAGTCCTGAGTCCATAAGGGCAATAGGTCTATAGTTAGCAGGGTTTGAGTGGTCCTTATTCTTTTTGTGAATTGGGAGAATGCTGACACTTTGCATAGATTCAGGAGTAAATCCAGTTGTAATGATATTTTCAATAATTTGAAAAATTTCCTCCTGTAATTCCTTACACATGTATTTGATAGTTTTTTGTCTTAAACCTAGTTCATTGGGTGCTGTGGATTTCAAATTCTGAATTATCCATTCTTTCTCTTCCGTGGTAATTCTATCGAGTATTTTGTCATTGCAATTATCAATTAATGAATGTTTGTACTTGAAAAACTTGGTAATGTCAATTTGATGATTTCTTCCTCTAAAGTTGAGGTTTTGTTGATATTTGTCCTTGATCACATTGGCAACTTCATTGGGGTCACTAATTTCAGTTCCGTCGATAGATAATTTGTATGGTGGTGATGACGTTTTGTAAATTTTATTTCTCAGATGTTTAGAGTTGATTGCATAGTTTTGTTCCCACCATTTCATCTTTCTGTTCAAAGCCTTATCATGGCTCCATTTGATATGGTTCTTGATTTTCTCTTTGACACTTGCAAGACATTTTGGAACCTGTTCTAAAGTTTTACCAATAGTGGTCAAAAGTTTGTCACAAGGATATCCGTGCTCATTTCTATCAAGTATTAACATGAGCTTCTTATATTGCTTATTATATTTGTAGATTTTAGGATCAAGTTTAGGTGGATTGACCTCCACAAATTTGTAGCCTAGTTTATCACAAATGAAAAGCCATTTGTCGTTATCAGATTCTAAATTCTTAACTTGAGATACACATTCTTTGCTAAAGGCCAGCACTTCTTTCTTATTTTTGGGATCTTGAAAGTTACGCTTCTTCCGAATTAACAAAGGTGTTCGTTGACATGAGAGGTCAAGTAGAATTTTAACCATTTTGTGATCTGATATGAAGTTGGCATTCAGTACTTCTCCAGATGCAATTGGAAAATCTGTGGATATGTAGTCTATTATAGACTTGGATTGTTTGTTAATAGTATAATGAAGGTGCCATGATAAATGAGGGAAAGGATAGTAATTAAGATTTCTCTTGTTAATAAGATCTAGTATGTTTTGATCAGTTCTTCTAGATTCGTTTGAGGAGTGATTCTCGGATAAAATCGCATTGTAATCACCTCCAATAATGATTTTGTAGTTAGGATATTTTTCAATTAGGTTGTCAAGAATATATGCGAATTCACATCTGTCAGCTGGTTGATTTGGAAAGTACGCAGAAATTACTAGAGTATTAATTGAATTGATTTTACATTTCACGCCAATAATTCGCGCGTTATTCTTAATGATCGGATCTAAGATGATTTCTTCAATATCTTTGAAAGTGCTTTTGTTGAGGCAAATAGATACACCACAGGAATCTCTTGGATTGTGATAATATGTAAATGAAGAATAATATATAGAGGGGAAAATCTGGACCAATGTAGACGCTTTTAACTTCCTGGAGCATGATTATATCAGGAGTGATTGAGTTGAGGTAGCCTCTTAGGGCTGATAATGGTTCTGCTCTGAGACCATTAATGTTGAGGGTTTGAATAGATAATTCTGGAGCTACTGAAGTGAATCAAGTAGTTTTAGCTTTTTGTGACACTCATCAATTTCCTCTTGATATATCTTCCTCTTGGTATTATCTTTTGTACAACCAGACAGAAATGTTAGAGTAGCAATTCTATTGGTAATCATTAATTCTTCATTATTTGCTCTGATAATATTAGCCATTTCCTTAAATGCCATAGCCAATTTCTGATTCTGTCTTGCCTCAAGTTCTGAAATTCTTTTATCCATAGAAGCTTCAATTCTCATGATTTCTTTTAGGTGATCTTGTTGCACTTTTTCAAGAGTAAAGGAAACGTCTTTCGCTGCAATTTTAGAAGATCTGCCTAAATTTTGTGAAATTTTGTGAACTGTATCAGGTTTCTTTTCCAGGAAATCTTCTAGCATTGGATAATTGAGAGCAAAATCCAATGTCCATTCATTCATGCAGCATGGTTTACTAATCTGATGGCATTAGATAGATTGTTGAGTCTAATCAAACATATTCTCTTCTCTTGCTTGATGATAAGTATGGATACAGGTTGGTCATTATTGTATTTTCTGGCAAGAGAGGATTCCGTTTGTATTCTAGCTCTAATCAAATCATTTCTTTCAGGCCATCTACCAATGATGTCAGAGTATTGCACATCCATTGCATAGTTGAATGGTATGTCGATTTTCATAGTGACTGTTTCCTCTGTTCTAGGAATAGTGATATCATATGTTTTTGCCTTACATAGATTATTTCTGGCTTTCATACTTTTGACAGTGATCACTGCTGCCATTTCTTTACCAATTCTAGCTGTAGCAATTTCAACAATGGGTTCACCAGTATCGCTTTCAATTGCATTCCTCCAATCTGCCTTGACTATAGTTTTCCATAGTTCTCCTATTGGAATATTATGGACACGTATAATTTTGTTGGTGTCGTTTTCACATGATGAAGTGATATTGACTTCTTTAAATTTTGTACGTAATGTTTCAACAGCCTGTTCTACTTGAGCGCAATCTTCAATAGTGACAATTATGGTATTATTGAGCTTAATAATCGGATTGATGGTGATATATTTGCCACTAAGGTTGACCTTAATTAATTCAATTACCTCATTCTCTTCAAATATTTTGCTATATCTAACAGCAATATATCTGGTAGGAGTGATTTCCTTCACTGCTATGTCATTGATGTTGAATTCTTCATTGTCTTGTTGGACATTACTACTTTACTTGTTCTCAGATAATAGTTTGTTAATATTCTTCATTCTTTCCTTCCATAACTCCCAAACATGTTTTCTGTCCTTATGGTTTTTAAAAGCCTTTCTTTCTGTGGTGATTTCGTATTTAATGTCATCAGAGAGTATTCTGAGAGTGGCTTTTACAACATGTTGGAAATTTAAGGTCATAGGGTTGTGTGGGCTAGCAATAACAGATACAATTTCTAAAATCTGATCAGTGTCAAGAAGAGTTCTGTTTGTATCTAGTTTAGCATTATTGTGTTTGAGAAAAGTTTTACCAACAATTTCATCAACTGACATGTCTTGTATGTTGAGGTTATTGGTCAGCTCATTATCCAACAATTCAATGTTGTCTTGGTTATTCATGCTCATACTATTAGTTTTAGCGGCCAATTTTTCATCAGCTATTGGATCAATAGTTGGGTACAATCTAGTGTCAACACTAGTAGAGCAATTGTGAGTAGGGTTGAGATTATTTGTCAAATTGGGCTCATTATCTACAGCAGAAGCAATGTAGTCGCTTAATGATTGAAGTGAGCTAGAGTGCTTGGGTCCATGATTGGATCCATGGTTGGGTCTTGTTTTACCGATCTTGCTGGGCATCCTAATTGAATTATTCTTCTTTTTTTTTAATTTGTATAAGGAATCTGGTCTTGTTGGTCTGATTAAATACCATTCAGTCAATAGCGCTTTGATCTTAATAACTGCCATCGTAATAGGGTCTTGATTACAGTTTGATCACAACGGTAACAATCTCAGTATTTATATATTGAAGAAGAGTGTATGTAATGAGGCGATGGATATGAAATGTACATGTTTTATTTATCAATGTTTATTTAACTTAGATTAATTAGCAATTAGAGTAATAAATTTTTTACATTGATTCATCGTCTTCAGGATTCAACAACTCGAATAACGAAATAGAAGTCCTCACTTTTCTTGGTACAACCATTGGTTTGTGGATACCAGAAAGTGAGAGAGGACGTGAACCAATGATGCTATTGGGCATTTCATTGACTTTTAAAGAGACAGGTGCAATCATTCGTGCTCGATCATACTTTTGAGGTGACGGTATGGTTGAAGTTATGGTTGTTGATGTATATTTGGATGAAACCAAGTGCTTGTCCATGCTAGCTGGAAGTGGACTCCTATGCATCGATTCTCGAAAACAAACATCCTTTGGATGAGCATAACGAGGTTTTCGATGAGGAGATCCATATGAAATTGTTGTAGATGTCAAATCCCTACACTGAATCAGAGGCTTCTCTAGTGTTGGTGAATCGACAGGACTTGGCTGTGTCAATTCTATAGGACTATTTGGTTTGAAAGTTGGTTTTGGAGGTTGTTGTTGAGGTGGAGATGGAATGACAATCTGAACGGGAGGAGGAACATGTCGCCGAGAAGAATGTATCTCAGTTTCAACATTGAAGTGAAGTGACAAATCCAAAGAACCATTGAATGGATTTGAAGTGGAGAATCTTTCAGTGTCTGTAAAGTAAGAGACCATGGTGAGAGGTTTTGGTCGTTTTCCCTTCTTTTGTTGTTGTTGTTGTTTGTTTGGCACAAAGGTCACGTAACTGAATTTCATTTTGTAATTTTTGTTTTAACAATGTTGTTGTTGATGTATGGAGTGATTTTGCTCAACTATTTGAAGTGTGGCGATCAACCCCAAAAGGGAGAAAGTGCAGGTCTTTTGTGACACAATACAACTCACAAATTGGATTCTTTTTACAAATGAAGGGCGATAATCGCTTCTGGGCATTTAAATGTACATGAATCATGCCAATATGTATGTCAGTTGGACCCAAAAGGAAGAAACAACAACAACAGTCATATGTCATTGTCACTATCTCATCAACAATAAAAAGAGGAGGTTTCCTTTTTCGAAGATACAATGTACTTTGAAAGATGATTTGATTTTCTCTGAATATACAAAAAGCTCGCGAGCAATTCAAGATGTGATGTTTCCGAAATTGGATAATGTTCTCGTTTCTATAGATCATGACAAACTTTCACTAACAGTCGTGTTTTGTGGTCTCTCTTTTTCGCGGGAATCAGCTCAAAACGAGAGATCAGAAACATCAGAAAGAATCAAACTCGAGATCTCAAAATGAAGAACGTGAACACCGACAGTATGGAATTGTCACGTGTTGAATATTCGGAGATGAATGATTTTCAAGAGTAAAAGTTTTCGACTCGTGAAAAGAAGTAACAACCAAATCCATTTCCTCAAGATCTAATAACTCTAGCTTCAATGATAGTGTTAGACTTGAGGGTCGTTCATCATTAAGTTCATGGATGATGATGATAGATGGTAGATGCAATCATGGATCTCACCGAAATGTGATTTATTTCATATAATGTGTGAAGTTATCCTAAAGCGCGTCCATTCCTTCTTTCATATGGATAATCAACACCCATTCGAATAAAAGAGCTTGGAATGTCAAGGATATCACTTTAATTGGACCCATTTCATGATTCACTCCTATCAAGAAAGGCGAATGGGACACAGTGAGTGTCATGGGAGTAGCAAGTCGATTGAAGTGGATTTACTTTTGAAAAACAAATTAACATAAAACAAGAACTCTAAAGAAAGATTTCACAGAAGGTTATAATGTGAAACATTTAGTTTATCATGTTCTTTAGATGTTATACTTTGCGAAAAAAACAAGTGTCAACAAGATTTCGAAATTAAAGACTTTCATTGTCTTCAGGATTCAACAACTCGAACAAGGAGATGGAAGTTCTCACTTTTCTTGGAACAGGAATCGCAACAGGCGTTTCATCACTCGATGAAGAACAATTACATGACATCATGTTGGAAAGTGTTTGTTCATGACGAGTTTGAAGAGTGAAATTTTGAAGAGTTTCTTCATCAACTTGTCGTTGTCCCTTATTAGTTTTTGAAACGACAGTCATCTTTTGGATGCCAGAAGGTGGCATTTCTGTTGGACAATGATCAACTTTGACAGCACTGACGGGTGCAATCATGAGTGATCGATCATACTTTTGAGGAGATGGAATGGTTGATGTTGTGGTTGTGGTTGTAAATGTGGATGGAGTCAAGCGTTGAGACATGCTTGGCAGTTGACTGATTTGCATGGTTTCTTTTACATACAAATCCTTTGGATGAGCAAAACGTGGTTTTCGATGAGGAGGTTGATATGAAATTGTTTTGGATGTCAAACCTTCACATGGAACCTTATTGACGAATTGTGATTTTGATGCTGCTGTTGAACGGACTGGAATTGGACGAGGAGGAATTGGTTGAGAATGTTCAGATGAATGACTTGGTTTGATTGTTGGTTTGGAAGGTTGTTGAGTTGGTTGTGGAGATAAAGGTGACTGTGGAAGAGATGGAATGACAATCTGAACGGGAGGAGGAACATGTCTTCGAGAAGAATGTAATTTCGTTTCAACATTGAAATGGAGAGATAAATCCAAAGAACCATTGAATGGATTTGAAGTGGAGAATCTTTCAGTGTCTGTAAAGTAAGAGACCATGGAGAGAGGTTTGGTTCGTTTTCCCTTCTTTTGTTGTTGTTTGTTTGGCACAAAGGTCACGTAACTGAATTTCATTTTGTAATTTTTTTGTTTTAACAATGTTGTTGTTGACGTATGGACAACCTCTTGCTTCACTATTTGAAATTTGGCGATAAACGCAGAAATGGAGAACGAGAAGGTCAATGCTCTAAACAAGAATGGAATTGAATAAGGCCATTGAGTGTTATCAAAATGACATAAGCTCGCATGGATGACAAAAAAGGCAATTAGCAAAAGGTTGTGGGCACTTTTTTCGATAAATGAGCGAAAAATGTGATCTGCTTGGCATTTAAATGCACATGAAACAATCGATTATGATTGAACGGGTGACACAAAAGGAAGAGACGACAATCATATTGTCAAATTTCATTGGATTGTCTCATACAGAAATTTGTTAGTAAAAAGTAGCAGCTTCCTTTTTCAGAGATACATTATCCGTTGAAGCGTGAATGAAAATCTCTGAAATTGTTTTCGTCATTGTTTCCAATTTTAATGATCAAGGTGAATCTTGTCGTCGTCGTCATCGTTGTGAGTGAGTGATTTGCGAGAGAGACCATGTGATGAATTGTAGTTGTTGGAAGGGAGGGATCTCTTCAACGAGGTCATGAAGAAACAGTTCATCCAACCACGATCGATTGGTTTGAATTCCCCAAAAGCAGAAGAGAATTAATGGTTGGGGAACGTTATCTCTGTTGAATATTTCATCCAATTTGGATAAATGAATGTCGACCTATGAAGATATTAAAAACGAGATCTTTAAGGACAACCATTCCCTCAAGTTGAGTTTCAGATCCAAACAATCTCCAACAATTCTTCCTGTTGATTCGTTCAGTAGAAGGGTGGAGATGGGTCAATAATGGAGAGAATCTAGCTCTGTCATTGCAGGTCCTTTGTTGTAAGAATTGTCGATGATTGTTTTTTGGCTGGAATTGTCCTTTTGTTTGTTCTATTGACTTGAATTCATCTTGTTTGGATGGTAGTTTGGTTTCTTTAATATATGAAAACTTGTATTGTCTGATGTATAGGTGTGGATTCATGAGCAGTGGGTTAATGAACAAGATTTATACAACCTATTCGACAAACAAATTGTCAATGACTAAATGAATGTAATAACAGAAAACATAAGACCACTGGTGAACCACTTCAAAGTTATATGATCCGAGAAGAGTTTATTCTTGTGATCATCTTGTCCTATTGTTGAACAATGTGCTTGGCAATTGCATTGGCATGATCAAAGCACATAATACAATGCAAGATTTAATGGTTTCTTCATCGTTGGTATGTTTCTAGGTGATGGTGTTGTATATAAGTGAAATCAGTGATAGGTTTGAAGCAATTCCAACTGACAGTCTATTATTCATCATGATAAATGGTTCAAGGATGGCCAACAACGTGCAAGTGTTGACAAAAAAGGAAAAAAAGAATACTCTGTGTGCTACGAAAACAGTAGAGTCGATTAAGGAAGGTATGTGCGAAATAGTGTGAGAATAATGTGAGATGTTCGTTGTGCAGAGAGTATCACGAGCCACTGGTGTTCGATTGTGGTGCTTGAGGGAGTTTTACCTCAACAGTGTTCGATTCACAAGGAGAATGCAATAAGATCAAAATGAATGTTGTTTATTTACATTAATTCCCAGCTTTCAAAATTAAAGACTTTCATCATCCTCAGGATTCAACAACTCAAATAAAGAAATGGACGTTCTCACTTTTCTTGGAACTGTTGTTGTCTCAGCATTCTCTAAAGAACCACTGCAAGAGTTTGGAGTTGTTGGTGCGTGTTCATCCTTCCTCGTGAGAGTCAAATGTTGAGACAACAAAGTGGCCGCGGACGTTTCTTCTTCATTTGGATTCATTTCTCTTTGTCCATTACTGTTTGAAACCAGAAATGTTTGTTGTAAACCAGAATGAGAGAGTACAGTTGGGATATGATTGACGTTTAAAGTGGCAGGTGCAATCATACGTGCTCGATCATACTTTTGTGGTGGTGGTGACATGACGGTCGTTGAAGAGATGGTGGTGGTTCTTACTCTGGATGGATTCGTCATCATGGTGTGTGAGGACCTTCCAGTGGTGGTTGAACGAGTGGATCGAGTCAAGTGTTGTTGTTGTTGTTTAGACTTGCTTGAGGAAACTGGACTCATTGTTTCTCGATAACACAAATCCTTTGAACGAGCATAACGAGGTTTTCGAAGAGGTCGACATAACACAGTTTGCAATTTACAATGACTACCATTGTGATCATTGTGATCAACGACTTGCTGATTGGTGTTTGGTTCACGAACAGGAATTGGACGAGGAGGAATTGGCTGAAGTTGTTCCGGACGAACAAGTGGTAGGGCATTTGTCTGAGGTACTAATGGCTGTGGTGGAGTTGACTGTGGTGGAGTTGGGATGACAATTTGCACGGGCGGAGGAACATGCCGACGTGAAGATGGTACTTGTGTTTCCACATTGAAATGGAGCGACAAATCCAAAGAACCATTGAATGGATTTGAAGTGGAGAATCTTTCAGTGTCTGTAAAGTAAGAGACCATGGAGAGAGGTTTGGATCGTTTTCCCTTCTTTTGTTGTTGTTGTTGTTGTTTGTTTGGCACAAAGGTCACGTAACTGAATTTCATTTTGTAATTTTTGTTTTAACAATGTTGTGGATGATATTGTGAGGAGAGACACTCACTAAATAATGTCTTTGTTGGGAAGGTTTTGCGATTAAGACAGAAATGGAGAAAGAGAAGATGTTTGATACAAACAAGAATGGCCATTGTGTGTCCCATAGTGACTTGTGCCAGGTCGACTAGACAAAAAAGGCAATTTGCAAATTGTTGTGGATTCTTTGTTACAAACGCGAGTCAAGGGCGACGGCTGTTGGCTTGGCTTTTTTAAACACACAACCGTCGTTTATGTAAGAGTCGGTGACTCAAAAGGAAGAAACGACAAGCACCAGTCAAATTTCAGTGTTATTATCTCATTGATATTTTAAAGAAGCAGTTTCCTTTTTCAAAGATACATTAACCGTTGAAGGGGGATTTAATAAATGCACCTTGTTATTGCCAGTTTTAATTTGTGAAATTTCGAGTGACTCATGTAGTGAGAGTGACCAGAAATGATGATTCGTGTCTGTGGTTGGTATGGTGAGCCTAGATTTACAACCATCCTTAATTCAGGCGTTTAGCAGCTCCTGAATAGAAATTGAGGTTCTAATTTTCTTAGCCTTTGCATCTTTTGAATGAGACATGCATACAGTACAGGGTTGTAAAAGATGGTAGTGAGGGCTCGGCATTTGTGATGACTTGTTCGTGTGAGGATTCGGATTACAATCAATGCCTTCACTGGTCTTCATCATTTCTTGTGGTTGACTATTGTTGTACAAATTGACACGGAATACAGAATCAAAAGTTGGTGGTGTGGAAAAACTCAAGTTTGAACACTTTGAAGAGGATGATTTCTTTCGAATTCCACTATTGAGAACAGAGCTTGCGTTTAGAGACTTCTCTTTCCTTTTGCTGCTCGATGAGAGATGCTTGGTATGAATCCGAATGTTTGGCAATGCATGCACGTTAAAATGTTTGGACATATCCGTAGAGCCATCGAAAGGATTGCAAGATCCGTGAGTTGCTTTTGGAGAATCAGAGGAGCAGAATGAAATCATGGTGAGATTGTTTGGGTTGGAGGTTCCAAAAGGCGTTGAAGATTGCTGTTGGCTATGCACAAAGGAAACAATCGTGATTTTCATTTGAGAATCCAAGTGAAACTGAGTAGATAACCTTCGAGTGTTTGTTTTTTTCAATGAATGCTTATGTGTGGTTGATTAGAAGAAAATATAATCACAAATTGTCCATAAGGAAGAGCATGTATAATTCCGAAATATTTGTGACAGCTGTTGGCTTAAAGGTCACTGCCATTTTTGCTCGTCATGATTACAGATTGGAATGTGTCCATGCCATTTTCTTCCTAGCTATCCCGGTCAGTAGGTAAAAGGTTTTTCTAAAAGGATGAAAATGGTCTGGACACATTCGATTTGATTTGATAAAAAAGTGGAGTCCGCCCATTACTGCATTCAATTTTTATGTGTGGAAAGAGCAGCGCGTGATGACCACACAATTCGATTTCTTGATCGTAATTATTCAGACAAGACTGCATGCATCAAGGCAAATTATTCTCTTTGGTAATGGAACAAGAATGAACCTGAGCATCTCCCCTGCAGTTTCAGAACTCTCAACTTCCAAACATGACTTTCCTCACATCACCTCACATCAACATTCAGTTTCTCTCTCCCTGCTCAATCCATTAATAAAAAAGCAAAGTGAAGGCCCAAGCAAATTAATAGTTGCTGTATTTTTTCAAAGCCTTTTTCATAACCGAAAAACCGTAAATATTAAAAAGAAATAGCGCTCACACGTAGTAGTTCTCTCATACTTGTCATCATCGTCGAATATTAATTCAATCAATTGAAATGGCAACCACAGCCCACATGGGAGCTCCACAAGGTGGATCATCATCGGGGAATACGCTTTCTTCGCTCTCCTCAATGAATCATGTCAAGTCGAGAAAAAAGGGAATGGAATTTACGGATGTCAAAGGTGGGTAAAAGGAGTCATTTGAACGAAATGATGATGATGATGACCATCATGATGATGCGTTTTTTCAATACCAAACGTTGTCTTTCAATGAATCATTCTTTGGAAAATAATAATACGTTCATAATTTCAAATACTCTGTGTTTCGGAAATTACAACATGTAGTGTGTCGGGGCTACCAAAACAAACTGGGAACCATTGATGCAAATACAGCAAACGTTGGAGGAAGTATAATGATTAATCAGATTAAGAAAAATCACACAGTAAATATGATGTCCATGAAAAAGAGGGTTGACAATGATTTACCGTGGTCATACAAATATTCAAAGAATTTCAATATTGCACGGGTGAGCCCTCCAAAGAAGATCAAATCATTGGCTCCTCTGAAAGAAGTTCGACATGCGTCAGGTTCTTCTCCAAGCAAACAACCACATTCAGCACGAGAATATACATCAAAAGGAAGCAAACTAGATTTAAAGTAAGTTTGTGCAATTCCTTAATGTCATGTCACAACAAGGACATCCAATGGTTGGAACTCTTGATGAAATAACACTTGGCCATGATGAAAACATCCATGGATGCATTATCATGTCACAGTAAGGACCACAAAATTGATCCTGCTCAAGATATTGAGGATCCTGAAGATCAAGAAATATATGAAAAGTTTTTGGATATGCTGAGGAGAAGAAAAACCATTGAGGAAGCCCGAAGAATTGCTTCCACTGTATTTTTAGAGGCAGAGGAACAAATGCTGCTTAATGCCTACAGTGGGGTTCCACAATATGTTGAAGGTTTCATTTCCTCGAATTCTTGTGGTACAGATACTCCTTCTAAGGACGATGAGGAAGAGGTTGATGAAAATTTTGGAGAAATTGAGGAAGAAGCACCTTTCACTTCTGAATCTCATGAAGACACTAAGAATGAAGGTAAAAATCAATACTCTCGCGCTCCACACGAAGAGGGCCTTTCACTACAGAAAGTGGAGTAAATGCTGTGTACGTGTATGCACACGACATTACGCGTTCAACATGATGTCACTATGTGTAGTCATCATTCCTTCCAGTAAATAATATTCACAGTACATATTTGAATTGGACCCATGATAATTCCGAAGAGACACCATTAAGATCCAAACTTCGAACTATTGAGGTATATCTCCGAAAACTAAAAAAAATATTGAGGCACTAGAAAGACCATCACGCATTGTCTTTCGTAAACCATCATCAACAACATCAAGAATCATCATTGTTGAAAGAAACTTTTTCTTCAACCATTCTCATTCTCTTCATCATTATCGAACAACAGGTATTGTTGAAAATCAATCATATAACATGATCATCCAGCATGATGACCATCAAATCCGCCTCCACAACAACAACTCCGAGCAACCATAATAACAACACCAACAACAACAACAACAACTCGAATAAACGTAACTACGGGCAGGCAATATTTAGGAGCTCAGGCAGTAGTCAAGATTTGCACAAAGACTCTCAACAACGATGCAGTGTGTCACTTCCTGCAATTACTTCATCCAAACGCCTTAGTACAAGCACAGCTGCAGCTTCCTCGGCGCGAAACAAGCGTACAAGCAATGGAAATACCACCTCATCCTCCTCCTCCATGAATAATACCACCAATGCAAACAATACATGCTCTTACAGTGTTGTGTATCGTAATGGAAGTTCTCGTAGTAATCAATCCTCACGAGCAACAAGCCGAGCGAGTCGAGATGATTCAACTCCCTCGAGTGGAAGGAATAGTGAGGACTTCAACTCTACAGAAAGCATGAATCTCGTTCTAGATCAAGAAGCAACAGTACTTGATGAAGACACACTCCAATTCATTTCTCTCATGAAAAAGGATTTGGCGGTTCTTCATAAAAAACTGTATGAATATAAGGCAGACGAGAGAGGTCAACGTTTGAGCTTGGATGATTTTTCCAATGTATCACAATGTATTTTCCATCATGACTCGTTCAAAACAAGATATTATCTGTTGGAAATGCTTGTTGAGAAAATTGTCGAATTGCAACATCATCTTCTTCAGAAAACTGATCGGGTAAGTTGATATGAATGATATGATTTGGTTCAGACTTCGCCTTGACTAACATTTTGTCAAGTTAATTCCCGTTTCGAAACGATTCAAAGTTAATAATGTTTGCGTTTCTTCAAAGTTGCAAAAATTCATCGAAGTGACTGATAGAATTATGGATGTTGTTGAACAATCTAGAAATTCCAAGGTTCAAACTTTTCAAAAAGAAACTCAAACGAGTGATGTCACTCACAAAAAATCAAATTCAGATTCGCTCCTGACAGGATCAACGTTCGTTGAATGGAATGATACCTCCAATGAAAAGGAATTGTTGGAAAAACAAAAGATTGAATTGGAAGAAGAAAAATCGAGCTTGAGTACAAGCGTTTCCAATCTCACAGAAAAATTATATCAAACAGCCTTGGAAAAAACTGCTCTTGAGGAAAAGCTAAAAGCATCAACCTTGAAATACGAGTCTACAATTTCGAATCTCAATTCACAAATTGAGAATCTTAAACAAAGTATTGCATACATGTCAACTGAAAAATCATCACTCACAGAGAAATTAAATGCTCAACAAGGTGCATTGCATGAGACAGTGAATGACTTGAATCTTCAATTAAGGCAAGGAATGGAACGCATTCAGCAATTGGAGGAGCACATTGGTAGAAAGGAGAAGGAAATAGAGCAACTGAGAAAAGAAAACGAACTCACAAGGAAGGAGGATGACCTACAGGAGAAGTATTCCAATCTTCTCAAATATAACACACAACTCGAAAAGGATTACAAAGACATGCTGGAAGAATGTAATCATGTGAAGGAGTCATCTTCCAAAAATGAGTCTCTCTATGCAAATGCAATGGAGGCTCTTCGTGAAATGCAAGAATCACACAAGCGCCTCACGCAAGAATTCACATTGAAAAATGATACCAAAAAACTCCAATACAAGCTGGAGATGGCAGAAAAAATCGCCATGCAAAAGGAATTTCAGTATGAAGAGTTGGTCAAGGAGTATCAAATTCTTTCCATAGAGCTCGGTATCAACCAAAAGCAAAATGAAAACCTTAAAGAACAGCTCAAAGTCATGCAAAGAGAGAATCAACGTCTCATTAAACAAGAGCAAGTAGAAAGTGATTCTCAGCAGGAAATTGTCTTGATCAGAAAGGATTATGAGGAGAAACTCAAATCCATGAATGAAAAAATCAAGGAGCTACAATTTAACCATATGATGCAGTTGCAATCTCTCAATGATACATTCATACAGGAGAGAAAAATGATGCAAAGGAAGGCAGACAAATTTAAACAGAGATGTGATTTGTTAGAAGCCAGGCTTAATGAGCTGGAGCAGCAAAAATAGTCAGCCGTGAAGCTGCGCGAGACTTTAAAACATGTTTGAAAGTCTTTCTTTCCATGTCAAATCACTTGAAAGAAAAAGTAATAGATCTCGCCTCATGTTCCTCATTGAATGTAAGGTTGGAACTAGTCTCACCATCATGTTCACTAGATGTTGCAACATTTTCGAAAAGAATGATCAACAAGTGACACTTGGAAGAGTCCAATAAGACCTCTCGTATGTAGGAGTGATGAGGTTGTTTCATCAAGTCGTTATCCTCAAGCAAACGATTTCCCCACTCAATAAGTGAAATTCCATTTGTGAAAACATGAAGCAAATCTAATCTATCAAATCTATCCAATCGATATAGATCAATATGGTGTATTGTTCTATATTTGTCAAAATATAGAGTGGATTAGTTTTTCATAAATAAATGATTGAATGGGTATAGAGAAAAGTGTATATCATTTAGAATTATTGGACGAAAGATGATTATAATTACAATTAAGATGTTGAAAGTATTGAATAAAAACAACAACACTCGTGTGAAATTATTTTCTCAATATATATATAATATACCTACTCAAAATTTCCACTGAGCTTATTTTCATAAAGATTATCCAACAAAAAAGTTGGAGAGGGTACATTTAAATTCATATCCTTTTCCAACACTCGAATGACATGCCTTGCAAAAACACTCTTTCCACTTCCCATATCTCCTGTCAACAAAACGACATCAGTGTTTTGTAGTAATTTTGAAAATTTTTCTGCCAATGTTCGGGTTCCTTCAATATTTTGCACAGGAAATGATTTTTCGAACCATTGTGATGATTGATTTGATAGTTCCATTGAAGAATCTGTGGTGCAAGAGTTCTCTCTAAAATTTAGACATGCGGTGCCATAATTTCTACACAACGAAATATTCACATCCGAATTTAAATTTCCGACACGAAATCTTCTTGTCGTCAGAGCTAAATGAGAGGATGATATATTCTTCACCATTTGGTGTCGATTTTTACCCATGATTCGTTCAATGATTAAAGACACAGAACGGTCATTCCGAGAGCAACTGCTTCGAAAGAACAATATTCCTTGCTTGAGCATTTTCATCATTTTTTTGAATTGTGAAATTTGCAATTTGAGAAATCTCCATAACTGCAGTCATTACTAATACAAGTCGAAAAAGAGACTCTAATTGTCCTTTCGTTGTTGTTGTTGTCATGAAATTTAATTTGTTAGTTGATCATGCAAGGAATTCTGCATGCAGAAATTTCTCCAAGTACAAAAGTTATGTGTGGGTGTGAATGGGGTTTGTTCTCATCGCGTTCACTACTTTTAAATGCTCGCGCTCTTAAACACAACATATTTGTACACGGGTGATGCAATAATGATTAGGGAAGAGTCAAACATGAAGAGGTTAAGGAGTGTGTGATCCTTCTTCTTCAAATTCACTCTTTGTCTCGAACATTATTGACTTGCACCTCCACAACAAGTGATTCGTTTGGAGGACCTCACCGAAGGAGGTCTTGTGAGTGTTTTTCCACTTCGTCGCACCACCAATCCACCACCATTGGACGAAGAAGGATGATCCTCCTCTTCCGTGTCTTCCTCTCCCACTCGTGTATCCTCTCGGAGGGGCATCTTCCGAGCCAATGTTTCAAACACTTCCCTCACATTGATATTCTCTTTGGCCGATGTTTCCATAAAGATCAGTCCATTATCTTCGGCATAGGCTTGAGCAAAGGAATGATCCACTTGTCGTTTCTCATCTTGTAGGTCGAGTTTATTACCTGCAAGGGCAATGACCATATTTGTTTGACTTTGTCGTTGTAATTCCTTAACCCAGTATTTGGCTCTGTGGAAAGACTCCATGTTCGTAATGTCGTAGACAACGATGGCACATTCAGAACCTCTATAGTACATGGGAGCGAGAGATTTGTATCGTTCTTGTCCGGCTCTGTGTGAAAGTTGGATTTTTTGAATATTTTGTCACCATGATCATTATTTGAAATTTCATTGTAATCAAATGTCAAATTAAAGTAAAATGGAATTAATGATGACATTTGTGTAGAAAGCAATTCATAAATAATGATGATCATGTTCAATATTGATGAACATGTTGTGAAATGATCATTCAATGGGTTGTTATCAACAATAATAATAAAAATGATTACATACGTATCCCAAACTTCAAATTTAATCACTCGATCTCCAACTGTTATGAATTGTGTCGAAAAGGCTGCTCCAATGGTACTTTCTTGATATTGAAAAAAGCAATTCTTGTCAAGCCGAATCACAAGACTTGTTTTGCCTTTTTTCAATCATGATTGTTCATTCATGAATGGGTTATTTCAGATGGAACATGGTCAACCGGAACGTGATGTTTGATTCCAATATCATATCATTGGATCATAGGATGATTTTAAAGTCATGGACATCATTCCGAGAACATCATGTGTGATGATCACACACTTACCTACCGAGCTTTCTCCGAGTACTACGAGTTTAAACTTGTCCGCTTTTCTGAGAGTCTCATCGTCAAACATTGCGTTGTTGCTTTTCGAGAGTTGTGACGATGACGAGGATGGTGAGGGCATAAATTGTTTTTTTTAAAATTTGATCAATCTTTTGATGACAGCGTGGTCGAGGTATTAAAATTAGATTGCAACCGTTTCTTCTTGCCCAAGCAAGAGGCGTTGGCCAATAACAATAAGGAAAGAACTTGAGGAAGTCCAATGTACACTGAGTCTCTGTCACTATGGTTTAGGATTCTAACGTAGGGTTGCAACCTGTGCACCCCCTCTCATCCATCTTGTGAGAATGACCCTTAAAAAGCATCGTAGTTCAAGAAGGAGTCTCACGCGCGGGCTCAGTGATCACGAGTGGTGGCTTGAAAAAATGTCTCACACACAATCCTCTTCTTGCATTGAATTCTCACAGCCGTTTAATCCAATGATCATCTTTTCGGAATGGTATTCCCAAGCACAGACCACTCATCAACAAATGATTCAGTTCTTACAGCAAAGCTGTTCAATCGCAAGATCCAACACCACACACAGCAATGGAATTCCTTCAATCTTTCAACTTCCTCCCGATCCTGCAACCATGACAGTGGCCACTGTGGATCCACAAACCATGCAACCCTCCACTCGGAATGTCTTTTTAAAATCCTTCCATGTGGAGAGAGGAGAGTTTATATTTTGCACCAATTTTCAATCTCGGAAAGCAACAGAAATGTTGAACAATGATGGCAAAATCGCTCTCAATTTCTATTGGAATTATGTGTCAAATGAACAATCGAAATCAATCGACAACAACAAGAGCTCCTCACATATTGTGGATGAAAAACTCGATTCGATAGAAGAGTCCGATGATGCAGTTAAAATTTCATCATCTTTTTCATCATTATCGGCACAGGATCATGTTTCTATTGCTCTCAATGGAAGATCAAGACAAGTAAGAATCGAAGGAATTGGTTCCATATGTTCCGAAGAAGAATCGGATGAATTTTTCAATTCGAGGCCTTTAGAGTCGAGAATTGCTTCGAGTGTAAGCAAGCAGTCACGAGTGATTGAAAGAGGAAGGAAACAACTCTTGGAAGAATTTGAAAAAGCTCAACAAGAGGGCGAACAATATGCGAAAAGACCTTCTCATTGGGGTGGAATAAGGTATGTGTTTGTTAAGGTTTGATTTATGAATAGCGAAAATTGTCAACATTGTGTTATTGTTGGAAATTTGCCTTCGGTGTGCTTGTTTTGTTGACGATGAATCAAATTCGAATGCAATTATTTGTGTGTGTTCCAAATCATTTCCAATATATATTGATCAACCTCTTTGTTGTTTCTAACTGCACGTCTGGATGAATATGATTTCCTTTTATCAAATACAGAGTGAGAGCACACTCGATTGAATTTTGGGAGAGTGGGAATCATCGTTTGGCACACCGAGTGAAATATTATCGAAAAGGAACAACCCTTCAACAACAACACACAGAACTGTCTTCAGAGCATGGTCGTGTAACCTCAGAAGCAAGTATTGTTGCCGCCGTACACGAATCATCACTTGTGTTACAAGACGAACATGAATGGATCTTGGAGCCTCAAATATTGTATCCTTGAGGGAGCCAACATGAAGCAGCAAGTGTTGTTACATTTTCATGAAAATTGAGTTGGAAACATACGCACAAATATGTAACGTGTTTATTTATGCATCACCCGCTCATGAATCGATAATCCTTGATTTTCTCGGGTCTTAATCGAAAGAGTGTTTCTCGAACATGAGGTGCAGTTTCGCGTGTCACCTCCATTAAAATCCCTCTCGAAATGACCTCCTCTGTAGCACACTCACGACATGACCCGATTTTGTATGGTGACATTATCAATGGCATTCTGTGCTCACACAAAGAAAGAAAGCAATTAAACCCTCATCATGATGATGGTCATGACACTTCTCTATGGAGATGTAAGAATGGAGAACAATGGTGAGTAGATAGGTGCGAATATGCGCATTCTGTTTCAGAATCAAACAACCATCATGATGATTGAGATGAATAGGCGGAACGGATCTTGCCCTACCTGAAGACCCGCGACATGTCAAAACTATGATGAAAAGGAAGAACATGTCAGAACCACCATCTTCATCATTTCCAACCAGTGTCGACCCTGATGAACTGACGAACAAGAGCAGCAACGCCACGATTCTCGAAATTGGAAAGAGGATTGAAAAAGAAAAGCACCAACAAGATTCTTATCATCCCGAGTTGAACCATTTCACGACCGACCTTATGAATAGCAGCTGCTGTATGGTAGTTGTTCATCATAATTCAATCGACGAACAAGCAGCAGCAGTAATTGAACTCCTCCATGAAGTTGCACAACAAGAAGAACCACAATTTAAAACTATGGCGATGATACTCCTTGATGATGAGATGAATGGACAAGCAGCAGCATCACACACAACAACAACTACAACAACAGACTGGAATGAGAGCATTGTTCAACTCCTTTCTTCCTATCCACGAGATGGTTCTCTCGGATATGGATGGGTCAAGCCAACATCCAAGAGTCCTCATCATCAGAGCCTCTCCTCGTCTGTACCTTCCTTTCCGACCTCTCCATTACTATCCTCCTTGACTTCTTCTTCCTCCATGAGCAGTTGCAATTCCACTCCTACTTCCTCCTCTAATACCAGCTCAATACTATCTTCGTTCATCATCACGAACAGTTCGTCCACAAGTCTTTCATCCTCTCCCCATGATAATGTTGAGCAACAGTCCCATCATCATCAACAACAACAACAACAACGTCTATGGAATGCTCTACAGACCTACCTCCCTCAAATCTCACTCCGTAAGCCTCATACGTCGCGACTCATAGCCACCATTTCAGAATTGGCTCGACTCGAAGAAGCAGAATCATTGAGGATGAATTTGCCCATCACGAGTAGTGTATTTGACAATGGTGTCAAAAAACCTGAATGCATCGTGAAACCCCTATTCACCTCAGTCGACGATTGGAAAGCCATTGAGAGAGAATTTTCTGACATTTTGAACTTGGCTCTTCCATCCCACGATAATTCTTGTAGTGATGACTGCAACCACGATCGAACGGATCTACCAATAGAAGCCCAATTGAAGACTGAATTGAATCGTCTCTTGATGGATTTTGAAGAGTTTCTTTGTTTGTTGCCACCTATTGTACAATGTTTGTGTGACCGTTCTCAGTTGCATTGTTGCATTTGTGGATGCACGAATTATGGATTTGCAAGAGATTTAATTTTACGACACCAACAAGTGGACAGAGAGTTATGTCACTCGAACGAGATACTGCTGTTGCCAAGTTTCAGCTCCACTCTGAAAGGCAAAAAACTCATTGCAGAGAAAAAGAAGGAAATGAAAATGGACTTGTTAAAAAAGCAACAACAAAGGCCTGAAAATCTTCATTCCATGATCATGCCTCAATTCTTTTTGCATCCGTCCTCCCTATTAAGCAGTATTGCTCAAACAGGTAGTTTTGGTGCTTTGAGTGTTACTGATTCGAGCATAATGAAAGCTGCAACAGAGAGCGGACTTCAGTCTTCGTCAATGAATCCAGTTCTTAGCATACCTTCGACGTTTTGTTGTGGCGTTACCTTTGAAATATTCTTTCGAGTATTCACAGAGAAGAGACATCCCAGGCTGCAGGACTTTTTCAACATTCAAGAATTGCTAAAAATCAAGAGGGATTGGTTTTGTGAAAAACAAGACAATGCAGCAAAAGACGATGACTCCTATAAAGAAGGTTGCTATAAGGCATTAATGTCACGAGGTCTCGGCAAACATGTGAATAACATTTTCGAAGCAAAGCAAGGCGACTTTGTACAATTTTGGAGAGTGAATGGTACAGGTCATAGCGTGATCTTTATGGGCCTCAAGGAAGATGAAATAACATTTGAATATTGGTCCTCTCAACGCTCCACAAATGGAGTAGGGTTTAACACTGAATCGTTGTCAGGTGTCGAACGATTTCACATTGTGAGATTGGTGTAGATCGTGTATGGATTGATTCCTGACCTGGATATTATTAACATTTCAAGTTATTGGTGGGAATACTCTTTGCTTATTTTGAGAGTGAGCGAGTATTGATTCAATGCAACAAAGAAGAAACCTGCTTGTTGTTTTGGTGGGGTTTCTTCCGTTTTATGACCAGAGCAAGATCAAGAATTCTTTGACAAAATATGGCTAACAGTGTGGCTTATTTGGAATGTTGACAAAGGGAGATGTCAAGTCAGACAAGATTTAATTTATTTATTTTCCATTTAAGGCAAACAATGAGGTTTTGTTATTACGGCTAACTTGATTTAAAATACGCAAACAGCATTCAAGAAAACAACCAGGCTTCCATCATTGTATCGTTTCTTCAACTTGATGATCAAAAATACACGGCGTAATTAACATTCATCAACATTCAACAAACTTAAAATTTAAATTATTTAATAGACTTCAACATGTACTTTGAAAATTATCTTCTCAACCTTGCCGGTGTATTCGTCGCACTCATACTCGTCTTGGTCACGATTGCCATTCTTCATCACTATCACAAAGATCGCTACATGACATATTTTCAAAAACGTCCTCACAAGAAGTGTGTGTTCGTGAGTGATGACGAACAAAAGAGATTACATCCAGGTGGCAAGACACCCCACCGAATTGTTTTTCCCTTGCAAGAATTATTAGATGATCAGAAAAAGAACAGTACATTATTGGCTGCCACTCGTCAAGCTGCTCATTACCTTCACAATTCCCACGCCAACAACAAAATGGCAACGAAAAAAGGTCTTTTAGGATGGCTTTGGAGAAATTTACCTTCCATTCCGTACTTGAGTGTTTGGATTCAATGGTGTGAAGATCCCATCTTGTTCTTGGAGAAGGCCTCTGAATTATATGGTCCCGTTTTCACCATTAGTTCCTATTTTAAGGAATGGACATTTATGGTTGGAGAAGGAGCCAACAAGTATTTCTTTGATGCTAAACCTCAAGTGTTGGATGAGCAATCTGCGAGAGAGTACTTCTACAAGCCATTGATGGTAAACAGTGCTACTCCTTCCATGAGCACCACTGCTTCAAAAACTTCGTTTAAAATTGAGACTGTCAATGCCACCAATTCTTCCAATGCTTCAGCTTCTACACAATCTTCAATGCCACCGACAACACCCTCTCGAAGTCGTGAAGAGATTTGGAATCAAGATTGGCTTTACAAATCAAAATCATTCATGCGAGAGGGCTTCTCAAACAAGAGAACTCTTGTGAAATATTTAGAAAACATTAAGCGAGAGGTGAGAAGCATTCTCTTCCATCAGCAACACATTAATTTGAAATTTGTGGATCGCAATGAGAAACCTGCCATTGCCGAGATGGAATTGCCAACTCCCAAAATTTTACACAAACATTCGGATTCTGTCTTTTCTGGAAGCTCTTCTACAGGCGCACAAGCGAATGAAGTGGTGGTTGTGAATGATCTATTTTCACAAATGTCCAAGTTTGTGGTGAGAAGTTTGATGAGAAGTATGTTGGGTTCTTCATTTGTCAAGAGACACGGTGATGAAGTGACAGAGAGTATTGTCTTTCTGGAATGTCAAATTCATAATCCATTTGTTACTCTGTATTACAACCATTTGAGATCGAATGTGTTGGAGTATCTGTGGATGCCCAGTCTTATTGAGCAAATCGAGACCAAGAAGAAGAGAGTTCATTACTTGATTTGTAATGAAATTGAGAGACGTGTGAAAATGATGGAATATGAAAATCTTGAAGAAGTTCCTTTTACACAACAACACAATCAAGCCTTTTCACAACAATCTCTTCCAGCCTCCCAGTCAACCTCTCAACGCACAAAGGAAGACATGACCAATCTCCATTCTTGTTACATTGATTTCATTTTGGAAAAAAATGGAACTGACAAATATGGTGGACTTCACAGAACCACTTCCATCTATGCCAATCATATCATTTGCTTGTTAGTAGAATCACTCGCGAGTGTTGCTGCCTTAGGATGGGCCATTGCGCATGTGGCAAGTGACACCGCTCTACAAGATCGTCTACGAATGGAAGTAAATCTCTTTAAGGAAAAGTTGGAAAAGGAATCGAGCAGTTTCATTAGATCCATGTGGAGTGAAGCCACATGCACTGCCAGACCCTTATTACCACACCTTTCACCTTCAACGGTTACTTCTTCACCACACCATTTAGAAGCAAGTGCTTTCACACAACCTGCAATGAATCTTTCTGGAGAAGATCTTGACATGACTGTTGACAGCAACATCAATGAAAATTCAGAAGCGCTGAGCACCATTACGGATACCAGTGTGACCAGTGGCAGCGGTGGTGGTGGTGGCTTAAGAGAAGAGGATGTGGAAGAACTTCGAAAACAAAGTCTGATCGAAGATGGTGGCGAAGCAACAGCAGCTGATGAAACTCAATCGCATCACACCTCCACTGATACAAACCCACCGGATAGTATTCCCTCCTTGTCCATTCCATCGTCACCGGTTCCTCCTACTGTGTGGAGTACAGTGAGCTCTACGGAGGATATGTTACGTGTGGTCGGCTCTAGTCAACCACCACCTTCCACACGATATCGATTTGCACCAAGACCTGTTCCTGTATTGGCAAATCCTCCCACTGGAGGCAATTTGGATACTCCACAAAGTTCTGATGGACCTTCGAATTCCAATGTAACACAAAGTGAAAACACCATGACAACTCCAAAATCGAATTTAGCTAAAAGAAGACCCTCATTGACATTGTTGTCTCCAGGAAATAACAACAACAATAGTTCTGTCTTACCACCTGTTCAATCCACACCTGCAGAGACCATGTCCACCACCTTTCCTCCCTCTCCTACTCATGTCCATACATTTGCTTCGACCGATCAGAGGATGAATGTGAGTGGTTCTTCCATGAGTACTACTAGTAGTGGTGTTGGCATTGGTGGAATTGAAAGCAGTATGAGCAGTAATTATAACCTTCGTTTGGTGGAATGCATTTTACAATCGAATGCCTGTGAGGATCCTCTGAAATTACTCGACTCGTGTCTGAAAGAAGCTGCTCGAATTTATTCCATGAGACTTTTTACCAAACAAACTCGAGAGAGTATGAATTATCATAATCTGACCATTCCTGCCAATCACTTGGTGAGCGTGTCACCCTTCTTTGTGCATCGTGATGAGAACTTTTATCCCTACGATGCAAATACCTACAGACCAGATCGTTTCAATTTGGGTGAAGTTGGAGATTTACATCGTTTGAAGGATGAAGAACATGCGTTTATTGGATTGGAAGGATTTTCAGGATCAAATTTCACCATGCTTTCCAGTAAGCTGTTCCTTATGGAATTATTATCGAATTATCAAGTGGAGACACCTCAATTATTTGCCTCTGATTTTACAGGATTTGGTTCGGTAGCAATGCCCATTCAACCCATTGCGCTCATTTTGAATCCATTGACTTGAATGTATTAAAGGTCTCATTCAGGAACACTTGTTTCCTTGTCTTATTGAATAACCTTGCATCTATGCAAGGTTATCCCAGAATCAAGTGGATTTATGAAATATTTGAATTTCCAAAATCTCCATTAAGCTTTTCCAAGTGTATGTTCATCAATTTTCCCATCTCTCCAATGCCTTCCTCAACAACAACAACAACACTTCCATCTTTCATCCCAGCAACATTTTGCTCCATCCAACTCTTGCTCATTCTCAAAGAACACAACAAGCTCCAATGAGGACCTCTCCAATAACAAGAACAACACGACTACGACTACTACCAACAACCACAAGAATAACCACAACAACAACAACACTAAGAACACGGAATCCCCAACAAACAACAATTTGTCCACTCCAAATAGCAAAAAGAACATTCCCATTGGTAGAAGCAACACGATCATTGAACTGTTGAAACAAGAGGAGAAGCGACTGACACAACTCAACAATTGTTGAACTAGATCCAGAAGAAAAGAAAAAATCCATGTTTGACAAACGACGATCCAGAGCCATCTTTCGAAGCAATGCTGAGAATCCAAGTGAGACATTTGACTTTTCACAACTTGATCAACACTTTAGGGCAATTTCTCAGTCAACTTCAACAAGTTGTGGCATTCCAGACCAACAAGTGGCAGCAAATGCCTCCCGCTGTTATCCAGTAAGGCAAGAGACTCTTCCTCCTCCAAACGACACCTCCGATATCAACACCCAAAAGTGTTCCATATCAGCAAAAATTGATCACACACAAGAAAAAAGAATGGCCAACATCAACATTTCGAGTTTGTATGACTCTCGTGACTATGACAACGAGTTCTCCACCTCTTCGTCCTGCTACTCTCCAACAGTAGCCACCATTGTGCATCGTTCGAATGGAAGCACTCAGCGTTCACCTCTCATTCAACAAAATGTTGAGAGATTGGTACGGAGTGATGCCTCATACTCTTCACCAGGTTCTTCTGACTATGCAGAAGGTGCTTCAGATGTTGCCGTAGTGGATGATGACGACGAAGAAGACTACGATGATCCATTCCATGACTTTGAGGAATATGATGATGATGACGAATGTGTATATGGTGATTTCGAATACAAATACTCCCTGATCATGACATAACCTTCAAGGTTATTTTCCCAAAATCTTAATCGAGATAAATTTTTCAGATTTTCAACGATCGAAAGGGCACCTGAAAATTCTATTTCATTATCATCTATATCCAAGCAAGTTAATTCTGTCACAAAAAGACTCTTGCTAATGGCAATGGAAGCTTCATTACCAATCTCATTAAGTGCCAAGTAGAGCTTGGAAAGGCGTGTCATGAAAGGACTATTAGAGAGTGCAATTACTGCTTTGGAATCGAGTTTGCAATTCGAAAGGTTTAGATATGTCAAATTTTGCATTTTTTCACTGCATGCAATGGCTATACCTCCTTCGCTTCCAATATTATTATTGCTTAGATTTAAGCGAGTGAGATTCCTGATGAACTTGCTGGTACATAGTGTAACAACAGCTGCAATTTCAATAGCATTTTCAGAAACCTCTAACACTCGCAAGTTGGTCAAAAATTCACTGTTGGAGAGGGAAATTAGGCCCTTTGAATGCATGTGTACGCCATTCAATTGTAAGTGTTGCAATTTTCTCATAGTTGAGCCGTTCGCCAGATATTGAACGCCTTTTTCCCATAGATCTGAGCCGTTCAATTGAAGTTCCCTCAAATTAGAAAAGTTTTGACTCATAACTAAGTTGATCATTGTTTTGCAGTTCAATTGGGTGGCATTAAGAAGTAAAGTTTGAAGATTCTTCAGGAATGGGCTTTTTGCAAGATGGCAAAACCATGTATCTGCTTTCATGCATCCAGTGAGATCTAAACGAGTAATATTTCTCATGTGAGGACTTGTTGCGATTAATCTTACCTCTTCCTGTCCAATTCTAGCATACGAGAGACTTAAATCGGTGAGATTACAAAAACAAGGGTTCTCGATAAGGGATTTTATCGCACCGGTGCTGACAGGAGTGAAATCAAATGTCAAATGTTTCAAGTTTCTGAAAGATGCGTTCGACAAAAAGTCCTTAATGTCCTTTCTTTTAGTTTCGCTTTCTTTAAATGTGAGTGAAGTCAAGTTATTGGTTAGACCGTAATGGTCTGCTATGATGTTCAGGATCATCGCATTGATTTCACATTGGAGGAAGGTCAATTTCTTTAACTTGCTCATGTTTGCACTTGATATCAGAATGAATGAATGCTGAAGGTCAAGATTTTCCACTTTCAGTTCAGTGAGATGGGAAAAACAATTGCTTTTTGCAATTTTTGCAATTTTCTCTTGAGAAGTGGATGTTGGAGGCAAATTGAAGTTCAATGATTGCAATTGTTCCATGGTCTCACTGTTGGCAATTAATTCTAAAGTTTCCTCTTTAAACAAGCGAATCTAGGGAATCTAATCCCTGTCACATTGATCCTTAAATGATTGGAGGTGAGACGATGAATGGCTGAATGAAGCCAGTCTGGAGACCGGTTTTTGAATCGAATAAAGATGGGCACTTTTAAGGCATTCGAGCACCACTGTCTAGAAACACTCATGCATCTTAATAGATGAGTTTTAAAATCAAGAAAGAGAAATATACTGACGATTAAATCGTCGTAAATTCCATCCATTCTTGTGAGTGTCTCTTCGTTTCTTGTTGCGAGCATTTGTTTTTTCTTTTTGCACTTTCTTTCCTTGTCATCTTTATGGTGAATAGGATCCTGCAATTTTCTCTTTCTGTCAAAGAGTTGCAAGCAATTTCTTACATGTTGGATGACCCATTCTTCATTTCCTCCCATTTCGAGAGTCAACCAATTATCCTGGTTCGTACCAATATTCAATATTCTCTCTCCTTAAAAGTTCATCCTCGTTCCTTCCTTCTCTCTACAGTTATTTTTTTTAAAACCCCAAAAAAAAATCTCGTTGTCAATCATTGAACAATTTCTGATCATCGTGTTCGTTCTTACTCCACAACTCTCTCTCTCTCTAACATCTCTTGAAACACAAATGTCGTTGCCCTTCTCTTGTCCTTTACCTCCTCCATTGGTTGCTGAAGACAACATTCAAAATAAGAAGATCATGCCAGCTTCGGGAAATTTCTATGAAGGAGAAGGTGGAGCTAGTATTCAAGGATCAGGCTCTGGAGATGGCGACAGTGCAGGCAGAATTATCTCTGAGGAATGGATCAAGGCAATTGTATGCGATATTAATGGAGATTATTTCAAAAGTATCGATTCTGAAGATCATCCAAATCATGCTCTCTTAATGGAGGATGCCAGTTTGTATCATGCTTTTGGAGATGAGATCCGATTCAAACCTTCAGCCGATCATCATACCCATCAGTTGCCTCAGATTGATCAGGAAAGTGGTATTGTGTTGAAAGGGAGTTACGGCTCAGATCCAAATCTCATCCTTCAATGCAATCCGAACATGTTGAACTTGGGGTGTTTCTCCCTTTTAATTCGTGTATTTGTCACGAAGGAATCAAGATCGATTGTGACCTTTGGAGGTTCGTATCGCTGGTTTGGCCTTACACCCACTCATGTGACGTTGAACAATCAGGATCAAAAATTTGAAATTTATGGAGTCAAATTGAATCAGTGGAATGAAATCTTTGTTTCTTTCAATAATCCACAACCAGAGTATGATGAGGAGGAAGTTAAAAACCCAAATATGGTGAAGGAAATTTTGTTGGTAATCAACGGAAGAGAAATGTCCATTCCTGTGTCTTGTGACATGGATATTGCCAAAGAAGATGACAGTACAAGATCCTTCGATAAGGAATTATCATTTGTCAATTATTCCAACGGAGCAAGCTTGATCGGGGTAGTTTCAAGTGTGGTTCTTCTCAACAAGTCTTGTCAAAATTTTGAAGAATTGGAAATGCTTGGTCGAGTCCTTTTGGAAAAACACAAGAAACCAACCAAGTCATACATGGAATCTTTGAAGACCATCTCTCAAATGACAATAGTTCATCCAGAAGAAATTGAATCTGTCACTCAGTTCGACACTACTTTATCAGAGAATCGTCTTGTGGTGGTGGATTTCTTTGCCACTTGGTGCTGTCCATGCAAAACAATTGCTCCCTTCCTGACCAATCTTGCAGGTAAATACCCAAAAGCGAAATTTTTGAAGGTGGATGTGGACAAGTTCCCTGAACTCTCAAGTCGATTCGAGGTGAACTGCATGCCAACCTTTTTGTTTTTATTAGATGGAGAATCTGTTGTATCTCGTTTAGAAGGAGCAAGCGAAAAGGAGCTTGAAAACAGAGTTTCTGAACTCGTTTCCAAAATTTGAATCGGACAGCCAAACATAATATAAATTCATCGCCTTGTTCAAACAATCTATCAATCATTGACATGTTGTAGATCATCCATTCAATGCACTGAAATTGCAATCAAATAGCAACATTTATTCTTGGATCTCTTCGAGTGAAGTGCCACTCAGAGCATTGAACAGAGAAGAGTGGGAAGCGTGCAGATATTTGCTTTGATTGGAGTCGATCTTCTTCTTCAAAATTTCTCTTTTCACTTGGGGCAACAGGAAGGACCGCACTAAATCCTTAATGTGACACTCTTCAGGTGTTACAACACTTCGGTCGCGTTGGGCTTGTTCTGTCAAACGCTCTTGAATGACGTCGTGGTGGGCTTGTTTTTCTGCAAGTTTCACAGAGCATGAGTTGAAGATGTCCAACAAGAACGTTGAGACAGTATCGTTGTGAATTTGGATGGTTTCAGCTTGAATTTGCTCTCTTTTGTGACGCTCTTCTTCCTCCGATTGTCTTCGTTTTGACTCCTCTTGCTCCCTTTGGCTTCGTTCCTTTTCTGCAAATTCGACCAATTGTTTCACTCGTTTCAACTCCTCCTGTCTTATGAGTTCCTTCGACAAGAAATCAAGTGCATTGCTGATAAGTTTGCCTTGTAAATTTTCCATGACAATTTCTCGAGTTTGGTCCATATTTTGTCGCCTCTTTTGCTCCTTGAAGACATGCGATTTTGCCTTTTCTCGTTCCTTTTGTTTAATTTCCTCGACAGCTTGAAGCTCCTTGATGAGCTCAATGCTTCTCTCTTTTCCTTCATAAAACTCTTCTTGGGCAGCCCTGCCTCGAAGTAATTTCTGAATAAATACGACTGCATTTTCGATATCATCAGCCATGACGTCTGTCTCTGCTTCCTCGAAAATCTCCAAAGTTGGTGTTGGAGGTCTCACAATGCGCGGCGTTGATTTGTACATTTCTTTAACTTGTTTAACTCTATCCTGAATATTGTCAACGGTCTTAGACTTTTCTAGATCATGAATGGCGAGTCTCAAATGTTCCTTGACAACCTTTTCCGCTCGATCCACATTTGATATGGTCTTGGATGGATCCACAATGACCGAACCTGTCTTGTCCTTGATTGGAAGAGCCTTGTGCTTGCTCTCTTTAATGAGGAATTTGTTCACTTGATTCATTTGAACCTCCTCTACTCCCAAAGGATCAGTGAGAAGAGCAGGTCTAATCTCATACGCAATGGTATTAAGGGCAGAGACTTGTCCATCTCGCAATAATGGAGCATAGGTCTTGGAAGCAGGAAATGCATATTCGAACAAAATGTCTCTCCTTGCCAATTTGTTTTCTGGATTGTCATACTTTTTGATGGTTCGTCGAATGTGCTTTCGCTTCTTCTTTTCAAGTTGTTGCAATTTCTCTTCGGCATCTTGTTTGATTTTCTGTATTCGTTTCTCGAGTTTGGATACACTTTTCATTTCTCGTATTTGTTCGCGAACCTCGAGTTTGGCTCTCACATGTTCAATTTGTCGATCTTGCATTTGAGCAATTTCTTCCTCTCTCTCCTTCCATTCGATCATTTCCAACTCTTTTAACATTTGCACTCGTCTCTTAAACTCTTCTTCGCCCACATTGGGGCCAATATTCTTTATCTGATCTTCGACTTGTTTTCTTCTTCGTGTTCTATCCACGATTTTAATGTGATCTTCGGTGATTTGTCCTCCTTGTCTTCCGTCCTCAAAAAATAGAGCATCCATTTTCATGTAATCTGGAAGATCTTTTTCCTGAACCACAGCATGATCTTTCTCGAGAAGGCTTCCATTATCAGCCATTCTCTTTTTGGAGACTGACCTTACTTCAGGGAAGTAAGGCATTGTTTGAGCCTCACTTTCTCTGTATATGGATTGTGTGCCCACCTCTCGAGTCGGTGGTGCTCCTCGCGTAAGGTCGCTTTCATTTTCCTCTTCAAAACTTCCCTCATTCAACATGGAATTCTCGTTATTTAGGGGTCTCTCTGTAATGTAGACGGTATGTTTTTCGTTCGTAGGCAAGCTCAAAAACTCCTCCTCTCGCATGGGTCCAATCACTGGTCGATGAAAGAATTTATATCGGTCGGGTCCTGATATCGTACTCTCTATGTGAGGCTCATTTCGCCCACTCTTTACAAATGATTTGGGAGGGAAATAATTAGGATTGTAGTTGTGGGAAGCCCCGAAGCGAAATCCGTACGATGGATGTAAACCATCATTAGGGCCAGTAAACATATTGTCATAATTAACCACTCGCTCCAATTTGAAAGGATTTGATGATTGTTGTTTGACCGCATCTCTGTACAATTCTCTCTGATCGGTTGGAGTAAAGGTTGATGTCTTTTTAGATTGAGTGAGGGTGCTTGAGCCACCTCCTCCGTTATTCTGCTGTCGGAGCATTCAATACAAATAAATAATAACTCTTTGGTAATTACAAAGTCTTCAATGATGACAATGTTCAAAAAATTGGTTCAATTACTAATGGTACAAAAATCTCTGAGAGACACTTGCTCGATATTTTCATGAATTTTTTTTTTGAAATTTGGTCCAACGGCTGTACTTGGTTTTGGCGGGTGTGTAGTTTCGAGGCAATATTCCTGAATATTGAAAATATTATTTCTTTCTTTTGCTCAACAAACTTCAATAATCGCTCAATAAGTGTCAAAACTTTGTCTTTGAGTCAGGAACTCGCGGAAAGATTCCGATCGATCTTCCTTTAAGAAAAGGATCAAACAAAAAAAAGAAAAAAGAGTAACCCTTCGCGCATCATCATCAGCCAATGATCAACCAAAATCCATTTCAAAACATTCTCGGAATGAACCCAAATTGTCAATTGACAATGAAATCACAACAACAACGATCTTTACAACATCTCGATGACTCGACACTCGGATTAATCTTTTCCTATCTTCCCTTGAATCAATTGGTCTTTCTGAGTGAATCGGGATTAGACCTTGTATGTCGGAGGTTTTTCCGAGTGTTGCACATGGAAGAGGGTGTCTTGTTGAACCTATGGCGACGATTGTACATGAGAGAGTACGAGAAATCGAGTTTGTGTCCAACATTTTCGTATCGGGAACTTGCTCATTATGTGTTGAACAACAATGACGAAAGAAGGAGAGAGGAGGAGCAGCATGATGCTCTTTTGGAGCAAATAGCCACCACCACCACCAGTAATGAACCAGGGGCTACAGTCATGAATATGATAGGTACTGATAATGATGATAATGACGACGAGAATATGGATAACACCACTCGAACATTTCGATCGGAATCAGAGGAGTGTTCAACATCTTGTCTCAATTCTCTTACCCATAATTATGATGGTCCTCCTTCTCATCCGAGAGCTCTCTCAAGTCAAGTTTTCCGTTGGCTCCTTGCAAACCTTATTGGCTCTCGAGATCGAGTTTCGATGGGGGGTGTGGAGATGAGAGAAAACTTCTCACTCGTGACACCTCTCTTGAGTGCTGAATCTCGTCATGTTCCCACATGTTTCTCAGTGTGTAATGTTTTGAATCGATGTGTGGAATTCATTGGTATTGGAACCTTTGATTATAAACTTCAAGTCTATGTGAGAGATTATGGAGAAGAGTTTTTGAAAGGTTTTCACCGAAAACGTCGACAAAGTCAAGCAAACAAGATCTCAATGTTGAGTGATCGATGGAAACACGTCACGACGAGTGAGGGAAATGAAGAGACCGAAGAGGATGAAGAGGTGACAATATCTGCCTCCTCATTGATCAACTCTGATAGCAAGTATCGCCTTGTGGATAAAACCATTCCGGCACATTACGATGAAATTACTTGCATTCGATTTCTGAATTCTCAATACTTTTCTCACACTCCTCGCTATTATCATGGTGAGAATCAAGCAAGTAGTAGTAGTAGTGGCAACAGTAGCAGCAGCAGCGGAAGCAATACTCACAAAATTGCAACCACCAATGGCGGCACAGGTCCCTCCTTACTCATGATCACAGGTTCTAAGGACAAGACCATTAAGGTTTGGAAAATTGAGTTTTCGCCACCATCTGCACAATATTTGTCGTCATCATGGAACACTAGCGAGTCATCATCATCATCACATGAGACTGTTTGTTCACCATCGATGGATTTCCACATTAAATGCATTGCAACCCTGTCTTCACACACCGATTGGATTCGAGACGTCATTCCAATCAGTAAGCATCCTGATAAGCTCGTATCCATTTCTAGGGACAAGTCCATTAAAATTTGGTCTCTTAATACCATGCAATTGAAGCACAGCATTCAGCCCAACAATTTGGTCTGGTGTATGGCAGATCATGTGGATAAGGGGCTCTTAATCACGGCCTCTACGAGTGGTGAATTGATCTTTTATGATGTTCATACGGGTCACATGGTCCATCACATGAAGCCACACAAAGATCTCATAACCAAAGTTTTGTACATTCCAACACTTCCAGCTGTCTCCTCTCACAATGATGTGCAGACATGCCGTAGAGTCACAAAATTCCAATCACCACCCTTAATGATTACATGCTCTTACGACAAATCCATCTCTGTAATTAATGCAAACAATTTTGAAAGATTGGTTCACATTGATGAAGCACATTCTACTCCAATATTTTCCATTTCAGTGCATGGCCAAAGACTCACCTCAAGCTCTGTGGATGGCTGTGTGAAAAATTGGATCCTCTCCAATTCCTCCTCGTCAATCACAGGTAATATTGTGGAATTGCAGGCAAGTATGGAACAATCTCTCATTGGTTACAAATTACCACAAGAACTTGGAGGCAGTAGAGGAACCAATATTTTTGACCTGAATGGCAACGTGAATCGACAAGTGAAGGTTGTATCATCTGTTCGAAGCAATAGCACCGAAGATATCATCATCTCGAACAACGATGCACACAATTATTTATGCGTTTGGACCTCCAAGCATCACAAGGATATGCAACTCATTCGATATCCTTTGCCCGATGTTGTACTCAATCCGAAAAATCATTATTCCATTCAACAATTATTGAAAGTATTGCCATCCGAGATTATTGTCAAGGATTTCACAATTTGTGGAAATCGTATTATTTGCTTGCTAGAATTTGTGCCCACTGAAAGCACCACTTCGAATCGTTCCAATGCAGGGAACAACGGAGGTCGTGCGCATACTCATCATACTGCTCAGAGTGTGTTCATGCAAAAAAGAGGATGTGTTTGCATGTGGCAATTGTAATGTGCGTATTATCGAATGAGTATTACTGTCATCACATTATTACTACAGTCTTATAAATTAGCAGTCTTTTGTGGCTTTCACAACCAAGCATTTAAAATTATAGTGAAGTTTGTGAAACGAAATCAGCTTCATTTTTATTTTTTTAAAAAAAAAATCAAGTCTTTAACGCTTTTTCCTTCCCTCAAGACTTGATTACCCCAACAACAACTCTTGTTCAATTCGGAGAGAGTTTTATTACCATCCAGTGTTCATATATACATATCAACAATTTAATCATCTATTTATTATTGTTCATCCATACACCACTATATTATTAAACCATGATGATGCACGACGACAATCTCCATCATCCGCACAATATGGATGATATGGAGGGAGATTATGGTGATGATGATCAAATGGATTATGGGGATCAAAATAATCAAGGCTACATGGGAGGCGGAGGAATGGAGGACGAACAACTTCACTATTTTAGTGAAGATGATGAAATCAAGCATCAGGAAGATGTTTGGCCAGTCATTACAGCCTTCTTTGACCAAAAGGGAGGACTTGTAAGACAACAGCTCGACTCCTTCAACGCCTTCATTCAACAAACCATCCAAGAATTGGTCGATGGTACGCCAGAGATTATTCTTGCAAGTAATCAGAGTGTAAAGTTTGGACAAAAGAAAGATTCACAACAAAATCAACAACAATTCAAGTACCATATCAAGTTTGGACAAATTTACCTCTCAAGACCAACCCTTGATACAACAAAATCTGAACAATCAACATCTGACACATACTCATCCATCTATCCTAATGATGCTCGTCTCAGAAACTTGACCTATTCAAGTCCATTGTATGTAGATATTAAAGAGAAGAAGATTTCACTCCGTCCAGGTTCTGCCGCGACACTTTATCAGGCAAATAATTTGGAAGAGGACAATGAGGACTTCACAGTGAGGATCAAGGACTATGAAAAGGTACCAATCGGTTCCATTCCAATCATGCTTAGAAGTGTGTACTGTATGCTAAGTGAAGTGCAGGATGTCACCGACGTTGGTGAATGTCCATTCGATTCTGGTGGTTACTTTATCATTAACGGAGGTGAAAAGGTCATTATCGCGCAAGAACGTATGGCTACCAATCACGTCTATGTTTTCAAAAAGGCCATGAGCAAGTTCAGTTATGTGGCAGAGATTCGTTCGTCACAAGAAGGAGGTTATAGAGCACCAAGTGGCTTTTTCATTAAGATGGAACCTAAGCACGGAAGTAGAAAGGGAGGTATCGGAGGACTCATTCATGCCACCATTCCATACATCAGACAAGATATTCCAATTGTCATTTTGTTTAGAGCTTTGGGATGTACGGCTGATAAGGAAATTATCAAACATATTATCTATAATTTAAATGATGGACAAATGATGGAACTGCTTCGACCTTCTCTCGAAGAGGCTGTTGCCATTCAATCTGACACTGTTGCCCTCGACTATATCGGTAAGAGAGGTAATACAGTCGGTACTGTCCAGGAAAAACGTATTAATCATGCCGAGGAAATTTTGCAAAAAGAAATGCTTCCACATGTCGGTATTGGTGACACCTCCTATGATCGTAAGGCTTACTTTATTGGATACATGGTTCACCGTTTGTTATTGGGAGCTCTAGGAAGAAGACCACTCGACGATCGTGATCACTATGGTAACAAACGTTTGGAGTTGGCTGGAGGACTTTTACAAGGTCTATTCTTGCAATTATTTAAGAAAGTTGTGAAAGAAGTTGAGTCTCAATTGAAGAAGACCATGTTGAGATCGACAGAAATTGATGTTGCATCTGTTGTCAATAAGAGAACCATTACTAAGGGTCTACAATATTCTCTCGCTACTGGAAATTGGGGTGTGCAAGGCTCAAGAGATATTCGTGCTGGTGTTGCACAAGTGCTCAATCGTTTGACCTACACATCAACATTGTCTCACTTGCGTCGATTGAACACTCCAATCGAGAGATCTGGAAAGCAAGCTGCTCCTAGACAATTGCACAATACCCAATGGGGTGTTATTTGTCCAGCTGAAACTCCTGAAGGAGGTGCTTGTGGTTTGGTCAAGAATCTTGCCATGATGTCTTACATTACAGTCGGTACTGACAAGTCAACCATTTCTAAAATGTTGGATGAATTAGGTATTCACAAATTGCACGAGTTGGACGAATCAGACCTGAATAAGTATACGAAGGTATTTTTGAATGGTGTGTGGATGGGTGTTCACCCTACTCCAGATGACTTGGTCAAATACATGAGAGATTTGAGAAGAAACGGAACTATACACATGGAGGTCAGCATTGTACGTGACGTGAGAGAAAAGGAAGTTCGAATTTGGTGTGACAGTGGTCGTTGCGCTCGCCCATTGTTCATTGTCGATCGTGATAATACCACTCTCTACATTAAGAATCATCATGTTCAAGCTCTTCGTGAACAGAACATGACATGGGACAACTTGCTCGAACAAGGTCTCGTTGAATTGATCGATACAGAAGAGGAAGAGTCCATCATGATTGCCATGGACTTTAGAGAATTATTAGACTTTAGAACTCAAGCTCAAGAAGGAAAATCTAAGAAAATCAGTCAACTCACGTACACACATGCTGAAATTCACCCAAGTATGATTCTTGGTATTCTGGGATCCATTATCCCATTCCCTGACCACAACCAATCTCCTCGTAATACCTATCAATCTGCGATGGGTAAGCAAGCCATGGGTGTCTATATTACCAACTTCCAACAACGTATGGACACTTTGGCTCACGTGTTGTACTATCCTCAAAGACCTCTCGTTACTACTCAACCTATGGAATATTTGCGCTTCGGAGAACTTCCAGCAGGTCAAAATGCAGTGGTTGCCATTGCCACCTACTCTGGTTACAACCAAGAAGACTCTGTCATTATGAACCAAAGTGCCATTGATCGTGGTTTGTTCCGTTCTGTCTTTTATCGTACCTATAGTGACCACGAAAGAAAAAAGGGAACCATTGTAGTTGAAAATATTGAAAAACCAAAACGTGATACCACTGCTGGTATGAAAACAAGCACCTATGACAAGCTAGAAGATGACGGTATCATTGCTCCAGGTACTAGAGTTTCTGGATCGGACGTCATTATTGGTAAGACTGTACCAATCCCAGAAGAATCGTCGAAACAAAAGACCAGTCGTCAAACTAGGCTAGATATGAGTACTCCATTGAGAAGCAATGAAAATGGTATTGTAGATACTGTCATTGTGACCACAGATTCTGAAGGATTCAAGTTCGTTAAGGTTAAAGTCAGAGTTGTAAGAATTCCACAAATTGGAGACAAATTCTCCTCTCGCCACGGTCAAAAAGGTACTTGTGGTATCACTTACAGACAAGAGGATTTGCCTTTCACTCGTGAAGGTATTGTGCCAGATATTATTGTCAATCCGCATGCCATTCCATCTCGTATGACCATTGGTCAGCTCATTGAGTGTTTATTGGGAAAGGTCAGCTCCTTGTCAGCCAGTGAAGGTGATGCCACTCCTTTCACAGATGCCAATGTCAACTTCTTCTCAGAAATGCTTCACTCGTATGGTTATCAAAAACGTGCCAACGAGGTCATGTTCAATGGTCACACGGGTAGAAAATTGGAAGCTCAAATCTTTATTGGCCCAACCTATTACCAACGTTTGAAGCACATGGTCGACGATAAGATTCACTCTCGTGCCAGAGGTCCTCTCCAAAACTTGACAAGACAACCTGTCGAAGGTCGTGCCAGAGATGGTGGTCTTCGTTTCGGAGAAATGGAACGTGACTGTATGATTTCACACGGATCTGCTGCATGGTTGAAGGAGCGTTTGTTCCAAGTTTCAGACGAATACCGAGTTCACATTTGCAATGTATGTGGTATGATGGCTACAGCCAATCTCAAACAGTCCATTTTCAAATGCGATGCTTGTGACAACAAGACCAACTTTTCACAAGTCTTCATACCTTATGCATTCAAGCTCATGATTCAAGAATTGATGGCAATGAATTTGGCTGTAAGAATTATCACCACAACCGAATAAACTTTTTAATGTTTCCTCTCCTCATTCGAACGAGATCAGTTTTTGTTCGATCACAAAAAAAAATTTATTGGGGTATATGTACACCGAATCCAGTTGGGATTCTAACTAAGGACACAAGGTCCTTAGTCTTCAATCTTGTCATAGTAGTAGTATTTGTGGCATCTGCCAACGAAGAGGGCTAACAGTACTTGGATTTCAGGCCAATTCCTTTCAATAGCTGGGACGTGCCTTATCGCATCACTATCTGGAGGTAGGAAACCGGAGTGATGGACGTAGAAAATGGGACCATGTGGATTAAACCACGAATTCGAATCTGTGATTGTGCATGGTTGGGAGATTAAAGAGGAGATCTTCATTTCACAGAAGTATCTCACAGGATCAAGCTTCGGACATTCATGTATGTAGTGGATCACAAAAAAAAATGCAAACAAACAACAACAACTCCTTCCGTGTGGAAGAGCCTCTCGCAGTTGAGGAGCAAGATGAATCTTTTCTCCGATTCTTGGATCAACAGGCTCATCAATTGTTGGATAATTTTGAACAAGAGCATCACTCGGAGGAAAATTTTGAACAAAAGCAAAAAAAGACTCGTACTAAGTATTCATCCTTGTCATCGACGAAAAACATGATCATTCTTGATGAAGATACAGTCTCGGAAGAATTCCATGTGATTTCAAACTTAGAATCATGGAAACATTTGAATACTCAGCAAAATCCGACTCGTTTTCATGTACATAAGAAATATCAATGTCGAATCTTGAAAGGACACATTCAAGGCCTGAATGATCCAATAGGGAATATTTTACTGGGAGGAGAGGACGTGGATTTCAGCCCAATTGTCTCAACTTCAAGTTTGCATCGGTTGTTTGTGTCTGAAAGAGTGAGTGCAGATGGAAGTGAGGCGTTTTTTAAACGTTTGAAGAATTTGAATGTAATGGATCAATTGTGTGAAGAGGATCATGTGTTTGATATGAATTTTGGAAGTATGCACACTTTGCTGTGTACGAGAAGAGGAAGAGTTTTTGGATTTGGAAAGTAGGTGGGAGTTGTTGTTGTTGAATATATATTCATTATTTTGATAATAATTATTAATTGGAATGATTGGTGGTATATTCAATATTGAAATTGTTTTAAATTGCCATAATATTATGGCATTATTCACTTTTCGATCCAATTATGTATGAAATATTCATGGTAAATTCGCGAATTTATCATATTTAAATTGTTTCACATGTTTCTCAAATACAGCAACCAATTTGGACAGTTAGGGCTTGGTACTGAAACCTACATTTCCAAACCAAGAGAAATTGTTATTTCGGATGAGAATGGGAAACAAATCATTTTTAGCCATATTTATGCATGTCAAAACTCGTCCTTTTTCCTTAGTCAAAATAACCTGCTTTATTGGTGTGGAAATGGCAGGGAAAAAGTGGTTAAAAAGGTCCGCAATGATTTCTCCTCTAAAATCAAACAAATCGATGGTACACAGCATATCATTGCTATTGTTTGCGAGAATGGAGACTTTTATTTGAGCCGGCAATCGAAATTTGGATCCTTTGATTTACTTGCTATACCTTACAGGGTCATACAGTGTGCTCTATTTGGGGATAAGGTTGTGATTTTGACCAGCAGTTATGAGATGTTTTCTGTTGAGAAATATTTCAAAATTTTAACACGAATTCGACTTGAATTACCAATATTTGAACATGTTGAAAGTGTTCGAGCGACAAATGATCTTTGTTTCTTCTTGACATCCAATCGAGAAATTTATGTTGCCAAATCAAATTTACAGCCAAATCTATTAATTAAGGCACCACCTCTTCCACCACATTTCAAATGGTTTTTATCCACACAAAATTCAAGTGACTATTTTTGTGTGTTTGTGAAAAAGTATTCGCATTTGAAGAGACAGAATTGGTTTTTTGGAAATTTGTTAGGATTGATTAAGCAAATGAATGGAGGAGCAGCACAAGCTCATTATTGTGACATTCAGGTGAAATGTGGTCACTAGTAATGAGAATAGGAATAATAATTTCACAATATTTTTTAATCTTTGAATGCAATACATGGTCCATCAGGTAGTCAATCTTATTATCATTATTATATATAATAAATCATTTCTATGGCATTCTCAGCATATCCGATGTTATTTCCATAATGATCTCTGTCCCTTGATAGGAAGGTAAATCAATTCCAAATTGTTTTAACAATTGAGGTGGCATGAATCGACCTCCAATAAAGTGTCGTCCCTTAAAATTCAATGAACATAATTTTGGAGAAGGTAATGATACCAAAATGTCACATCGTAAACCAAGTTTTAGATTTTCGTCGATATCCACAGTGTCAATTTCCCATCCACTTGGAATGTCAATACTGACCACTGGTATGGAGGAATATTCTGGTTTCTTGACTGTTTCGATGACTATTTTAAATGGTTCTCTAATTCCTGACTTTCCAGAAAAAGAATATCCAAATATTGCATCCAAAATAAAAGTAAAATATGTCAAATCATAATTTTGAAATAATTCATCCAAGCTGAAATATATTGGAATTCCCAAAGTGGTGCATTGCAAAATAAGTCTTTTAAATAAATCTTTTTCTGCAGATTCTTTTTTTGGATAAAGAATCACTGGTTCATATCCAAAATGTTTTAAATGACGAGCCGCAACGAGTCCATCACTCCCCATTATTTTGTGGTCCACAAATGACTAACCGAATATACAACAACAGGAACAACCATTCAAAAAGTCAGAACAATTTTCGAATCCAATTATTTCTCGAGAAATCTCCAACACTCACCTAAAAATTTGGAATTTGAAATTTGTTTCAAAGGAAATGCTTTCACACAGGCATGAGCCACCGACATGCCTATTCCAATACGAACATGCATTCCATCATCATCGGAATGATCATTCGAACAAGTTCAAGTTTTTAGTTTGTTGATCAAAGTGTAATAATAGGAGAAGCAAAAACAAAGTTTAAAAGAGTCGAATTTCATGATCATTACCTGCCATTTCCATCAATGAATCGTTTACAAATCCAAATTCTTCTCCCATGAGAGCCAAATCGATTTGACGAGATTCTTCAGCGTTGAGCAATTTGATCATTTTAAGGATTGCAAATCTGATTTGTCTCTTTTTTATGCGATTGCAACTATTAATGACACTCAATGCATTCTTTTCAATGATTCTTCTTTAGAAATTAGAGTGGTATATATTGAGAAAATGAATTGTTTTCTCAGAGAAAAGTTCTGAGATTTCAAATGAGAGTTCAAAACTTTTCATCAAATGGCCTAAAGAGTTCAGAACAACAAGACATGCAGGAAAATGAGAATCTTTTGTGTATTTAGTATTAATATTCACACATTATTTGGTTTGCTTAATCAACCAATCAACTACATCGGTAATGTTGGTCTTGTGTAAAGCAGAAATTGGAATGACAGCCCAAGGATTCTTCTTGTTGTCAATATAGTCCAAATTCATGTGTTTGACAATGTCGTCTTTTGTAAATCTTCGTTCAACATCAATCTTGTTCAAAACAATCAAAACTGGTTTTCCTTCTAAATCTTTGTTTTCAAGCAATTTGTGAAGTTCTCGTTTTGCCTCTGGGACCTTATCAATATCGGCACCATCCACAACAAAAATTACTACTTGACAACTGCCAGAGTGTTGTACCCACTATTGTGTGTTTCAATGTTGGAAGATGAATGTGAAAATCAGCATCATCATGGCATGTTGAAACAGAATTGTTTTTTGAATTTTTTTACAAGCTTGTGTCAATATTCCGTGATATAATGTCACACCTACCAAATTTCTAAATCTCTCTTGACCACCGAGGTCCATCACTGACATTCATGCGTCGTGACAAGCCACAAATTATGCAACAGTTCAATCATTGATGACATGATGGTTGAGTGGAATCAGAAATGGAGTAATGATGATCATTAAATGACAGTAGTGACATGAAAATGTTAACAAAACAATAATTATTGTGATCAAATCCAATTAATGGAAAAGTCATCATGATAGCATTCAATAATGATGTCTGTCATTACTATCACAAATTTTCACCCAAATACACTCACCTTTCATTGTAACGTTTCCTTTCTTTACATGTCTAACATTGACACCAACAGTGGGTAATGTATCACCAGGTTCATTATCACTGATAACGTTCAACAAAGTGGTCTTTCCGCTGTTGGCCAATCCGACCATCAAAATTTCTAATTGTTTGCCGTTAAACAACTCCCACAACTTGGAAAATAAAGCACCCATGATGATGATGATAAAAACAAGAAATAAATTCAAAATATCACTTGAAAATTGTTGTTGTTGTTAATAATGAATTTCAACCTCGCACAAATTTTGTATTTCTTTTTTGAGCAAGATCAGAATAATTGAAAAATGATCTCTACAAATTCCGATGATGATGATGAAATAACAAAGAGTAGTAAAAAAGCACGTGGTTTCACTAATAAATAGAGAGATGGAGATGAATGAACCTCTCGGCAAATACTTTGAAAATTTTTTTTCAGTCGGACTTGCCTTGTTTTTTGTCAACTGTCGTTTCATAATGAAGTCTCGAGACTAGAAAAGGGGAATCTGATGATGGAAAGATCATGGAGGTGATTCATTGTTTTTCAATGGCGAATTTCTATCAAATGTGTGATGATCCGATTGAGAAATGAGGATTAAAGGACTCAGCTGCAATGATGATGAGGCTCATCCAATTTTTTTAAAATAATTTCAAAAAAAAAATTGAGGCTTTATTGAGGCTTTTAAGAAGGCTTTGTCTTTGTTCCAATCGTTTGAACCATACTTTGTGTTTGATTAAATACCCCGATTATTCATTAAGAGGTGAATTCTTGTGTTGTTGTACAGTATTGTTGTTGTTCAAGATCGGAAGAAAGGAGGGTGAAAGAATCTAACATGAAAATATGAGTGGTGGTTGCAGAAAAGCCTTTCAAACCATTATTTATAGTGTGGTATTTGAAAAGCATGATGATTGCTTCAAATTTTCTGATACGTATTCAGAGTGTGTGGGAACCTATTTGGATGAAAGAGAAGCATATATATTTGCTATAAAGCAAATGTTGAAGGAATCTCTGATTGAGGAAGATTCTGGAGAGGAATTGTCAATTCCTGGAACTAGATTCCCGAATCGTTCAGGTCGTGATGATGATGATCGTATTGAAAATGCAATGGAAGATGACGGGAATGAGCACACGGGATTCCATGAAAACAACCAAAATCATCAAGAATTGAGTATGCTGCTTGATAGGGTTCTTTCCATTTCCAGAAGTAAGCAAAATAATGTCTCCTCTTGTACAGGCCTCTCTTCAGTCAACATCAATTTCATGAACCCCCTCATGTACAAGTTGGCCCGTCTCGAACGTTTGAATTACTATTGCCTGAGGAGTGATGAATTGAAACAGTTGCATCAATATGTGCTTGAAAAGCACATGACTCATTTATGTCCTTGTTTTTCGAAAAAGCCTTCCTATCGAGTGTACAAAGTCTTTGGTTCCATTCTCAATGATCAAGTGGCTCCTTTCATTCACAAATTTGAGCCTTTGCAATTTTCTACTAGGAGTTTTGAATTTCTCTCAGATGTGCAATGCATGACGAATGACAGCAACAGCAACTCTCCTATTCAAAAATAAGAGCTCGGAGTATCATACCTTATTTTCGGACAACTACTAACTTTCGATGTTTCAGTCGTGTTTTGCTGATCAGAACTGATACAAATCTAGAGTTTGATCCAGGCAGGAGGAAGTTGTACATTTGAATTCAGAAAGGACTTGTAGAATGGCTCAACCATGTACTTGTGTAAATCCTCATTCTCATTGTATGATTCTTCGCCATGACTCTCGGAACTATAATGCAAAATGTTATCGGTTTCTTGCATGAGCATGTAGTGACACTGACATTGAAAGTCTCCGCTGGAATGTTTTGGATTCTTTGGACAGTAGATAAAGAGATTTGGCAAAAACCAAGCTCCATGCTCCTTCTGCTTAGTGAGATACATTCTCAACAAGTCACGTATTTGCATAATGATCGTGTCTCCGTTGGGAAGATTTCCACCCAATTTTGGATGTTTGAATGTCACCGAGAGAGGAACTTGGATAGCCAAATTTCTCATTCCCATTTCTTTGCAATCATCCATAATTTTCGAATAGCCATTCATGATTTGTTCATATTCTTGTTCGTTGGTATTTTCAAGGTTGTTGCTGCTACTACTAGAAGTATAATCGCTCTGCGAAACGAGGTGAAAAATTAAATTTGCATAACTCAAATTAGAATGTTTGGTAATGAAATAATCTCCTAGCTTGGGAGTTGTTTCATGATCATTCCCACTTCCATCATAGCCACTACTAGTTGCACAGGACTGAATGTTTTCCCTGACTTGTCTTATTTGCTCGTCAAACGATGGAAAATGAAAATCTGGTCCTTGTGCATGGTTGGCCTCAAATAATATTCTCTCCATATCTCGCATGGCCCATGTCAATGTTGGAGAGTAATATTGCTTGTATGACATCAGTGAGGCTGCATTCGCTTCCTGATGCAAAGCTTGGTCGTTTTCAACGATCGAGCTCTTTTGAATACAACAATTCACCACAAGTGCAGAAAGTCTCGATTGATACAAGTTATAGGTTTGTCTTGCTTTGAATAGAATGTAATCCTCTTCACAGTCACGCTCCTCTTCATCCTTCTTAAAATTTCTACAAATACAATCACTCATATCAGCTGTATAAATGATAAAAACTCTTCCACACAAGCGTCGTGTACTGTCATCTTTATACAATTCAGAATCAGCATCATCCTCAATGAACACATAGGAATCATCATAGGGACTATACAAATCATCGTTCTCCAAATATATTCTCTCAATTTTTTTGTAAATAGAAATGCAATGAAATCTCTCATTTTGAATGAGTCTCGGAATGTCAGTAAGAGTACGTCCATCTCTAAAGATGCGTTTCATCATTCGTTTGATTTCATTCAGCTTTTTACGTGTGGCTTCTTGTTCGGAGGATGTTGTGACATTGCCATGTTTTTCCGTCATCATGGACATTGGTTGTGGGCTATCGATGGCATCAAATGTCTCCAATACAGTCCATGGATCTTGTGAGGTGGTCGTTTTTGGTGAGTTTCTCTTCTTTTTAAATCGAATGGAAAATTTTCGAATAAATGAAGAAAGATGTTCGAATTTGTTGGATGCATTCTGAATGGAATACTTTTCTCCTTGCAATTCATTTCTCAAAAGTAATTCAAATTGTTTTCCACGGGGTTCCATCAAACGAAAACCTGGAAACAATAAATCTTCCTTACTTTTGACAAGATTTGCTTTCGTTTTGGATCGATTTGAAATGACATCTTCCTTGTCGAGGTCTGAAACAAACTTCCAAAAAGCAGTGATCATTTCTTTGTACAATTCTCGTAACTCTTCGTTCCATTTCTCTTCTAATTGTTCTAATTGTTTTATGTGCTCCAAGACCATGACTTGTAATTGATCATTTCGTTCCATGGTCATTTTCTGTTCCATTCCATCGCGATGACTAGTGTCACAAATTTGTGACATTTTGAAAAATTATTTCACACAACATGTCATGATTAATTTCACATCATTTCATTAAAAAAACATTAGAAATAATATTGATATTTCACTCACTCGTAACACAACCTACACTTTCTGAATTTCACTAATTTCTGTCTCTCTACTTTTAATTTTATCTTGATAGGCACATCTTAAATCATTTGCAATTTTTACCAAATAAATTTGATTCACATAACTCGAATGAAAGAGACGATAAAATTTGGAAGTGTCCTGAATGGGCAATGGTGAAATTGTTTCCATGATGTCATCATGATCACCCAATAATGCGTTTGGATGGACATGGTCGTTGTGGTGGATGTTCAATTTTTCTTCCACGTGTTCTTGTTGTCGTTCCATGTCATTGTGAGACTCTTTTTTCATGGCCAATTCCGAGTGGTCGTCATCATCTTCTAAATCATCATCTTCTAAATCATCATCTTCATAATAAAATTCATCCACAATTTGATCATTCTTGATGATTTTACGTTCTCGAATTAATTCCAATAATTGAAAAGTGAGACTATCTTTTAAATAGAGAGGTAATTTATATTCATTGCAACATGTTTGTTCCACAAAATCGAAGAGTGAAAGGTGTGAGTACCATTTCAAATCAAGAGTATGAACAATGTGTCCACGTTCTGAATATCGATATGAAATTTCCATATATTGTTGTTGCTCTTCCTCGTCATTGATGAGAACGGGGAAGGTCGATCGAATGAGTTCCTCCTCATCGGCCAACTCGGATGTCATGTTGAGGTTAACACGTGATCGTTAGATTTTATAAACGCGTTAAAAATCAATAAAAGGTTGGTTGAAAATTTATTGATATCATCGAATAAATAATAAATAAATAGATTTCAATACTATTATAATAAATTAAAGGTTGTGATGATGTCTTGGGTGTTGTGTAAATGTAATTCAAATTTCCAATGTGATATAGGATTTATTTAAAGCTTGGAGACTCTATGACTATTTGGTTTTAATCTAATCATAGAGAGTGTGAATTTTAATTCCACAACAGAAAAGAGAATGCTTACAATCCGAGTTTCTTCTTCAATGAAGCATCAATAGCGTCCATGAATTCCTTGGTATTGAGATATTGGTTACGGCTGACACTGTTCATCATGAATGTGTGAAAATCATGGTTCAGTTTCGTTCAGTTTTCACGTGCATTCCACAATTTATATTCACACAAGTGTGAAAAATCCAATTCATTCCAATCCAATGCAGCAATGGAAATGCAATTGTGTTGTAACAACACACAAAAGTTATTGTTAGCATCACAAATATATACATCATCATTCAACACCAAAATTACTTACTTGTTTCCGTGAATACAGATAGCCAAATCCTTGGTCATCTTTCCTTCTCTGATAGTGTCAATAGTAGCATCCTCCAAAGATTCACAGAACTTAGCCAAAGCATCATTGTTGTCCAACTTGGCACGATGAGCCAAACCACGAGTCCAAGCAAAGATGGAAGCAACTGGATTGGTGGAGGTCTCTTCACCCTTTTGGTGTTGTCTGTAGTGTCTGGTGACAGTACCGTGGGCAGCCTCGGACTCAACAGTCTTACCATCTGGGCACATCAAAACAGAGGTCATCAAACCCAATGAACCATATCCTTGAGCGACAATATCGGATTGGACATCTCCGTCATAGTTCTTACAGGCCCAAATGAAACCACCATTGCTCTTCAAAGTTTGAGCAACCATGTCATCAATAAGACGATGTTCATACCAAATACCCAATTCAGTGAATTTAGCCTTGAATTCCTTTTCATAAATTTCTTGGAAGATGTCCTTGAAACGACCATCGTAGGCCTTCAAGATGGTATTCTTTGTGGACAAGTACAATGGCCACTTCTTATCGACAGCCAAATTGAAGCATGAATAAGCAAAATCACGGATGGATTCATCAGTATTGTACATTCCCATAGCAACACCAGCACCCTCAAAATCAAAGACAGTGTATCTCTTTTGTTCACCACCATTCTTTGGAGTGAAAACAAGTTCCATCTTACCTGGTTCACCAACCACCAAATCGGTTGCCTTGTATTGATCACCGTGAGCATGACGACCAATGACGATTGGTTTGGTCCATCCAGGAACCAATCTTGGAATGTTTTCAATAACGATTGGTTCTCTGAATACAGTACCACCCAAAATGTTACGAATGGTTCCGTTTGGTGATTTCCACATCTTCTTCAATTTGAATTCTTCAACACGTTGTTCATCAGGAGTGATGGTAGCACACTTGATACCAACGTTGTACTTTTTGATGGCATGAGCAGCTTCTTCAGTAATCTTATCATTGGTTTCATCTCTCTTTTGGATACCCAAATCGTAATACTTGATATCAAGATCAAGATATGGAAGGATAAGCTTTTCCTTGATCCAGGCCCAGATAATACGGGTCATTTCATCTCCGTCCAATTCAACGACTGGATTAGCAACTTTAATCTTTTGGAATGAAGCCATGGTGATGGAATTTTTAGTCGAGAAAAATCTCACTGGATGATGATGATGAGAAGAATTTTGCTTGAGCAACAACAAAGCGGAGGCTGTGGTGTTGTGGTGTGGAAATTTTTTGCAAAGAGAAAATCCCGATACAGCGGTTTTCAGCATTTTTTGATCGCGAGAAAATTCAGCGAATGGGAATGGAAAAAATTTCGGCCTCTTCTGAAGGCTTTGCTTCTCGTGTCGTGAGAGGAGAACGTTCTCAGGAGAGAATGGACTGCGATCATCCTATCATTTCATCAATTGGAATTGATTGGTGTCTATCTGAATGAAGAAAGAGAAGAGGCAAATAAAGGGAATGGATCAGTTGCGTTGTAACAACTACTCGGAGTTGAAGTACAAGAGAGAATCAGCAGACACTTGCACCTCATATCCTGAAACCGATCAAGAAGAGAGAACACGCACGAAACGGAGCAATTTGGATCCAATTCGCGAAAAATTAATTGGTTGTTCGCGTTTTTGAAATCTCAGATTCGTTATGTTCGCGATAAGAAACATTCAACGCGAACTGTTTTTTCCTAGTCCCGAAGGTGGGCAACTATTGTGAGAGATCGAGGCCAGCTGGTTTACAAAATGAAGACTCTCTGATTATTTTGTCCATTCCAATAATTTTGAAAGTCTCGAACACACCTCACTAAATTCAGGTCTTTCCAAATAATTGCAATTCCAACAGGAGGTCATGATTGAAATGAATTCTTGTGTCACTTCACACAAAATCTCCATGGAGGTTTGAGAATTTTGCTCCATCAAATAAGTGGCAATCCATTCTCTCATTTCTTCATTGTTTCGGAAAGGTATCACTGGTCTCTCCCCTTTCAACACTTTCACAATAACGTTAAACCTCGAAGTATCGTCATGACGTTGCTCGATAAATTTGTAAAGTTTTTCACAATTCGAATTGTTCAGATAAGGAGTTTCCTCAAAGAATAATTCCCACATGATGATTGCAAAGCTGTAGACATCCACCTTGTGATTATAGTTGGAGTTTCCTTCAATCATTTCCTGTGCGTGAGGATGATGTGAGCACACATGTTTATGGCCAAATGTTCGACGCAGAAATGGAAATTGATTGGTCACACATGAGCAATGAGCAACATTGCATGTGAATTAAAATCTTTGCAATAAATTGTCACACAACAGGCACTACTTACATTAGCCATGTAGGACAACGTGCCAATATTTGTAGTTGCAGAATTTGAATCGGTCAACGCCCTACTAAGCCCAAAATCACAAATCTTCGCTGTGAGATTGTTATCAATCAAAATGTTTCCTGGTTTCAAATCTCTATGAATAATTCCCTTTGGCTTCAACGTATGTAAATAATGCATTCCTTTTGCAACTCCGTATAAAATGTCAATTTTTTGAAAGAGTGTCAACTTGTCAAATCCAAATTTCAAATTGTAGATCAATCGATCAAGACTTCCTCTCTCCACATATTCCACAACAAGTATACTTGTTACTTCCCGCAAGAATGACACCAAAAATTGTACAATATTGGGATGTCTGATACTGCCGAGTAGAGAGGCTTCTCGTTCGAATTCATCATCATCATTTGCAGAATCCATAGATTCGTCTCTTTGTTTGAGCGATTTTAATGCGACCTTAGTTCCGTTCCAACTTGCCAAATACACAGTTCCATTCGCTCCATCTGCAAGTCGTTTCAAAATGTCAATCTCATCAATTGGAATTACCCATTGAGAATATTCTTGTGTTTTTTGGCGATGGGAAGAGACACTTCGTTTTGTGGAGTTGCCACCTGATGTTGTTTGTGATGATGCCTGATCTCTCTCGTTATGACCTTGATTGACTGCGAGTAAGGGTGATTGTTCTGTGTGGAAATTTGAAGGAGGTTGCATTTCACAGCTAGCACTGATATCAGTAGGAATATCTTCTTCTCCGTCTCCCATTAAAACGACTCTCTTTTCCAACAATTTAGATTCCACGAGCTTTTCTGCTTTTTCCTTACTCTCCAGTCGTTTCAATTTGGAAACAACATTTCTAATGAGTCGAATGAATGCATACATGGCAAGAAGAAATAATGAAAATACTACAATGGAAGTAATTGAGGCAACAGCAATAATGGTTTCATAGGGAATATAGGGTTCATCCACACAAATCCATGCTCCATCCAAAATGTCTTGTTTGGCGAGAATCTTTCCTTGAGGACATTTTTCAATGTGAATGATGGTGTCAATCTTTGTGTTAGGGTCGAGATAAATCGATGGTGACACTTGTCGCAGATCTGGTGTAAAAATGGCCATTGTCACAGATTTGAGTGACAGTGAATGGTTGACATTTGTTTCATAATTTAGAACTGCACCTTCAGATTCTTCCAAATGAAAACGTATGGGGTTTTTCTAAGAATTTCACCCTTTCGGATACATTATTCCACACCGATACTTCCAGTAAAGAAATTACTTGTCCCGGATACAGATAGAGCTCAGGACTTTGATTGTTTCTAAAAGTTGAGTTATTTCCAGACGAGTACTGAACAGAAACGTCGAAGGTAATCGAATGCAACGATTCAGCTCTATCATTCCATAAGAGAACCCTTCATTATGGTCGAATGTGACGTCCTTCCAGTTAATAGATGCTTGAGAGGTTGATTCCAAATAAATACATCCTCCAGCAAAGAATGCAGTATTGCAAAGACACGAAAAGGAAACACTCAATAGAGCGTCATTAAACGTTCCATAACCCACGTACAAGGCACCTCCTTTAGAATTGGCAAAATTTTGAATAAAGTTCACAAACGTCAAAGAGAGCAGCTTGGTCTCCACATAAACAGCTCCACCATTGACAGCAGCATTGTTTCTGAATGTGGAAGATTGAAGGTGAATCAAGTAAAAGGTCAGTTGAAGAGCTCCTCCTTTGCATCCTTCAGAGAGGCATGTGTTATTCTCAAAAATTGTTGTAAACATTTGAAAGGTTGAAGTTGGACCAGCTAAAAACTCGTCAAGATTTGATTTCACAGTCATGCATGGACCGACATTGTTTGTAAAATTTGAATCATAGACACGAATGCCTTGTGCTTCTCGTACATGGAAGAGAGGAACTCTATTGTTGTAACTCATAACGTCCTTCAAAAGTTATCCAGAGATTGTCTCCACATTAATGAGATACTTGTTAGATTGATCGAATGCTTCCAAATTGCTAAATGTACATCCAATGAGAGAAACAAATGTGACACCATGAAAACGAATGTTTGCCTTGTCAATGACGGAAACCCTCGAATAAGTTGTCTCGTAGGAAAATAAATGTTGAACAATGTTACTTCCATAAAATTGTACATTGTCGAAAATGGTATTGTTAAATTCATAAATGATAAATATGGTATGAATAATTTGACAATTAATGATACTAAAATAAATATTCTGTTGTCTTAGAGCCAGTATTCGATCATCTACTGTGAATTGAAAATTCTCAATTCTGCAATTTGAAAGAGAAATTTTAGAGGCAATTTTGGACGAGATGGTTGAATTTGCAATGTTACTAGAAGTGATTTTTATCCAACGCCTATTTTGGACAGAAATGGTTGAATTTTTGATTGAACTTTGTGAAAATGAGAGCGTTCGAGAAGGTGGATCTATTGAGGTCATATCGTTGTCTGAAAGATGTACTTGATTCAAATCAACTACAAAAGCTTCAAAGATGCTAATTGTCGGAAATGCCAACCAAATATTCATTCTTTGTAATTTAACTCCAATAATTGATAAATGTTGCACACCTAGATGTTTCGCCAATTTCTTATAGTCGCAATCCAAAGTAATCATTTGTTTAACAGAGAGAGATGTAATTGTCACTTGTTGAAAATATCCATCCACATCAATAGTACATTGTTCTCTCCCGTAGATGGTATTACCATTGCTGTCATTCATCAATTTTAAAAACACCTTTTAAAAAGTAGTATTTGTAGAAGCAAATCGAAGAGCTTCCTCTATCGACCCACACGGAGTTTGAATATTTACACAATTCATGAATTCACTATTAATAATATTTCCATTACAAGCCTTGTGAGAGATGGAGAACCAATGGGCTGAACATACAGCACGAGTGTATCATCATCCGTATAATTCCTAATGATTTGTTCTTCCATATTGATTCGTTTCAAAAACTTCTCCAAATGTCTCTCTTCTCGACTATTAATATGACTTTTTTTCGTCGTCGAAAAAGAATTCTTTGTTGTAATAGAAGAAGAAGAATTGTTTTGAAGGCTTCCAAAGATGAATGAATAATGGGAGGAGGACTGATCAGTAACTTTGGATGGAGGAAACGAAAAGAAAAAGGCTCAACCAGTAGTAGCAGTGAGAATAAATGGACTGCCGCCATTTGGACATTTTTTTGAAATTGTGCGAGGTGAAAATGTTTGAATTCGAAAGAGGTGAAAAATCATTGATGAAAGCGAAGCAGACAGTTCAGTGGAGGATGGTCGTCGATTAAGTAATAATATAGTCATGTCAGTATAATTTCAAAATCGTCTTTTCGAACAGGGTTGAATTTGGAAATGTCCAAAAAGGAAATATTCAACCTCACTTGAAACCTTCATTGTTCAAACTCACACATGTTCATTCCATCACCATCTTCCTGTACAATTGAGAACATGTTGCGTGACACTCAATCTCTCTTGAATGGAAAATGTCATCTCGCAAGAACCCAAGATTACAAAAAAAAATTTCACTTCCAAAACCTTCTCTCACATCATCATGAGAGTCAACAACAACAACAACAACATCCACAATCCGTTCGTTGGAAATGTTACAACCGCTCTTCTTCCTTTCAACGTTCTCGTACAATCTTTGATGCAATGGCCCAAAGTCCTCGAATCAAATTCTTCTGTTTTCATCATGAAGATACATCCTCTGATTCATCCACTCCACGATTTAATTCGAAACATTTCAAACATGTTGGGAGTAGATGAATCGGCAGCAACGTACATGTTCTTTCTGATGGTCATGAATTTTCCAATGGCAGTTCTGTTGAGAATGACTCGATTTGGAAAGTGGCGAGCTTTTTTGGGAATGTGGATGGGATTGTTTTACACGTTTTATACGTTTGGTGTTGAAACTTTGCATTCAATTGTGGTACCTCTCATCGTGTATATTTGGCTCTATGTCACTGTTGGAATGAGTGATCGAGTGGTCCAATATTTGAGACAGCAACGTCGAACTCGAATGGTGGTTCCAATGGTGGCATTTGTCTTCTCTTTTGGATACTTGCTGGTGTGTCACTATCATCGAATGTTAACGGATTATTTAGGATGGAAATTGGATTTTACAGGTCTGCAAATGCTCATTACTTTGAAGTGTGTGGCTGTGGCTTGGAATTTACATGATGGAATTTTGTTAAATAATCCTGAAAAATCTTCACAAGTGATGTCTCATCATCATCCATTCCATCGAATCCATCGATTGGAACGAATGCCATCTCTTTTGGAATATTTTGGTTTTTTATTTTTCTGTATTCCAGTGTTATCTGGTCCAATTTATGAAATGAGTGATTATTTGAATTTTATTTATGGACAAGATTTGAATCACAACAACAATAAGGACAACAATGATGATGATACAAGTGATGATTTGAAGAATACCAACAGAGAGAGAAACAATCCACCCATTCCTTATTTATTAATTTCTAAAAAGATCCTTCTTGCCATTTTCAACATGTTTCTCGTTTTGAAAACAGCTCCCTATTTTGGAAGAGAAACATTCGAATCGATCATTTACGAGAGAGAAGGACACAAAGAATTGATGAATCATTCAACCAAGATTCTTAATCCAAACTCTCTCTTGTACAAATTTTTATTTTCATTTGCATGCATGACTTCGATCAAATTTAAATATATTGTTGGATGGTGTTGGAGTGAAGCTGCATTACTCATCGCTGGTTTTGGATATCAGAGAGATTACAAAAATGGTGAATTTAGTTTTGAAGGCGCAGAGGCAGTGAAATTTTTGGATCATTTTCTTGCTTCGAATCTACGTGATGTGACAACGACTTGGAATGTTTCAGTGTCAAAATGGTTGAGAAATTATGTGTATACTCGAGTGGGAGAACGACCAGGTACTTTAGCAACGGTGGTGACATTTATTGTGAGTGCCATTTGGCATGGTAAGTTTTTTTTAACATAATTTGACAAGTGTCATGAATCATCCGATCCATGAACACCTTTATTAACCTTATTTAATATTACAAATCCATCTCGATCACAACAATGAATCTCCTTCCTTAAAATCAATTTCTCTATTTTTCAAACCTTATCCTTATGAATTTCAAAAATGAATTTCACAATTTTTCAATTCAACTCAACCTATTCAATACATTATGAATTTCACAATTTTTCACATCAATCCCATCAACAACAACAACAACAACAGGAGTCTACGCAGGATATGCCATCGTGTGGATTCATTACGCTCTGGCCATGAGTCTCATTGGACGTTTGGCTCACAAAAAGATGAGACCCTATTTTCTAAATGATCCAGAACATGTCTTTTCAGAGAAGAATAGCCGTGTCATGTCATGTATTTACAAAGTGTTGTCATTTATTGCCACTGCATGTTTCACCTCTTACTTGTTGCCTCCCTTCTTGTTATTGTCTTGGGAACATTCGATTCAATTTTTTAGATCCATGTATTGGTGTGGACATTTGGCGTTTGTTCCAATTTATTTAATTTTGAATTATTTGCCCAGTACAAGAGGAAGAGAGAAGCACCATCTGTCTTCTGACCAAATGGATATCAATATTCAAAAGAAGAAGAAGGTACAATAATTTGAGATGCACACATGTGCTTTGACACACATATGTCATGAAATGAAGACTGAATCACTACTATTGCTTCACATGATTCAAATAAGAAAAAATAAAACTTTGACCTAAAAAACCTGTCAAATAGTTCATATTTTATATTAAACATATTCTTTCCTTTTGTTTTGTGACCATCACCGTAAGAAAATCCAAAAAGAGATGTCTAAGAGAGAAGAACTTTGATGCATAATATCGAAAAGCTTGGAAGTGTTTCTTTTCGTTGTCAAGAATTCCAATATTTCTCATTGTTGAAATCCATTTCGGTTCGTTGATCGAAACTTCTAACACGGAAAGGTCATATCCTTTTTAAGCAGGCTCTTCTTGCTTTGAGCACTCTGTCTTTGCTCCAAACAATTCACTCTTGGCTCTACCACAAACTACTCTGTGCTTAATGGAAGAATGATCTTTCATTTGTAAACCGATTTGAATACATTTAAAGGAACCACTACAAAAACTCATCATGAGGAAATTGTCAAACCTTGGTTCTTCATTAAATTTTTAAATTGGTTCTGCAGTAGGAGAAACTGATTCCATGAGTGACAAGTAAACGAGGTTCAATAGCAAAAATATGCCCTAACATTTTGAGAGAATCTAAGGAAGACTAACTCAATGAGGGACCCATCAAACCTGTAGATGCAACGAACAGCCATCCAGCCAAGATGGTCCTCGCTGCAGAAATTGTTGACAGTTACAACCGAACACAGCCGATATCATCCGGATTTGGATGGCTGAGAAAGAATTTCAAAAGAAGAATTTATTTCGTTGATAACAATAAAACACCGTTTTCAACCTTGACTCTTCTTGGTGATAAAGTAAATTCTGAGTGAAATGTGCTGAAACGATCACCCATCGACGATCTTTACAACGGTTTTCATTGCAAAATCTGAAAGTATTCAGTTTTCTCCAATCAGTCAACGTTTTTTGTTCGTCTTGATCCTCTTCGACTACTGTTTGATTTGCTTAATGATCTCCACCTTTCTTGGAATAATCAAATTCGTTTGGTGTCAATTCAAAGATTTCACGTTGTTTCATAATCTTTCTTCCCAAAACTCTCAAAAATGCAATTCATCATGTGTGAGTTTGTGAGTGGAACAATACAAAAACTGCTCGATCAATTTTGTTGGCTGTCATTTTCCTAATTATGACAGTTCGCCAACGTGTTATAGGACGTCGTATCCGACGTTAAATCGCAGGAAGGACCTGTCAGATATGCATGTGTAGTCATAGGTACAACATTTTTAATGTTGTTGATGACAATGTTTAAAAAATTCGCGGTTGACAGGACTCGAACCTGTGCGGGTCTCCCCAATTGATTTCTAGTCAATCGCCTTAACCACTCGGCCACAACCGCCTCGTTATTTAATCAAACGAATATTATAGTCATAATAAAATTACTTAGAAACTATCATTTTGAATGCTTGTCACTAATGTTGGTGTTTCGAAATATGAACATGTTGAACGACACTCTCACATGAAAAGGGTATCCACATCAATCCCAAATCATGTTCCAAAATGTGAGCCAGTTGTTGACCTCTTGAGGAGTGAAATGAACACAACACCTAAGAGAATTGGGTCTAGAACTAGTGGACCTGAATCACCCGTGACACAAGTCTCTCCGAAATGGAGGAATTGGATTGGAGGAAAAACTCGTCCTTGTTGCTGTCACCTCTTCTTCAGGTTCTAGCTCAGAGTGGGTTGTCATGAGAGTAAACTTTTTTCCAAGATGGAGTTGGTTATCTTTTTAATCTTGACCAACTTTACAAATTTGGAAGGTTCTGCTTCGCAAAGAGATTTCAAAGCTTGCCAAAGTAAAAACATGGACCAACATGGGTGATCTACCGCCGATTGCAAAAATAAGATCAAGTCTTGTAATTAACATGATGTAAATACTTTTGTGAGCATTGTAAAAAAGCTCAACAAGAATAAAAAGAAAACAATGTTCCATTTCTTCATTATTAAATACGTTCAAAGTCTGATCCTTCGCGTTGCTTTGAGAATTTAGCTCTCAACTTCTTGTATGCAAAGTAAGCAGCACCAATCAAGGCACAAAGCACAAATTCTCCTCCAAAAACTCCAATCAACATGTATTCCCAGCCTTCTCTCACAATTTTAGGAGTACACGAGAAGGAGAGGGTTGAAATGGCTGCTCCTTCCCCCTTCATGTTCCATGCCATGAAGAGATGTTCATAATTTTGTTCGTGTGAAGTTGGATACAATTCAACCTTAAAGGTACGAACAACACCATGATTGGGTCTCATTTGTTTGTAACCAAGAGGTGACTCAAGATTGGAGACGCTATACAAGTGCACATAGCCTGACAGCTCTGGTTCTTCATAGAATGGAGCTCCATCTTTCTTGGTTCGAACAATGGAACCGACTGCAATGGTGTCGTTGTAACCATAAAAATTGGCACTCACAGTAAGGGCCTCAGAATTGGAAATTTGCACATCATCAATGTTGACAAGAGAGAATTGTTCGGCAGTGGTTTTTGAGGTTGGGAATGGTTTGTAGTCGTCCAAGTGGACAGAATAAATAAAGGCATTCTTATCAGTTTCTCCCTCTTCGGAGAAGACGGTAGTACCCACAAGAATGAGATATTGATCATTACTTCCCGATAATGTCATGTCATTGATACGCCAAACCTTCATCTTGTCATTCGAGAAGAGATCAATGGTTCTCTCAGTACTAGTGAAGAGTTGAACGATTTTTACAACCTTAAGACTATCTAGGGAGGATGCGTCAAGGGTCATGAGAACATTTACAAATTTGACACTTTCTTGTGATGGGAATTGGATGTTCGTATTGTGGGCAAGGTTGTGGAATTTTTCAAATGCAGCTTGTTGTTCTCTGAATAAGGTAAAGTAGACATGAATTTGTTTTCTAGCAGTGCTATAGAGGAATTTCACGTTATTGGCATAGACAGTTCCACTGAGTCCGTCACCAACAATGGAAGGAACTAATAAAAGACTCGATGTCACTGCGAATGATTCATGGAATGGGGTCAATCTCAAAATACGAATAGCATTTGCATCAGATTTGTGCAATACCAATAACTCGTTTTGATTTGAAACTGGGTTCACAATGTCAAGCATGAGAATGGGCTTGTAGAAAATATCGGATGTGACTGCATTGGCAGAGGTGAGAGTTTCAAAACCGATCGAGTTACCAGTTTTGCTTGAATAAACAGGATCCTTGTCAACATTGTTAATTATAATTGGGAAAGTAGCAATGGCATCGGTGACGTTTGGACGAAGAGCATAATTAGTCGCATCCACAATATATAAATATGGAATCACTTTGGAACTGAGCGCACCATTTTGTTCTCCATATTGCCGACCAGCAATTACACTCCACAAGAAGTATTGTCTCTTGGAATTTTGATTCACGACAGTATTTGGAAGCATGATTACTCGGTCACAATATGGCATGCCCGTCTTGGTCACATTGATATTGCAGTCCATTAATTTCTGAATATTATTGGAGCCCAATCTCGAGTTCATCATGTAAACAGTCTTGTAAAAATGTTTGTCCTCTTGATTTTTCACCACATGATACATCATGGTAAAGGTCGTTCCCTTAAATGTATCATTGATTGTGGGGTCATTATTTGGCAAAGGTTGAGAAGCACCGTCGACATCAATTAAAAATTGGAGAGTTGGTAATTGAGGGAAATAAATTGGATATACCCCATTCAAAAACGAGGCATCTGTACCATTCCAATGCAATAATGTAATATTTGAAGAGGAGCAAGGACGTTCCTGAGCCGAGACTGTGTGCCCAGTGCTGAAAACACTTCCTAACAACAGAATAGTCGATACGGAAAGGACAAGTGTCATCATCGTGAGGAACCGTGTATGATGATGATTCACCATTTTGAGTCTTGGTGATGATGATGAAACTGATACTAACGAAGAAGATACTATCATGATGACCTATTCAAAGCGAGTGTATTATTATTATTGGACGATTCAAAAGTATTCAACAATAAATATAGAAATGTTAGAAAAACGGTTCCGTACTGTTCCAAGAAGAGCTCCCGATAACTGGCGTCCACAGAAAATTGGATGATAGCAGCAATGAGAGCCAAGAGTCTTTTTCAAATCCTGAAAGAATCACCTGAATTCACTCACAACGTGTTATGAGAACTGTGCGTATTTTTTTTGAATCATTCACCACTAGTGGTGATGGATTCGAAAATAATGGGATGTTGTTTTTTAAACTCCGAGCAGGAATGTCATGACCAAAAGGTCTCAGAGGACTGCCCATTGCAATGCGCATCCACCACCACACCAAGGATTCTCCCAGTCGTTCTAGGAAATGCAAAAAGGAAGTGGATGGAATTTGTCATAATGAGATGCTTGGAATGATTTTGACTTTTCCAAATTCTGTTGTGCTTTTCTGCGGCATGCAGAGATGTTGACAGCCTCTGTAATGCGGCTCTCATACTATTCTTGTGAGATGATCATGTTGTAGTCTTGTGAAAGGGTAGAGGAGGAGTAATATGATATAATAGGAGATGGTTTAAAAACCAAACAATGAAAGATGGTTTAATGTTTTAAAACTTTTAAAAGAGGACATACCTTAATAGAATGATCGATGCTTTAGAGTTTAATGCTGCAACATTAACAGAGAGAGACACTTTGTTTCTCATTCAATTCACTACATCATTTCGATGTCTCAAAATTGTACAAGTCGTACCATTCGAAGCTCACAACAGACTTGGGACCATCATTGGTAGGCACATGGGATAACTAGTGATTTATTTCATTCATTCGAGACAAGACATGACCTTCTTGGTGGCAACCACACAGCCACATGTGATGAAATGCAATCATTCATCTTTGAGCCTCAATCAAAGTCATTGCATTCTCTCAATCGGCGACAATTTTCAAATTCAATATCGGGATTGCATTTAACGAAATTCAAAAAAAAATTGCCATCATCGGTTTAGTGTCTGTTGTTGTTGTCGGATTGCAATGAACAACTGTTTGGGAGCATAAATAACAAACATCATCATTATCATATAACAGTATTATTGGAATTGCTAGAATATTTACGAGTTTTTATATACCAAACAATAACAATTTGCAAGATCAAGACCATCATCGGAAACAAATTTTTTGAAATTTCAGTTATTATTTTCTCATCATCATTATTATTCGCAAGAACACACAAACAAGATACATCATATTCACAGCAACAACAACAAGAATAATCATACGAGCATAATTATTCCAAACATTTTTATCAACCATGCCTGAAATTTGGTGTCAGACTTGCCAGGCATATGTCACTCCTGAGCAGGGAGCCACTTCAGGACTTTACTGTGGCGAGTGCGGAGAGGAATTGGAGAGTTTTTCCTTTGAGGAAGGAATTGAATTTAATGAGGATCACACAATGGCAGGTCATTTCATTTCATCAGAGAGGGCTGCTGCGAGTGCAGCAACTGCTTTGGCAGGTGTTCCACAATTTGCCTATGACGAGAATGGAAAATTAGTATTTTCGTCTGCCGTGCCACAATCGACCACGTCAGATATGGATCAACCCATGACGGAGAGTCGACTTCAAACCATTGAAAAAGCAAAAAGAAGAATTGCAACGATTGCACTCATGATGAAAATTCCCAATCATTACATTGATCGAGCGACCAATACATACAAATTGGCCCTACTGAAAGGTTGCACCAAGTCGAGAAATCCAGAAATTGTTGCCGCTGCATGTTTGTACTTTGTGCTACGACAGGACAAGCAACCATTCATGTTAATGGATTTTTCAGAGGCCATGAAAACGGACGTCTTCTTAATTGGCCATTGTTTTTTGGATTTGATGAATGCACTGAATTTCAAGTTGCCAACTGTGGAACCATTCTTTTATGTGCGACGATTTGCAAATCGACTCTTACTAAACTCGATCAAGGAAAATCAAACACAACATCAGCATCAAGAAGCAATCAACAGGGTCATTCAAACTACTCTAAAATTAATTGCAAACATGAAAAGAAATTGGATTCAAACAGGACGAAGACCTGCAGGTATTTGTGCCGCTGCTCTTCTTGTTGCTGCTCGAATTCACGGCTTCAAAAATGTTTCCAAGCAAGATGTTGTCAAGGTTGTAAAAATTTGTACAGTCACGCTCACCAAACGTTTAATGGAATTTGACAAGACAGAGACTGCTCAACTCTCTTTTGATGAGTTTGAAAAACGAGAGCAAGAAATTAATAATGGTACCTTCCAAGGAACGATTGAAGTTTTGGACCCTCCAGCATTTTCCAAATCGCTCAAGGAAAAGATGAAATTAATGGAACGAGATAAAAGTAGAGACAAAGATGCCGACACTGAATCTGTCATGACCACACAAAACGATGCTCTTTTCACAGATGTCAATGATAAGGATGTCGAAGAGGCAGAACAACTCATGCAAGATAAGGACATTGAACTAATCACAACTGAACTTGAAAAGGGTGATCAATTTGCTCGTCAAGAACGTGAAAAAGCAAAGAAATTGGCCAAGTCACCTCCTGTGCAATCAATTTCCACCCCTCCACCACAAAGCTCCTCTCAATCACATGTTGTTTTGACATCATCGTCGAATGCGAGTATTGACAAAACTATTGAACAAACTCAAGGAGAAGAAGAATTTGATGAGTTTGAAAATGGTTTTGACAAGGAAGAGCCTCATCAAAACAAAAAGGCCACTATTCAAGAGACAAATTTACAGACCACAGACCAAAACGACCAAGCTCCTCAACAACAAGATCCACCTGAAGAGGAGGTTGATACCCTCTCTGATTTTGAAGATGACTCTGAAATTGAAGAAGTAGTCATTACAGAAGAATCTGAAATTGAGAGTCGAGAAAAGTTATGGAATGAACTTCATTTAGAATACGTACAAATGATGGAAGAAAATAAGAAGGAGAAAGAGGAGAAGCGAAGACAAGGTGGTGGCAGAAGGCGAAGAACGGCCGGTAGAGCTGTGGATGCTGTGGATGCCTCTTCGAGCTCTATCTATAATATTGGAGGATTAATGTATGGAACTCAACCTAATATTTCACAAGTTGAGAGTCATGCTGTCTACAGAAGTGCTTCAGAAGCTTCTGCTAATTTATTGAGAGCCAAAATTGCCCGCAATCTTGTATCCAAGTCTCTCTTCGATGAGGATGAACTCATTAGTGACACACAAAATCACACTGTTGAAAAAGTTCATTTGGATGAGGAGGCAGATGATTACAGCATGACTCATCGATCTGTGCTAGGAAAAAGACAAAGTATTCAGGAAAAGAACAAAATTGATCGAAGAAATGAAAATGAGTTTACAGATGATTTTGAGGACGAATTTGCTGAGGAAGAAGAAACCACTATTTCTGCTCATGCCAAAAAATATAAAGCTAGGTGAATGAGGAGACATAACTTTATGAATGACATACAGATTGATTTTAGATATAGAGACTTATCATCGATGATGATGGTGTGAGGTCATGTATCTGCTCCAGAGATTTATGTTTTTGCATATTTTTTGGCACTCAGAGTTTGAGTGTAGAACTACTTTTCGATCATTCTCAATGATTCAGAAACATCATCGTTTTGCAGAATAAGTAAAAATTTATGGATTTGTAACTTTCTTGATTACTATTTTTACAATAGATTACTTTTGTGACTTTGCCTTACGTTTGCTGTTACTCTTCTTCTCTTGATCGTCTTCCTCTTCCAACATCTTTCTACCACTTTCCATACGTTTTTGGTAAATTTCGTCCGAAGATAAATGACTCCAATTAAAACCTGCCATTCCTTGCTCAAATACATAGGCAGTGGTAACAGCCTTCTCCCAATTATTGGCTTCATGAATTCGTTTTGACATGATCATTATGTCCAATAGAAGATTGACCTCCCTACATCTAAAGTACTTTAGCGCAAAGCTTTGTCAGTCATTCTGAATTTCACTCCCAATTCAGCAGAGCTTCTTTTCAAAGGTTTCTTGATGAGTTGTTTCGTGGACTTGAGAGAAATAATTCGAGTTGGATTGGCCATGTCTCGCTCCAATTGTTTTTGAGCTCGTTCTGAGAGGCCAAACAACAAAATTTTTTGGGCTCAAAGAATTTTGCGTTTTCCACATTCCACAGATTCTTGTCACTTTTCTGCTCCTGCTCCCCAATTTAACAAATAATACTCTTCTTGATGAAGCATTCAATAGATATCTTTCAATGACTACCTTTTCGTCTCTCGTCTTTTCATATCTTCTGCAATAATGTCATCCACGAGCTTTGACAACTTTTCCACTTTAGTTAGAGGAAATATCTCATAAAACTCGTTTTCAATGGCCTCAAATTGTTCCTCTGTTATTTTCGGGTCCATAATCATATCAATAAGTCCTATATCTAGATTTGCTAATCTATAGGCTGCTAAGGATGTTGTTTTGTCTGTTGTTTCGCTGCGTGTTATTTGAGAGGAGGAAGAGGCGATCGTTTTGTCTTGCAAGACAGTGGTTTTTCTTGGGAAGGTGGAGGAGGAAGCTTGCAAGGATGCATTTCTCACTTGGTTGTGACTCTCTTTGCTAGTTGGAGTCTTATTAACAAGAGGAGGGGGAGAAGATAATAATTTCGTTCTAGCTGGTGGCTTCATACTCGTATCGGCTAAGCTACTTGAAGTCGAACTTTTGGATTTTCTGTACTTGCGTGATTTCACAAAGGATGCACTTCGTGGTTGAATCACCTCTTCGGATGAAAAGTCACTGCCTACTCTTTTCTCAGCTATTTTGGAGTGATTGCCACCAGCACTCTCACTGGGTTGGCTCAAAATATTGTCATTTTGGGCAGGAGTTGATACGCTACTGACGACAGTTTTAGTTCGAATGGGTCGTGTTAGAACTTGCTTATTAGTGGTGGCCTCTGAATGGTTGCGTTTCTGTTTGCTAAATTCCACTGCAAGTAATTTTAGAAATGAATAATTCTTTGTGACGGATGGGTTGAGTTGGTCGTCGTTGTAGGTACCACCAGAGGTCAATGATTTTTGTAATTCCTCTAATGTCAATCTTTTTGTTGGATCTGGATGCATCATTTGTGTCACAACCTCATGTAACATTTCACTGTAGTTTGTGCGTTGCAAATTTTTCAAGTGCTGTTTGACCTCTTGTGGTTCATCCGACAAAATGGCTTGCCCTGTCATGGTCCAACATAATGTGGCTCCTAATGAAAATACATCTGATGCTGGTGAGTAGGGCCATTCGTTTTTCTCGTCCTTAACAAAATTTCTAATGTCAGGAGAAACGTATCTTTCATCGATAGGCCAGTAATGTGTGGATTTTTCAAAAACAAAACCAGAGAGGCAAACATGAATTTCATCTGTCTCGTACTTCAGTGACTTGACCAAAATGCTACTCGGTATGATATTTCGATGCAACATGCTCTTCTGTGAATTCATGTACTGTAAGGCACTAGCTACTTGTTGAAGTAATGAATGTAACATCTTTTCAGAAGGCGGTTTTTCAATACTTTCAAAGCATTCTTCCAAGCTCCCGTGTTCCATATAGTCCATTTCAATGCAAAGTAAATTGCCAAGTATAAATGGAGGATACATTGGAATAATGTTTGGATGATTAAGCTGCGTAATTTTCGTTGCCAAGTCCAAATATTCTTGCATGTTACCATGTGGTGGTAAGAGTATTGTTTTAACAGTTCGTTTCTCTCCATTTTCCTTCAACAAGACTTCACAAACTCTCGAATCGTGAGAGAATTCTCGTTTCTTCCAAATGACCTTTTGATATCTCGACTCGAGAAGTTGAAGATTATTTTGAATCTCTTGATTTCCCTCAACTGAAGGTATTTCTTCTGGGGAAATGGTCTTTTCAGACTCATGACTCTTGTTTTCATGAGAAGATAAATGTTGTTGTATCTCTTTGGGTGTCTCTTTGTCGCCTTGTGTGCCAGTGACATTGTCACCGATTTGAATTCTTTCCTCGTGATCTGAATCGACATTAATGACTTTGTGTTCCTCCAAATCTGTTGTGTCCATACCATGAAATTCATTCGTGTGTGTCTGTATAAGAGTAGTAGTATCCATTTCTGATGAAGAAACATTTTGATGAATGTTGACATTGGTTGATACTATTTCGTCAAATGGTTCATCCTCGGTTGAATCATCCATATCGTCTTCAATCAATGTTGGACTGTTGTTGATCATGGTGTTGGAATTATTTTGATCATGACGAGAGACAATGTGGTTGTTGTTATCGTTGGTGAATGTTTGTGTTGCTATATTGCCTTCATAATCATCATCATCGGAAGCATCAACAATTTCAATCACTTCCCGATGATGATCATTCCCACTTAACGACATGAATGTTTGGTTTGTACAAAGAAAGGCTCTCTTCGGAATGATGATGTCCTCAACCTTCCTCCACGAATAATAATTAATTGTGGTTATTATTCTTGTTGATGAAACCTCCGTTCAATGCGTAATATGAAACAATTGAGTCATTCAACTGTTTGGATGCAACGTTTGTTTGTTCTTCTTGTTATCACCCAATCACTTCTTCTTTAAATTGAACCCAAAGAATAATATTTAAATTTTTTTTTCAATTCGATTTCGAAAAAATTTTTCATCATCGCCATCAACATCATGCTCAAAGCACGTATGAAAGAGAAGCAACAACAACTGGCTTCTTCCTCGTCTTCCTCCACTCCAGTAACCACTCCTCCCATCCATACCTCTTCAAGTACCTCTCCTAATACTATCACTACTGCTTCCTCGTCCGCATTGGTTGGTGGTGGTGTTTCTACCAACACAAACACGACTCCGTCCAATTTTGGTTTGCCTATTTCTTCTTTGATGGCTGGCGATGAGAGTCATCACGGTTTTTCTTCTGCCATGATTGGTTCAACCTCGGGTAGTGGTGTTAATAGTTTGAAAAGATCTCATCACGAGCTCGAGGAAGATGAGGACGATGAAGAAGATTTCCAGAGTATGGAGAGTGCGAGCAAGCAACCTCATCATAGCTTGAATGAGGACGAGGATGAGTCATCATCCTCCCACTCGGGTACCAATAACGAAGGAACCTCCTCCACCACCATCCCCAACGCCCAGAATCAGGATCATACAACGCCCGTTTCTACTGGTACTCACAACTCTGCTCTTTCGGCCGTTCCTACTGGTTCATCCTCCACAGCAGCATCGACAACAGCAAATGGTAGTGCGATGGCCTCCTACAATGGAAAACCACTTGCTCCTCCTTCCAAAGTTCTTCTCTTCTCGAATCTCCCTGTGAATTGTCAGAAATCTGAAGTGTTGGAGTTTGATCTCTTTCCAAACGAATGCAAATTCCAAAAGGTCTTTCTCTTCAAGCAACCTGCATCCACTGCGAACAGAAGCAACACCAAGAAGAGAAAACGCGAGGGATATTTGGCCTTTGTCGAGTTTGAGAGTATTGAGAAGGCACAATTATATCTGAGCAAGTTTGAGGACCAAAAGATCAAGATTCGAGGCAAAACTGTCTATCTCAAATTCTCTGAGAAACAACAATTAGAGGGAAGCTCTAATGCCAGCGAAGAGGATTTAACTGTGACCACAACTCGCAAAAATGTTGTCAATACCAACAATGCCACCATCCTTCATATCACCTTCACTCATTGCGATGAGTATCGCTATCCAATGAATGCCCACACTCTTTATAATTTATTCAACAAGTTTGGAACCATTGAGAAGATTAATATTTTCATCAAGAATGAACTTACACAAGCCCTTATTCAATTTAGTCAACCCAATGAAGCTACAGAGGCTTTAAGGGAAATGGAGAGTGTTTTTGTGCATCCCGATTTGAAATTGTATCGCATGAATATTCAATTCAGCAAAAAGTATCGTGACGAATTGGTCATCAAGGAAAACAATGACAGAAATAGAGATTACACCCAACCATCAGGTACCACAAGTGGCAGTAGCACTTCAGGCAAACCACACGATCGCTACAATGCTCCTTCAAACCAATCCTTCTATGCAACACACGATCAACAACAACAGCAACAACATGATTCATCCTCCTATCATTATCCAGAATCAAAAAGTGCATCCTCCTATCATCACAGTAGCAGCGGACAATACAATTCAATGTCTTACAGCTCCTCTGGTGGCTATTATCAACCCATGATTCCAGGACCCAATGCAAATGGGTCATCCTCATCTGGACCTCTTGGCATGATGCTTCCACCATATGGATCATCTTCTTCGAATGAATATTTACCTCCTTCTTCAGGTTCCTCATCTTCATCATATCCAGTCTTGCCACCACATCCTACTGCTCATCACGGAATTCCTCAACCTCATCATGGCATCCCTCAACAATTTCCTCCTTCTTTGCTGCCCATGACACCACCTCCATCTTTGATGCCACCTCCAGCTGGTACTTGTGTTTTGATTGTTAAAAATCTTCCCTCTTCATGCACATGTGATCACTTGTTCGTTCTATTCGGCCTCTATGGTGATGTTATCAAGGTCAGCATTAGTTTGTCAAAGAAAGATCACAAGACTCCCTTCATGGCCTTTGTTCAATTCAAATACCCTCATGAGGTTGCAAATGCGTTACGTTTTCTCGGTGCTCCTTATTTTCCACCTTACAACTCCTTCAACTCTGGTATGGTTCCTTCAACTCAAGGTTGCACTCTTTTTGGCAAACAGTTACACATTGAGCCATCTCTTCGTATTTTCGACATTGTTCCGCCAAGATCATCTAAATCCAAGGAGACAGACGGATCCAAAGATGTCATTTTCAAGTCTTATGAAAATTCACCTCTTCATCGTTTCACTCCAAGACAAGGCACCCACGAGAGCTTCCGTGCCAACTACAAGAAGGTCATGAATATTTGTCCTCCTTCAAATGTTCTTCATATCAGTAACGTTTCTGGAACCACAACTGAGGACAAGATCAGAAGAGAGATTGACAAGTTATTTATTGACTCTTCTTCAGGAGGTGACAAGAAGGCAAAGTCTCGCATTGTTGATTTCAAATTTATTGACTACAAGAAGACACAAACCTCTGATCACAAGTTGAAGGAAAAGAAGTCGGCAATCATTGAGATGGATTCCACCGACTCTGCAACCACCGTTCTTGTCGAATTGCACGACATTTCTATTGACTCACATCATTTGAATATCAAGTTTAGTAATAGAAACACCAGCAGTGGTAGCAACTATTCAGACACCTACTACAATTATCCACCACCATCTCATCACGATGATTATCAAAGAAGTAACAGACGAGGCTATAGAAGAAGCGGCGGCAATAACAGCAACAAAGAGGATAAAATGCCTCAGTCATCCAATTCTTCTGAGAGTGTGAACACCCATCAAGACCACTAGGTTGTTATGCACCACCCAACATCAATTGATCGAGCTCATTCACCAATTCCTTCTACAATAATTATTTCATCCACCGCGCTCAATTCACACGTCACATTCCTCGTTACACTCGAAAAATAGAAGCAATACCTATCATCATCAACATGACCTCCTCCTGATCAAAACAAGAATTCTCGTCTTTCTTCATAAATTTTCAATCACTTCTTTCAAAATTGAATCCTTACTTACTCTCAATCTTCAACAGCTCATCGCTTTCAAAATAGTATTATTGCGCATGACTGAATATTTCATGAAAATGATATCATTAGAAACAGCAACATCTTTCAACTTCCAGGGATGGATTTCTTATTATTCTATGAAGTGCCATCTATCTTTTGAGGTAAGTGAATTTTTTGTTTCCTCTTATTGGAGAGTGGTATTTTGGAATTCCCACTTTTGTTGATGGTTTCAATGATAATAATAATAAAATCCATTTGCTATGATCTTGACAACCATCTTTACAACGATATTGTACGCCCCTTAGAGAAAGTTTTTTTATTGATCTGGCGAAATGTTTCATTAAATCTGTCTTAACTATCTTGAGTAGAATCTGCAGACCATTTCAACATTCTCAAAAATTGTTGACTGAATATGTCATAATTTCTCTCATTCAACACCTCAAAATACAAGAGCTTCAAATTTGGTGGACATTGAGATTGCAAACCACTTTTTCAAAGTTTTCTCTAATTTGTGAAGAGAGGCGTGACATGTCCATTTCGTTCAATAACAATGTGGAATGCATGTAAGACTGACCATTCAATAACAATTTCAATTCCATCACTGTCAATTTGCTTTCCATGAACCATTCCTTATTTTGTGTCAATAAATTTTTGACCTTTTCAAATGGTGTGGAAGAATTCAAATTTCTAAATTGTTGAATGGAATACCATTTAAATCCCTTTGAAATGCATTTCAACTTTTTTCTTTGAATTGGAGAAAAGAGACTCTTTCTCAATGAATGAATGACATATTCATCAACATTTTCCAAAGTGAGGGCCATTTCTCGTTCTTCAACCATTTGTGAATTTGGAGAGTAATTGGTAAAAACTTGTTCCATTTCGATGGATTGCAATTCCTCAGTAGAATTCAACCTTTTCATGTCCAACATGTTGTCACAATACATAGAATCATATTGAGACACATAATGTTTCCACATGGAGATCTGATTTCTCAAAGGTTTTTTGAGTTGACAGGTGGCAATCATTAATTCTCTTTCTCTCTTATTTTCCTCCATAGATGAATCATTGGAAAGCTTTGAATCTTCAATAAGATACTTGAGAATAAAATCATTGAGTGGCAAATAAATAGATTTCTCGTCACATTCCAACAAGACCTTTTTCAATAAAAATCCAAATCACCAACATTTGTTCCTCTTTTTCAGAAATATTCTCATCATCCGACAAGATGTAATTCTCAACACTTTGAGTTTCTGAGCGTTTAAATAATCTTGTATTCTTCAAACATTGATGGAAATATTGAGTGAATAATTCATTGGTTAAGGCGCCTTGATCAATTCCAGTTTCATTTTCATTCTTGACTCGAAATGGAGTATAAAGTTTCACATAATGCTGAACTTGTTGTTATGAATTGAAAAATTCTGCAAAGAGTCCAAAGATCAATTCTTGTTAATTTGTAGCTTAGAACAAGGATTCTCGTTGGATTCAGAGAATTGAATTGTTGGAGAGCATTGTTCCGCTCTCGATAACGTCTCTTGACAACTTATTTCGTGATAAGTCATGATATGAAGTTGTGACATTGCCACATAGGTAAAGAGAACCATAAATTTTCTTGAAAAAGCATGCTCTTCACTCCATTCAGAACTTGATATCTAAACTACATCAACATCATTTTCATCCAAAATTGTGATGCCAATAACTCCTCTCTTGTGTGAGATTAGATTTGGTACAGCATCCTTATCCAGTATCGATCACAAATGGTACTTGACACTTATTCACTAAAAACAATCTTCCCTTGACATGATGAGGAAAATAATACAAACTCTTCTCATTATGCCTCAAATACTCTAAATTGTATCTTTTTAAATGTATGGATTTTCTAATATCTGCCATCGTGCACACTGGTTTCTTTAATAATTGTCGAATGTGAATGATATGTGACAGGAATTGACTTTCACATGTCGTGGCCACAAAATAATCGGCTTCAAATGCCATCCACATGGCCATCACTGAGTTATGAAATTGATGATTGCGAGTGAGTGGCATTAAATCACTTTGCGAATAGGTGAAAATATTTTCATCCGCCAAATCGCTTAATCGAAGCGATTCCACACTCTTGCTTTCAAGTCCACTTCCAATTAATAGAACGTTCATTCCATAAATTTGATCATTATTATTGAATGTATTCCTGTCAAGATGATTATCATTTTCTTTTTTGTGAATTCGATGAATCTGATGCAGAGCATTATTATCTAAAGAAGGAGCTATTGATGTCACAGCATGCAATTTCAAATCATTTTTAAGGAAATGAAAGAAATCGGATTGGGAGGAGGTGAGAATGTGTTGTGTGCGTTGGCATCCTGGGTAGCTGTCAGATTCTTCTTTTGGAAATTGATTGTGAATCACCATCAAAGGTCTTCCAAAGGAATCAAAATAATTGATTCTCCACATAAAATCATTCATTACTCGTCGAATAGCTTGGTTAGGCTCAAACAAATCAAAGAGATGCAAATAAAGTGAAATTTCCTCGTCACTTGTTGGAAGCCATCGTCCCCAAACAAATCCAAAATTTAAAATGTCAAAATCTGTGAAAAAATTTGGCTTCTCATTGATTGCAATTTTGAAAATTGTATCTGCTGCCTCAGCGAGTGGCTTTTCGTCCCATGTTCGATTGTAGACTGAAAATAGGGGCTTGGAAATTTTCAAATGTTCCAAATTTGTTTGTGTAGAATCAATTAAGGTCAATCCAAAACGTTCCATTGCAAGTGTTTGAATTCTTTCAATATTGAAAAATTCTGAAAGTGGTGAAAAAGTATTACAATATTTACAGAGTCCAGGAGCTCCATCAGAACACACGTTCGAGAGAATCATTTTGGTAGCACCCAACTTTTTAGAAATAGCCATGCAAGTCATAATTTCAAATAATTGATTGGTCAATCCACAAATTACTCCAAAATTAGGTCCAATACTGCATGAGGTAATTCGATTCGCAAAATATTTTTCATGTTGTGGATTTGATGAAAGTAATTGTTCAAAATTTTTCGGAGGAGGTTCGTTTGGAAAAATCCATGATTTAAATTTGTTTCTTTTTTTGGAAATTGATTGTTGTGAATATGTGGGGTCATTGTGTGTATTCATGACATCGCGGGAATGTAACTCCGAGTCGGAAAAAAGTGTTTGTGCACAAAGAGAGGCCAAACGATTCTTGGATGGTCCAAAGTAGGCAGTTTCGTGAGTTGAAAATTTTCTCGGCCATGATGATTGAAAGAAAAATCGAATGAAGAGCAAAGTGGAGAGGACAATCAACAGCACGACCACACAAAGCCTCAAACGTGCACTTGTTTGCATTTTTTTTAATTTTTTACAAAAGCGATTGTAACGGAATTAGCTGTGATTGGTTCCAAAATAAATCCTCTAGAAAAATTATTTCAAATTATTCCAAGGAAGCCAGTAAACATTGATTCAATTTCTTGAATCATTCTTGTTCTCTCCTTTCTTTTCCAAATTAATTTCCAAATTAATCTCAATTTTCAAAAAAAAAACACCAAAAAAATGCCCTCAAATTTCGCTCAAGAACAATACAAGAATTTAAACAAGCAAATCACACCACCCACTCCAACGTTTGAAAAGTTACAACACACTCCATCATCGGGTTCTTCTACCCCCCTCCACTAATCCAAAATACAATTTACCAAACGCAGCCGCTAATAAAACCAACAGTGGATTCAAGAAGGTGAGTCCATCGTCCATCTTTAAAGGCATATCAAACATTCCGTTTGAGGCTGCTTCGTTTGAGAGAAAGAGAGGAGCTGGAATTGTTGCGTTTGTGTTGGGAACGATGATTGTTGCTACTTATGGATATACAATCTATAGTATGAAGCAAGAGAATTTCTCGGATGTGGTGATTCCGGAAACTTTAAAGCAAAAGGAATAAGAATTATTATATTTTCAGTGATGATGGAAACTACTGATACTACTACAACAACAACAACAATAATGGATATTATCATTTGGCGATTGATTGCATCATCATCAATTTTGAATTTTGATTGAATTTGTCGCCATCATCATTACTCCTACAAATCATTTCATCACCAAGGCTTTCATTTAATGATTGAAGAGAATGAAGCCAAAATTGTAGTCGTTCTCAGTAGTAGTCTATCAATCAATTTAATTCGATCACATTCCTACACATTCTGATTTATCACGGCAGCGTTTACCTCACCATACACAACACCACCCAACCACACATTCATCCCATCACCACTATCATGCATACATGACCATCACCACATACACACTAATTCCAAACAAACATGTATTGGGTTAAATATCAATGATTCTTTCACTCTATAAACAACACACAATGTTCACTCGTATTCATCCAAATCTTTATTGTGGAATATGTCAATGAACGTCTTCTTTATTGTGGAAATATGCCAATAATGAACAGTTGTTACCTTCATTGAACAGATGTCTATTGTAACATTTTACTCCTCCTCGACAATCTCAACTTTACATCCATCAATTTCATTCAAAAAATCAGCTCCAAATGCCAACGATGGTGTCAAACATCCCGAATGCTTCTTCAATCCAGTTTTGGTTAAAATCTTTAAGGCAATCAATAAGGCACTATCTGCAGTGAACAAGTAACCAGCTTTGGCCTGTGCTCTTCCACACACTTTGTAAGTTGCAGGATTGTCACGATGGAATAGCTCTCCATAAATGTGAACTCTCGATTCAGGATTTTCCTCAGGTCCCTTTGGCATGAACCAATCAATGAGTTTAAACATCAATGGAACCACAAATGGCAAATTGAAGAATAAAAAGAATAAAAAGTTGAACAACCAAATATTCATAATCTTTGCCACAGTGGCAGCATTCTTTGAAGATGAAAAATAAACTCTCACATTTGGTACTCCCGTACTCACATACGCAGTGGCAATATCTCCCCAAGGAACACTCACACAAGTGACTGGTTGAGTTGCAGTTTGTCCATTTTTGTAAAATGGGAATTCTTTCACGACACGTGGCATGGGTTGAATGACACCATTCACTCGTTCGGGAAATCCCCAAGTGCCTTGTCTCAACATGTTGATAGCACTTTTTGTGGTACCACGAGAAGTTTGTACAGCAGTACTGCCAACATTGATGGCAAGTTCGAGTTGGGCGTTGGGTTGAGTGGTTTTTTCTTTTCCGAATCGAGAGGAGAATTCTTCTTCGAGTTTTTTGGAGAGACAGTCAGTTGGGACGACATCAAAGCCGACACCTGGCATGAGAATAATGTCTTTTTCACAGGCTTGTTTTTTGACCGTGTCATTTTCGAGAATGCTTTGGAAGACGGGAGCTGCATGAGAGAAAAGTTGGAATGTCCCATCGTGTTTAAAGATTATTATTCATTTCGAGTTCATCCATTTTGATAATGAAAATATTAACCAATCAAAATCAATAATAATATTAAAAAACAAATAATAAATATATTTAAATATTAAGAAAACATACCTTCTCCAGTAATATCCAAATAATGAGCTCCACATCTCAAACAACTTTCCACCATCGCTTTCGAAGTGATCACAAACGGCCCAGCAACCAACAAAACCAAATCGACCTTTCTCACCTGTTCATCAATCACCTCCGAATCTTGATCCAACGAAAATACTTGATACTCCACTTCGGATTTATCAATTTTTAGTCTTTTCAACATGTCTTCCAAGGATGATCGATTCCGACCTGCCAGGACGACCTTTTTTAAAAGTCCACAATCTCGAACGAGTTTGACAATTAATTCACCAGTGTATCCGTAGCATCCGTAGATCATGAAACGTTGTGAGGGAACGAGTTTGGAAATGAGGGAGTGAATGGTTTGATCGAAATTTTGTGAAGTTGTGGTGGACATTTTTTTTCGGAGTGATGGTCCGGATTTGGACATGTTGGAGAATTCGCAAATTCGAAACAAAATTCCGGAAGGAGGAAGGACTTTGATCCGTCAAATGATTTGTGAAGGTTCGAATTCTCGTTCATGTTGTCTATTGCTGTCACTCGCGAATAAATTTTACCTTTCAAAAGTGCAACAACTGCAGTGTTCTTTGTGAGAGCAAAGTTCGGGCATTCACTCCTGGCCAGAGATTAAATGTAAATGTTGGTCGATTAAGAATTATCATCATTTGTGATGCAGTAAGTTGATTGCTCGAGAATTGACCAAATATTTGTTTTTACATGAAAGCAATCTTTAAAATTTGTGATTGTCCATTCTGTCAAAGAATGATAATTCCTTTGAGAGATGTATTGATGTTCAGAGCACTCAATAACACCAACCTACGATTATATGTACTCTTCGAAATAATGTCGTTCTTTTTTATTGTCATACAAATAGAGAATCAATATTAAGGTTCAATTCGGAAGGATACAATTGCGTGTGAATCTGACCACACACGAAGCATGAATTTCAAATTGCAAGAACCAGTGATTCTGACCATTGACAACAAGAACTTTCCTAAAACATTTCAAATGGTGGGTTGTTGTTTTCCACATCATGATGTGTTGTTTTAGATATTACAAAGTTCCACAACAGAAATCAGTTGTTGTGAAATTCCACAAAATTCCAGCAAAACAAAATGCCAAAAGTTCCAACCAACGTTCGAAAACACCACATAATTCAATGCAACAACATTCATCCCACTCACCACAAGATCATCTTTGAACCCAAACTACTCAATGCACAACAACTCGCAAAGGAACATCCCCGAACCTTTTCAGCACCCTCCGTGGCTGATTTGATGAAAGTAAAATCGGGATCGATGGTGAAAGTGTGTGATGGACAAGAGAGATTTTGGGTAGAGGTGTTGAAGAAGGGATCTTTGAAATATTTGGTTGGAAGGATTGATAATGGTTTGGTGGGTGGACAGGAATATTCGTATGGTGATTGGATCTTGTTTAAGAGAGAGAATATCTATGAAATTTATGAGGAGGAGGAGGAGGAGGATGGAGGTGAGAAGGGTGGTATCCATGATGATGATGATGAGAATGATGACGACGATGATGAATGGGTAGATGATGATGATAAACAATAGTTTTGTACAATGAATGTTAGTCCAGTAATTTGCCGAAACATTTTATTTTACAACCAACATCGTAGAAGAAGAGTAATTTATTATGTCTTACTCTTGCATGTCTTAACGTTTTATTTGTTGTCGTGTCCTTAATAATGCTGGCAACAGTAAAAGATCTATGTTTGGAAATTTCGTTTTAGTCATGATCGTCGTGCATTTCTCGTTTTTGGACTTGTTGTTCATTCTATTCATCACCTTCTCCACATTCACTAGTTGGTTAGCGTTCCTTGGACTTTTTGTTTGGTGGATTCAACGAGGATGAAGAAGAAGAATGGTTGATGACCCTTTTGACACCTGACGATGATGAAGTCGAGGCAATCGATGCATTACTATTGCTTGAGGACATGCCTGTGGGTGAATTTGTGACAATATATCCTGGAACTTGTGAGGAAGATGAGGAACCAGAATTGTTGACAGCTGCAATGAGTTTCGTTAAATACGTGTCAATATCTTGAATTCGTTTCACTTTGCGTTTTTGGCTGTCATTGGGTGACGCAATTTTCTTAATGGAAATCCATAGGGAGAGCCTTTGAACAATGGTTTCAATCAAACATTCGTGTAACATTAATGTAACAAGTAAATATACCAAAAATCAATACTTGTACATACCTGTCTTGATGGTCTCAAATTTCAAATACTTGCTATTGTCACCAACAGCACACTTCACTCGTTCTGTTATGTGATTTCTGTATTTTTCAGCATGTCTGAACTCGACTTGTCGTTGCGTCTTGTCTTTCAAAAACTGTTCTGCAGGTTGGCAATAGTTGCAATGGCACATCGTTTCAACATTGAAAGACCAATCTTGTCCAGTACTTGTTGAAGCTTGAGATAAGTGTACCTTGACAATATTCGAGCAGTTCAAAAGGATTGAATTGAATGCAATGTGCTGAAATGCATTTAGTCCCAAGTTTTTGTCAATAAAATGAATGAGAGCGAGTAATGTTTCGTAATCTGTTCCTGCTTTGACAATTATCGTTGAAGTGAGTACAGTAATATCTTCGACCAATTTGCATTTCCAAAAAAATGAAAGTACTTGTTGGCAAATAGAGAGATCAAGGTTTTGCATGAGATGAAATGCATTAATGACATGTTGTTTGCATTCCTTGAAAATAAAAAATGCTTCCTTGTGATTTTCCGAATTACTTTCCAAGTAATTTGTTTGTAGTTTGGTCATGATGCTCAAATATCCTGGAATTGAATTGATGTTTTTAAGAACATTTTGCACTCGTGACATTGTTAACTCCAATCCGATCAAGTGAATGATAGCAATAAAACCCTCCAGTGAATTCTCTAGAATTTGTGGAGTCACAGTTTGAAACATGCTATTGACAATAGTGTCACAAATTTGTCTTTCATCATTCTTGAGGCATGTCTTCAATACGGATGTAACGATTCCCATAATTTTATCCGAGAATACATAATTATCTAGACGTTTCACTAGTACCTTCTTGAATGCAGGAGTGATCGGTAGTTGTAACGAATTTACTGCATTCAGTAGTATGCCAATGACTTGAATGCAGATAAACTGTAGAGCAGTATTGGTACTAACAGTTTCAATGATCCGAGTGATAAATTCTTGAGAGAGTTGTAAATTATTAAATTTCGATACCATTTCAATGGATGCTTGTAATCTTTGACCAAGGCTGTTGGCATTGGCACATGTCGATTGAACCACGCTCGACAAAAACTCTTGCTTTAAATCATCCATTGAAAATTGTGACAAGATGACATTCCATGTACCGAGAGTGATATTGGCTGAAGCGCTCGCAATAAATGTTTTCAACAAGTTGGTATCTTTCAAATCAATCAGAATGGGTACAAGTTCAGTAATATTGTTTTTGAAAGAAGGTGAATCTTTTTGCGAGAGGGCAAGTCGAATACAGGCATCTCTTCGTGTCGGATCACTTTTGTATTGCTTATAGAGGGATAAAAATCCCTTATAACAAGACATTGGATCTGTATATGCCCAGAACATGTAGTCAACCTTTTTAGGAATAATGATTAAGCACGTGCAAGTGCATCTCAATTCTATCATACCATTGCCACACTGTTTCTTCTCTTTGAAAGGCATGTCCTGCAAAGTATCGAAAGGAAATATACTCGAGACGTCCAAAGTCAAATCATATTTTTGGAATCGAGTGTCATTATTTGGACCCAATAGTGAAGATGCTCGATAGGTAATGTTTTGTGGCTCATTACTTTTGGCTGTTGTTAGTGCTTTCTTCTCGAAAACTGCAAGGAACAAGTGTAACAGTGAGTATCGAGCATTGAACGTATTGAGTAAATTGAAAATTAATGCATCGTCATCTTTAAGAGATTCGAAATTAAAGCATGTCTGAGAGTACACATTGGAGAGTGGATAAAATGCCATGGGAATTTCCTGATCTGACCACTCATCTACAATTCTTGTTAAATCGTGACTGATTTGTGCTCCATGATCAAATTTTGGAACTCGTCCCACTCCTCCTGTGAAAACAATTTTGTAGACGAGACACAATCGATAGCCACTTTGAATGGAGCATTCTTCACGATCACACTCATCATACATTGATATATAGGACGGTAAATAACTTGAAGAATCTGAGAAATCATATTGAACCTCCTTCTCATTGTATCGAACAATGACTACACCACCATTGTACACTGAAGGCAATTGAACGATAAGTTTTGCAAATGGTTGCTTCTCAGCTTTCAGGCGGTGATGTTCGTGAGTGGTGTGCTTCTTTCCTCTGTGAAAATCGACACTTCCTTCTTGGTATAATACCAAGTACTCAAGTTCATGTGAGATTTGCTTCTTGGAGCTTACTCCCAATCCACGTCGAGCTGAATCCTCAACAACGTCTGAAATCATCTTATCCCAGTGTGGATTTGTCAATTTAAATTGATTTGGAGTGAGGTACCAAATCTTCTTACCATTTTGTGTTCTGAGAGATGGTAAAGCATGGACCGATAAGCTCAACTTAATGAGCTCATCTGCTTGCTCTTGAGTGGTGATCGGCAAAGAAACATATTTAAACAATGGTGGATTCATGTTGTTTGAGGACTCTGTTTCTTGAGAGGCAATTGAATTCACAGCTGGAATTGTCAACGACGATCGAGTATTGTCACTGCTTGTTGATCTCCAAGTCACTTCCCATTCTGTCTTCCAATGAAATGACAAGCACTATTGAGAGTAATCAACAACAAGAGAAACAAGAAACTCCAACTCATGCACCCATGCCATCACAACCCGAATTACCTCCTCAAACACAACGATTGGAACAACTACCTCCTCCTTCACCTTCTTCTTCACAGGATGAAGAGTTCTTCCGAAACCTTAATCTCGTTCAAGCTCCTTCAACCGAACAACACGAAAGAGCCATTCCTCCAAACGCACTTCCCTCAAATCATGTCTCATCGAAAACTGTGTCTTCGTTGAGAGTTGTGTCAGCATCTTGTGCACAAGTATTTGAACTTTGAAGAAGAGGTGAATTCTGTAAAGATTGATCATTATTTAGATCAATATCATCCTTCATGTCATTCTTGTCTTGCTGATCAGATTGAAAATCTAAGGATGTTGTTGTTGTTAATTTTGCTTCAATTTCATTATTATTATCCATTGGTGGTGTTAATTCTGTCTGAGACTCGTTTAAATCCAAATCTTCATCAAATGTCTCCTCTTTAATGCTGATTGATGTTTCAACTTGGTCTTGTTGTGGTGCATTTTCATTTTCAGAATATTCAGAGTCCAAATTAATGTCCTCATCGATTGTTATTGGTTCATCCAAATTAATATCTTCATCCATAATGATACTTTCTGAAAAGTTTGGTGATGGTTGTTGTGTTAAGCCACTGCTGTCTTGTCGAGAATTTCTTGTTTCGTGATCGGATCGTGGCGAAAATGGTGTGTCCAACACAGGAGAGGACTTGATAGCTGATATTTCTTCAACTACTCCCAAGTCAATCTCTTCTTCTTCTTCTTCATTGTGATGAGTTGTAATTGTGTTGTCGTGATTTGAAATTGATTCAGTTGTGTTTGCATTTTGCAGAGGAGTAGTAGCAACACTCTCTTCATTTAAATCAATTTCTTCTTGTACTTCTTGTTTTATATGTATCGTGACGTGTGGATCATCATGACGAGAATCCGAAGTCAAATTATTATTATTATTTTGATGATTGCTCTCATTTGGTAATAATAATTCATGGTCAATCATCATGGAATTCTCATCATCCGATGATTCATCTAAATTAACATCTCCACTCTCATCAATAATAATGCTATTTGTATCGTCATTTTCGGAAAGCGTTGGTGAAGATGCTCGCGTTTCATCATGATTCTCATCAAAATTAATTTCTTCTTCAATGAAGGATGATTGCATCCGATGATCCTCTTGCGTTATAGCCATGCTCGTTTGATTATGATTGTTATTACTATCATTGTTACTATGATGATCACTGTTATTGTTCATGAAAATCTCTCGACGTCGAGGCGTTCGTATTGCTTCTTCCGATAAATTCGTGTTGTTGGTTGATTTTGTTTCTTTTTCAAAGTTGGACATTTTTTTGATCTTTTTCAGAAAAAGTATTAATTCCAAACAATTTGATGATTTACCGAGTAAGATCGAAGAATTAAGAGTTGATTCTACTACACGCGACTATTCAGAATTTTAGCGAGTCGTTTGAAAGAGCTGAACATTGAATATATTTCTGACAATAACATTTCAATTTATTTTAATCGTGAAAAAAAATTAAACATCTTACTCAACTCAATTACAGTTTGGACTGAAGCGTGATCCTTATGATGACTTGAAAAAAGAACATGTTAAAATCGGATAATCATGTGAGAGAAATTATTTTGAAAATGTTACAGATGAAAAGATTTACAACAAAATTTTTCACATTTTCTCAAACTCAACAACATTTGATGTTCTAAAACTTTAGAGCTTTTCGAAATTTAAAATTGTTGCATGAACTTGTCAAATATTAATTAATTGGCGAGTCATTAGAAAGCAAATTCTCTACATATCAATTTTGGGAGATTTGATTAAATACCAATATTATGAATCTGAAAATGCAAGAATTGAAAACATGAATCAATTAACTGATAAATTGAGAAGAATGTCAACCTTTTTGAAGAACTAAAACGATATACTGGCATGGCCATTTATTCAACAACTACTATCCAAAAACCACATTACTCAGTAATGCTTATTAGCACTGAAGACATGAGCATTTATTCTTTCTTTCTAGATATGAGCGCATTATTCAGCTCTCCTACCAACATGATGGAACTTGGATTGTTATTTGTTGCTCCTCCAATACCACCTCCTCCGTACACACGTTTCTTCTTTCCAGGAGATAACACTCCATTTCCTTCGTAAATGGATTTCTCGATGGAGCTTAAAATTGACTTGGTTCGCTCTCTGTTATGATAAGGCACTTTGAGAGAGCTCACCATGGTGGGTAAGGCATTTGCATTGTCACTCTCGGTACTAGTATTATTACTATCGATAGACACCAACTGTGGATCATGTGAGGGGGAGGCAGAGGTCATTTCAATAGTGTCCTTTGAACTTTGACCACTATTGGTAGAGGTTGGTGGTTTGCTATTAGTAGTACTCTGTGGCAATTTTCTTTTCTTTTCCTGGTCCTTCTTGATATTCTCCACCGATTTAAAGAGGTCTTTAAAGAAGCTTGACAGTTGAAGGAATGCTTCAGAAGGATTCTTTTTCACACTCGAAGGTTCTTCTCCGAGATATTCTGCCAAATCTTGAAGTGTTTGGCTCATCGAAAAGTATGTGTCCTTAATTTTTACCAATTCACTCCTAGCATCTTCATAGAATGGCTCGAACACCTCTTTGAAACGATCCTTTGTGGGGATATTTTCATCCGTTGAGGCTTTTGCCAGTTCTTGAGATAATTTGTTAATACTCTTTTCCATGGTGTCAATTTTTTCAGAGAGATCGACCAGGTCAATACGAGACGCAGACTCAATCATTGAAATTTCGTCTTTCAGAGCGAAAATTTCTGGTTTCTTTTCCAATACCATTTTGGCAACCATATCCAACGCAGTTATGTTCTTCTCGTTGCCTCTGGTTTCTTTAAGTTTGGAAAGAGAGGCAATTTTAAATCCATACATTCCCTTCTTGCTTAAATAATTGTTGACTGCTAATATCAAGACAAATATTTCTTGCAAATATGATGATTTCATAATCATTTGGCATGTAGAATTGATGAGATTCATATCTGGAGAGATAGAGGCTTTTGTTTCTGGGTATTTCAACTTGAAAATCCAGCATTGCAATCTGCTCTGAAGTCGTGGTACCGTAGTGAGCTCTCTCAAATATTTGTCAGCTGCATTTAAAGCACTCTCATCACCTTCATAATCCTTGAGACGCTGGATTTCGTCCTCCGTTGGTGCATTGGTCAATAGTTTTGAGAGCATTTCCTCTGAAAAATCATTGGATATTTCTAACAACTTGCTTACCAATTCTGTTGCAGGCATTTTTAAGTATTTGATGAAAATGGAAACATTTTGAAGTCGTGGTCCTTCCAAAATGCTAACTGTTTCTTCTTTCTTTTTGATCAAATCATTACTTGATGAAGAAGCAAGAGTGACAGGTTTAGTTTGGTTGGAAAACATTTCTTCCAACTCTTTTTCAGGTAACTCGACCTCAAACAGTTTGGCATGAAGGTTATTTTTCATCCACATTGATTTTTGTAATCGAGCATCTTCTAACTTTGAAAGTCGCAAGTCCTTAGTTGGTATGGTTGCTCTTTTGGTGGGCAGCTCTGGCAAACTTTTTGAATTCATCGAAGGAAAGACCGAAGGTGGTGGGATGCTCATCATGCCAGCGGCGTGCAGTGGTGGAGGTGGTGGCAAATTCGTCATGTTGCCTCCAACATGATGTGAGGAAGTTGGTGGAGGTGGTGGAACGGCTCCCACTGATGCTGTTGGAGGAGGAGGTGGTACATTGCTTGTGGCTGAAGGAGGTGGTGGAATAGATGAAGAACTACTCCAACAACAAGTTGAAGGTGGAGGTGGAGTCATTGACGTGGATGACGAGGAGGGTATTGGATTCAGTGGTGGAGGTGGAGGTGGAATGACAGAAGAGGCATGGCCATTTGAAGGAGGCGGAATGGTCGATGATGAAACTGTCACAACTGGTAAAGCCATTGAAGGAGGTGGAGGAATGGCTCGAGCATCCCTCATGACACCATTATTCTCCATCTTTGGAGGATTCTCTGTCAGACACGTAACATCCATAGTGGTATTGACTGACTTTTCAGAAGTCGTAATGTATGGTTTTTGCACAACCGCCAATTGCTTAAGGCGTTCATGCAGTAAGGAAATTTCTTTGCTCTGACTATCAATTTGTTGCTGTAAAATGGTGGCCCGATCAATCAATACTCTCAACGAGATCTCTCCTTTCAAAATTGATTTACACTCTCGAATCCATTCAGTGTTCTCCCTGTGTAAACGTGGGATATGAGTCACCATGGAATAGCGACAGGATTGTCACCGATCATGAAGTTATTAGATCATTTCCATGTCACGCAGCACAGCTGTTCGAAGAAACAACTTACTCTTTACATTTCCCAATCATACATTCCACAACTATTCTCAAATCATCGGCTATACTGCCACTCGATGATGGTCGAGTTGGGTGATCATTCTCCAAGCTCTCAATGACACACCTCAATTCGTCAAAAATGTCATCCTCTTCAAAATCACCTTCCATGATAGCGTTAAATATTTCCACTTGATTTTTTAACTTGTAGCTGTCATCGAGGACTTTTGAATCTGCAACTGCTGTAAATGACTGGAAATCCTTCTCGATATTTCTCACTTCACTCAAAACTCCAACACTTATGAATTGCTGTTTCACATTCCTTCTTTCTTGTGCTATTTTTTGAAAAGGATCGGTTTTATCACATCAAATTCACGATGTGTGAATTATTTTTCAAACCACAACCTTCTCCACTTGTCGTGAAGTTTCACCCTTAGACTTACCTGGACTTTGCCTCATCAAAATATTAATGAAGGCCAAAATAATGTACTTGCTTTTAAAGCTTGGCGAGCTTCTCAAATGATGAACCAAAGTGAAAAACTTTTCCTCTCGAGCCGTCTCTGAAAACATTTTAACACATTCCATAATATGTTGAAAGTATTGGCCATCTCTGTACAAACACAAACTCGAGAGCAAAAAGTAAATGGAATTACGAGCTTCCTCACTCTCGACATGAAGCCCCATCGTGATCTCGAGAATACTATTCGGATAGTGAACAAATCGTTCAAGACCCTCATTATTCTTGCATAATTGAGTGATATTGAAAATCAGAAGAACAATGATATCAAACTGAAGCATGGCATGATCGATCGTATGCATGACATTCTTATTGCTCGGATCAAACTGTAAACGAGTGTTGCTATAGATCCTCATTAATAGCTCCAGGCCGTCTCTCTGAATGAAACCTTCCTCAATTTCGGCATGAGTAGCAACCATGACTTTTAGATGTTGCAACGATTTAGTAAGACCCTGCATGGAATTTGGTTGCTTGATATGCTCCACAACATCGTTCAATTGAGACATTAGATTGATTTCCGAGGACGATGATGACGAACTATTCCGTAATTTCAGCAATTCCAGCTTCTTCTTTTTCGGGAGAAGCATGAGATTTTCTATGGCTTGAGATTGATTGGTGTTTCCATAGGTTTTCTCCAGGAACTGCCTAAATTCTTCATCGAAATTTTCTGGATATTGTTCCTCTTCGGAAGCTCCAATGAGATCTTGTTGAGAGGAATTAAGGCTAATCACTTGATCGTCCGATGCATTGTGAATTTCGCTCTTTCGTCTTGTTCCTGATTTATGATTGGCATCACTCTCTCTCCGTTTGAAAATATTGCTTAATTTACGCATGGTACTATAATTATTATTACTCTCTTTCGTAACGATTTTTTCTATTTTTTGTTTGTTGAATTGAAATCAAAAGAAGCGCGCGAAAGACTTTTTTCAAAAATTCATATTTTGGAAATCTCTTTTTATGTTGATTTCAAGGATGCACCTTATCAATGGTTGATGGGACAACAACAACATCGTGATGATTATGTTTCACCCGTCGGAATGGAAAAACGAAAAAGAGGGAAAGAAGAAATTTCTTCTTCAGAAGGTCGTGGAAAAGAAAGAAATATTCATGAAAGAAAAAAGAAGAAGAGAAAAAGAAGGTTGGAGTGTTAATGCTACTTTGTTGCGAATATCATTGCCTTAATAAGCGATTTTATAACGCGTTTACTTTTCCATGTTCGGGCTCTTAATACTCGAAAGTAGCTGAGCTGCATTCAAAAGACCGCTGTCATCTTGTGAAGGTTGAGAAGGAGTGACGAATGATGACGACGTGGGAATTGGAGAAGTATCAATGATGGATGGTGCGCAATAAGTGCCGTACTTGTTTGACATTCTTCCACTTTTTGGTGACTTGGTGATGCGAGAAGTGCTTTGTGAGCCTCCTTCGACCACTTTGGCGTTGGTGGAGGATTGGATAGACTGATGTTCCCTTGTCGTGGAGTTATTGAAATAGTTCATACTTGATGAGTGTGACACCTTTGAGTCTTCAAGTACTGAGGGTTGATTTTCCTTAGATTCAACAGGAGAGTCCTCCATGAAAATGCTCACAGTATTATCACCATCTGAAATGTGTGTGAGCGATGTTTCATGAATCTCTGAAGAATTGAGATCTTTGCTCTCCGTTCGTGTGGCCACCGCTGGTTGGTAACGTACCATTTCGATTGGCGAAGATGGAGTCAACAGAGAGGGTGTCATGGAAATGTGTGAAACTTCCTTACTATTGTCACCACTACCATTCAGAACGGCCTTCGTTGAACCATGAAGCTGAGTGGCCCCTCGATGTTTGGCTTCATGAGACATGCTTGGAGTTTCACCACCTGAAACGCAACCAGAAACACATGTCTCGTCCATGTATGCACCCGTTTGAGAGTCACTAATTAGGAAGGCCTCGTTCAGGTTTGCTGTTGGCTTTTCTTTACACTCAGCAGCATTCGAAATTCTAAAGGATTTGTTCAAATCTAACATGGGAGAATCAGACATGAATGAAGCAATCGATGAAGTTACAGACATTTCAGAAGTATCATCCTTTTCTAAGTATACACTTGATTTTGCTGATGTGTGAACATTCTTTGGTTCTCTGGTTTTCTTTGTTCTCTTACTTGTTCGGTCAGGAAGTTGAATTTGTGCAATGGAACATGGATTGCTGGTACTAGTATGCTTTTTAACAATTTCCCTCAGCTTTTGCTTGAATAGGTCCACTCGTTTCTGTTCAATTTCAAATCGTGTAGTAGAATCGTAGAAGTTTAAAGGAGACTGAGTTTTGTGTTGAAATGATGGTGTCACTTCGTCATCAGACAGAGGGTCAAGGCAAGTTTGAGGTGTATTCTGATTCGACATCGTGGCTGCAGAATTATTACGCTTGGTTATTGAATGCTCTCTACGGGTTGTCAATTCCTCTTTTTCACATTGTACCGAGGTATCTACGAGTTTTCTCTTCTTCTGTTCAGCCTCATGACTAAGGGTGCCAGAAACATCTTTTTGTGCTGAGTTAACAAATTTTCTCTCGTCATGTTGCAACATGTGACCATTGAATGACATATTCGAATGTGAAGTGGTGATTCGTTGTAGCATCCTCTCCTCCCCTCCAACATACTCCTCTGTGTCATGATGCTGTCTCCATCTTTGTTGATATTGAGACAACCTTAATTCAAGAGTATTCTCGAAAAAATTGAAGATGGCACTCTTACGAGGAACTAGTTTGACATGACTTGCAACCACCAAATACTTGATCGCAGATTGACCATTCAAGCGAGAGACCTCTTCCTGTTGGTCATGTGTACCATTCACATACACTTTCGATTTGGGAATGTACAATACTTGTCCAGTTGCCAATTGTGAACGGTGAATCACTTTGGAAGAAGATTTGTTACTCTTTTGCTTTGGCTGCTTTTTGCTGGCAGTCATCAAAGAAGAACCACCACCATTTGCCTCTGCCTCTAAATTACAAATAATAAGAATTGCTTGTTCTTCCTGAGTGTTCTCCACAAGGAGCTCTCTTCTTCGGAGTGTGGTTTGTGGTGTTACCTGTTCAGAATAGTCACCAAATGCCAAACCTGACATTGAAGAAAGGCTAATATCATGGTCGTGATGGTTCTTGGTTTGTTGATTTCTCTTCATACTCGATGATGACGATGGTTGTTGCTTCGTTTGATTTGACTTTGAAGAGAACAAGAGATGAGAAAGATCCTCGTGCTCATTCGGTAAAGGCTCCTTCTCAAGTTCAACCTCTCCTGTAATCATCCAGTAGAGGGAGGGACAAAAGCAAGCACTTCCTCTGAATAGTGTGGACATGATGATGACAATGATATGTGGTTGTTAATGTTGTTGATGGTGGTAGTGGTGATTTGCACCTCTTGAGTTGTAGAAGGTTAGAAACAAGCCTTGTGTTGATAAGGGTAAAATTTGTGAAGGTTTGCCAAAGAGCTCAATCAGAGGAGTCACTGTGGTACGGTGTGGTCTGTTTTTTTTTGTCTTATGTTGTCTGTATTTCGTCTTGGTGGGTTTGACTCTCCTCTTTGTTGTAGTGCAGTAGGAGCAAGCCTTGTTGTTGATTGATTCCATAGAACAGATGAGATAGGCTTGAGTGGTAGCTACCATGATGATGATGCATAAATTGACATTCACTATTTCAATCAATTGATGCATCATCATCATGGTAGCTACCACTCAATCCATTCAAACAAGAGGTTGGTATTCAATAAATATTAATAAGTAGTATATATTTACAATCTGAAAAACATCTGTTGGCTCGAACTTCATTGATATTTTCATTGCCTTTGTGATGACAGAGACGATGATGATGCTGATGATGATTCATCACAACTACTTGAGCTCTGTCATCATATTCACTTGGCTATCATTAATCCTCAGATGGCACTGTTTCTCTCAAGTATTCCTTCAATCGGACACGAATTTCCGATTGATCATCACCCAACAAGGGACATTTCTTGTATTCACATTCGACCCGCATCAAGACCATTTCCAAAGCTCCTCGTATAACTCCACAAATAATATTCGAGTAGTACAATCGTTTTTGTTTGATTGGCTCCGGTAATTCCACAAAATCATTCAGTGGGTTCTCATCAAACACAATACTATACTCGGTTTGATCCTTGCTCCAATTTGTAACATTGGCATTAATTCCCAAGAACATTTTAAAAGCAACTTTAGCGATGGACTCTGCTGTGTCTTTAAATTCACGGCAAGCACCCGAGCTCAAACCGCTTTTTGACATGAACTCATCAATCAATCGCATACCCATCTTGTATCCCATCTTTTCTAATTGTGTATTAATGGCTGCAACATCCTCATAGTCTTTCAACATTTGAGTAACGAGAGATCCATACGTCATGGCCAACAATTCCGAATTGATTTTCTCAATCTTGTTAAAGGTGGTTTCACCAATCTTGGCTAATTTACTCATTTTTTTTATGTGATGATGATGATAATTTTATGAGATGATGAGGTCGTCCGATGTAAGGAGAGAAATATAGATGATTGAAAATTCTCTGAAGAGGAATTCAAAATTTGTTCTCCACTCCAGCTTCAAAAAACACTGTTGACGATGAAGGAATGAAACGAAAAAAATGTCAAAGCGAACCAACGAGCATCAACTCACCTCCGACAATTTTAGGTAAGCAATATTATCATCTTTGAACAATGTGTGTATAATACTTCATATTCTTCTTTACTTTCATGCGCACAAATTGGAAAATATTGGAAAACAAATTGTTGAATTCTTGAATTGCAACAAATTCTCTTCGTGATGATGTGTAATCCACACATTCAATTCAAAATATATTTTGAATCTCATTCCGTATTCATATCATATATTAACAATAGAGATCAAGATGAAGAGGAAACAGAAGCCGGACATTTTGAAAAGGCTTCTGAAGACGAAATTAGAGAACGAAAGTAAGTATACTGCAGTCATGATCATTATTATTGTTTGAATGAATGAATCTCTTTTGTACCCATCCATTTGTACCCTCACACAGACCCATAAAGGCTAAGAGAAAACATCCTGCTGGTTCTGTGGGTGTTCCAACCACAACTTTCAATTTTGCTGTTCCTCCTCCTTCATCAGCAACAACAACAACAACAGCCACCACAGAGACGACTCCAAAGCAACTTGCTTGGAGCTTCTCAGTTCCATCACAACAACAACAGCCACAATCACAACAAGCCACAAAGCCATCATTCGCTTTCAACTTTGGTCAAACCACTCCCACACCATCCTCAGCAACAACGACACCAGATGCCAAGGATCTTCGTATTAAAGAATTGGAAAAGAGAGTCAAAGAATTGGAGAATGAAACGGAGCAACTAAAGAAACAATTACAAGAGAAAAAGAGTGGAGCTCCAACATCGACCACTTCAAGCGGTGGAGGCTTTGCCTTTTCTTTCGATCAATCTGCAACAAAGCCATTTGCATATTCATTCCCACAACCTGCATCCAATGCGGCTGGAACTACACATGATACTGCTACAGAACAAGGTGCAAAAACAGCAACAACCAACCACACAACCACTCCGATCATTCTTTCAACAGCTGGCACAGAGTCACAAAAAACACAAGCAGTGGAAGAGAAAAAGACAACAGCTCCTAGCACTTTGGCCGAGGAGAAAAAAACCAGAGAAAGCCCCTACTGCTGAGGAGAAGAAGTCATCTGGTTTTAATTTCAATTTCTCCAGCACTCCATCTTCTTCTTCTTCGACTACTGCTAGTGAACCTCAAAAATTCTCATTCGGAGGTTTTTCAACATTCTCAAACCCATTCAGTGGAGCAAGTTCAAATCTAGGGGAAAGCCAATTTAAATTTGAAATTTCAAACAAGCCACCATCGTGGACTAACACAGACTATAAACCAAAGGTAGCCTCAGGAGGTGCAGCTGCCAACGAAGAAGATGAGGAGGGAGGAGATGCAACAGATTATGAACCAAGCCTTCCAGCCATGAGTCACAAGATTATTGATCTTCCTCCAGTAGAATTAAAATCAGGTGAGGAGAATGAAAAATTATTAGGTGAATATAAGGCCGCCAAATTATATCGAAGTGTGACTGTGGATGGCAAGTCCACCTGGCAACAACGAGGTGTTGGTACATTGAAGATTAATTTGAACAAAAATGATGAGAAGGATGCTCGTTTGGTCATTAGAGCAGACTCTGTTCTCAAACTCATCTTGAACGCTAAGATTTTCAAAGGAATGAAATTCTCTCCATTCCAAGAACAATCGATCATTTTCTCCGTCCATAAGAGTCAAATTTGTGAACAGTTGACACCAGAAGAATTATCCAAAGAGCCAGAGTTTATTCCTCACCTCATTCGTTTCGACCAAAAGAGCGAACGAGCTGATTTTAAGAATAAGGTGGAGGACATTGTTGCCAAGTTGGAAAAGTAAAGATGATTCAAGCCAAACTATTGTGCAATGCAATAAAATTCACAAAAGACGATTTCCTCATCACTCGCGTGAAAAAAGATATCCAACCTTCCAATTGATCTTGTCTAAATAAGATGACACATTTTCAAAGCTTGCGTTGTGAAAGAAATCAAAAAGCAAAAAACAAAAAATTTCACAAAGAGACAATCTCGCGAGATTGTGGTGTCCAATTCTTCATTTCTGACTCCATACCCATGTTGATGATCTGAGAAAGACCATCCCTACGTGATCTCAAAGACTCTTTCGAAAAATCGACCAATTCAACACACTTTCTCTCTCTCACATTAAACTCATTGTTGAAAAGTAGATTTTTCTACTTGAAAGTCCTGTACTACTGGTCCACCAAATGTGTTGTTGTTGCTGTTGCTCTCTCCGAAAAACCAAACTCATTCTGATCCGATCGTTTTGTGCGTACGGATGTGAGTCGTTACATCTCTCCCTATTCCTTCTGTTCATTCCTTTTCTATTGAATACGTTATGGATTTTAATACCACTCGTTAATATCGATGAATATATCAAGGTCAAACAAGAATTATTGACTAATACGAGGAACAGGAATGCCAGTTCATTCCATGAGATGAGCTCAACATCCTTATGGTTCATTCCGAAGCAGGAGGAGGAGGAGGATCAATCCCATAAATTTCAACCTGATGATGATTCATCCAGTGGTTGGAGGAATAGTTTCCGTAGCAATCCTGATGATGAGAATCGGAAGAAGAATGGAAATTTACACGAGCATCCTCATGAAGATTTTCAATATTTGAAGAAGAAAAAGCCTTCTTTGGCGATGCATGGAGCATCATGGTCGCCTTATTTGGAAAATTTGGAAAATTCAGACAAGAAGATGTTCTCCTCGAGGCCGTCTTCTTCTTGTCTCTCACCACAACAGAATAGTTATGAAAATTATTATTTTAATTACCTAATCGAATTAGAAAATTCTGACAACAATAATTCATCCAACAACACCAACTCAACACAACCATTTATGATCAATGTGTCAGATTCATTTGCGGGTATTGGATTTTCGTATTACCTTTATTATTTGTTTGCCTTTTTAATTTGGTTGGTGTTTTTCGATCATGTGATACCTGGGAACTCATTGTGGAATGTGACATTTTCAACACTTGCTTTCACACTCGTAACAATTATTAGCTTGATTACGATCCATAGAGCGAAAATTGCATCATCGAGGTGGTCCTATTTATTATTAGCTGCATGTGAAGTGCTCTGTGGATTTTTAGCATACACTGTTTATGTGATTCGATTTTTAATGACGAAAAATGGAATCGACCGACAGAAGATCTTACAAAATTTGCGATCAGAATTCAAGAATGACGATTCTCGATTAGAATTTATTCAAAATGAAGTCGCACGTCGAAAATGGACACAAAGTCACACGTTACAATTGCATCCACCTGCTGGTACCTTTGTATTTTACAACAGAATTTATTTGCAAGATGAATATTTACCCAGATTTAGAAAAACTCTTTTCCAAAATACTCTTCGAAGTAATAACCATGGTCAACAACTAGTGAGTGGCAATAATTTGGAAGCATCGTTATTGGAGACGGACCCTATTATCAGTAATACCGAGAATGACATTGCAGTTCATTCATCCTTTCAATCATTGCAGTCCTTAGAGGATTTTTCACACAATCATCAGTCACCACCAACACCACCACAACAACAACAAGAATACGTGCCTCCACAAATTACAACTGGCACCGACACGGACAACATTACCACAACATCCGTGAACGCACAATCATTTTATTATACAAATAGAGAGGATGGAACAATGACAAGTGTTGATTTGAACTCATCTCCTAACAATTTGATTTACTATGAAATTGAAATCGCAAAGGGATGGGCTGATGCATTCATAAGGTCTTTTTGTTTCCAAATTTATCTCTTTGGAATGCAAGCTAAATATCGAACACCATATGCCTTCTCGTCTATTGTGGATGTCAATAGGGGATTTTCCTTAATGAAATTTCTCAATAACAAGATTTCTTCGTTAAGACAACGATCTCGCCGCAGTAGAGATGCAATCAATGATTCTACTCTTGAAAATAGTGATTATGTGACATTTGACACTCTACTTAAAGAACATGGAACGAAGCAGTCACATTTTAAAAGCAAACTTTCAGTCGTTTCTTCTTCCGCAACAAATGATCCATCATTTTCAGCCGATGAAACAAATTTTCAATTCATAGAAGAGGAAGTGACTCCCAAAGAAATTACGCTTCTCGAATCCAGAGAACATTTAATACAACAAGCAAACAAATCGTCCTATTCGATTATGAACGATCTTGAGGAAGGATGTTGCAAAGTGACATCGAGTGTGAGACCTCCCGTTCAGTACGAAACACGAACCTACTTGATTCGAACGTTGTTTCAAGTGATTTTATTCAAAATTTTAGTTTTCCTGATATGGTTTTATTTGCAATCGTTTGCCTATGAGATTTGGGATGTTTGCTCCAACTGAAAAACAAGGTGAGTGTTGTTGTTGTTGTTGACATCTTTTCACACAATAGAATTTACATAACATCCTATGATTACGAAATATTTTTCCATTTCCACTTTCTACATAATTATTACATTTATCGATTTATTAATTTAATTATCCAAATTCTACATCCTATTACATGTATGGAATTTTATTGACACTTTCAAATAGCTGCTATCAGTATTGGTTTTCAAGTCTCTAGAGTGATCATTCCATTCATTTTAGAAATGGCTTCTGAAATTCTACTACCCACTGACCAAATTGAACCCATTCGATATTTTCATAATTTTATTTCACAAATGTTTTTTGGCCTATTTTACAATTATCTCTTTGTGAAGGTTGAGACTTGGGAAAATTTTTTCCTTCTTACATTTATCAATTTTATTTTCCTTCTTGTACAATATCCTTTAAGGGCAACACGAACTTCCTATTTTGTGACGCAAAAAGTGAAATATTGGATTTTATATATTTTTGGTGTGAAAAAGTTCTATCCTTCTCTCTTTTATAGAATTACTTTACAAACCTATGAGCACTATTTGAGGAACATTTGTGCCAAGTTTTACTTGTATGAGATTTCAAGTTTTGCTTCGACATTGTCGTTTCTTATTTTCACCAAAATTTTGAAAAGCAGTGAATACAACTTCCAAATGTATCCCATTCTGAGAGATCGATATGTAAACGATAGTCAATACGAGTTGAGTATTACCTCGCAATCATTAGTGTTACTCGCCTTGGAATTCCTCTTTATTGTAATCATTAATGTGTTGGTATTTATTGGAACGAAAAAGCACATTTCAATTGTTGGAAGAAAATTAACTGTCGAGGATGCAAAAACTAGATTCTTGTTTGCAATATTCATGTTGCACTTTTTGAATGATATTCACTATTTTATGCAACGAGCACCAAAGTTTGATTAGTTAATTAGTTCGTGTCAAAATTTTTTGACCACAAATGAAGCTCCATTGCAAATGCAAGATGACACAAGGAGAAAGAATTGAGAACAACAACAATTGGGAATATTTTGAGAAAATAAATTGAATTTTAATAATTTATGGTCTTTTGAATATATATATTTGCACTCTAGTATTCTTTTGTTAGACACTTTTCAAGTCTGAAATAATCTAATGTTCAGTCTGAGTAATTCTGATTGGATGAGCCTCAGTGTTGAAAACAAACTTATCCAATGGAATGACATGATTTGGAGAGAACAACAAATACAAATATTTCAAAGTTTCTGCCAAAAAGAAGCTCTGTTGGAAATCATCCTTTCCAGGTTGTGTAGACAAGACAGATGTTATGCCACTGTATCCTCCTCCTTCCACCTTACAATGTTTTTCAATGGCTTGGAAAATCTTCCATCCCCATTCTCTGTATTTTTCATCACCTGTCACACGATACAAAACGAAAATACTTTCCACAGTCTCAGGTCTCAATAGATAAGTGGGGACACCAGCTCTAATATTTCCAGAATCCATTAAAAATGTTTCAGGTCCAATCTTAGCAGGCATTTGTTGATATGATTCGTAGCATGTTCTCGTAAATTCGGCACCAGCTTCAATTTGTCTTGCATTCGAAATTGGGAAATCTGCTGTGGAGACATTGAAATAACCTCCCAAGGCAAACATGCCAGCAGCAAAACAAGCCAAGTGATCCACTTTGTGATATGGATTTCCACTGTATTCTGCCACATAGGTATATCCTTGGCTCGATTTTAAGAGCATGTGATCGAAAATTCCTTTCAAAGAGTCCAAATATAATTGTCTGTATCTTTCTGCAGCCTTGGTTCCTCTATTCATTAGCCATTGTTTGAGTAAATATTCAAAGAATGAGTCACCTAGAGCGCCTAGTGAGACGTGATTGGTACACCATTGGCCATTGTCTGGATGGAATTTGATTGGGAAAAGACCATTGGCTGGTTTTCGGTCAAACATCAAGTCCATAATTCGAGTCACCAATTTGTTGTACTTGTCATCTCCAGTCAATTCACTCAATCTTCTAAACTCCAATTGAAGCGTACCGAACTCGCTCAATGGACAACAATTTCCAGCCCAAGCAAAAGTCTTCTTCTCACCCGTTCTCAAATTAATCTCCGAATAAGGAATTCCAGTTGGAGAATTGAAAGCAGGAACCAATCGATCTGCCATATCTTTGGCTTTCTCAAGGAAAATTGGTTCTTTTGTCAAGTCAAATGCACTCAAAAATCCTCCCACCACTCGAATTGTTGTTTCAAAAACACTGATTCCTCCATTAATTGTTGAAAATGAAGGCATTTCGTTTTTCACATATTTCAATGATTTTTCGAATTGTTCTTTCAAACCCATGATCACCATTGTGTCCAAAGAGTCGATAATGGTCATACCAAAACCATTCGAATCACGAATCCAATTGTGATGACCACGACTCACAGGTCTATATTCATCCTTTCCCCACACTTTTTCATATCCTTTGAAAGCATGAATAAAGGCCTCTCTCACGGCTCTTCTTCTCTCATTTTGAGAGTCTGCCATGAAATCCACAAAGTAATCTTGAATGGTCATTAATTCGGGTCGTTTCAAATAGGCTGGTTTTCTATTGTTACCATCGGAAGATGAGGAAGAAGATGAGTATCCTGATGGTGATGAGGAGGAGGAACGTGAATCGCCATTACCATTATCGGATCCAAAAAGATCTTCCTCGAGAATGGTATTTCCATCCAACACGTTTTTCGGATCATCCTCCGAGTTTCCATTTTTAGAATTTCCACTCATCACAAATAATCCAATCACGAATAAGACAAAAACTATTAAAATCACGGAAAAGATTCTGTTTTTTCGGACGAACATTTGTAATCTCTCTCCGATGGAAATATCAGTTTTATCCAACTTGTTATAAGAATCAATAGGTTCCAAATTGGGTGCAGAGGAAGAAGGTTGCATCCCGAGAGTTATAGAAGATGAGCCACTACTCGATGATGAAGAAGTAGGTACAGAAGAGGTGATTGTAGTTCTCTTCTGGGTGAGGCCCGAGCCCATCTCGGGATCATACGAAGAGGAACTCATTTTTTTATCGCTGGTTGAAAAATATCAAGTGGATCGTTTTATTGTGGTTATTGACTGATGACAGCGTTAGAGTTCGGTATCGAACTGTTGAAATTCGAATGGAAGATTACAATTAATGACAACAACATGATCGTTCAATTCATGGTTAAAAATTAAATAACGAGGTCAAGAAACGAAACAACATGTTCTCAACTATAGGACTCTCTCGAATTTCTCATCATTCGATGGATCATCAACGGATCATCATCATCATGGTGCTCATTTTCATTTCTGGAGGTCTTCCTATTTATTAACCCATAATGAATGAAAAATATCACTTAAAGAAATAATATTTTGAAAAAAAAAATTGTTGAAAATTTTAATTTTTTTCGGATGATGGATTCTTCCTTATTGGGATTGACCTTAATCGTTGGAAACTCGGAAAGAAGAGTGGAAGAAGAATCATTGAATGGCTCCGAGAAAGAAACAATGGATGCAGCAAGAAATACTCTTGAAGCTGGTGGACCACTTCAAACCTTACATCATCATGGCCATGATGAAGAAGAAAAGGCTTATTCTTCTCTTCCTTTGATGACTGAGAATGATCTTGAAATGGGAGAGATTCATTCGCGAGCCCATCATGAGGATGATGAACACACTCATCATGCGCATCCGAAGAGTGATCACGATGAAAATCAACACGATACTAGCAATTTGGAGGTTCGGCGGATGATGATGAGAGGAGAGTCTGCTCTGGGAGTTGGGGGAGCATCATCCTTCTCCTTGTCGTCGGCAACAACGAAGAGAACTAACACGAAATCTAATCATGATGAGCTTGTTCATGGCGGTGGTGAAAAGCAACAACAAAAGCAATCACTCACACCACCATTCATGGTACTCGAGCAGGATCCAATGGGAAACTATAAAGGCAAAACTAACGAGATTTCGAGTAATGACAAATTACCATCACGAAGGAAGGCTCTCTTCATGGATTTACCGTCGATCAGTATGGGAGGTTCCAGGTGTGTCAAACCGTTGCTATTGATAATTTTAACTGTGACTGTGGTTGCCTTCCTTTGGCTTTCAGCCTATTCGAATAATTCAAATAATTTTGAAAATGATGGAATGGATGATTCTGTAATCACTTCAAAATTGCCTTTCATTGAGAATTGGGAATATGAGGATGATGTTCCCAAAAAAGACATCACCAACACAGAAAGTACGCCCTTAATACAGCAGCAAGTAGTCACCATGCCAGATTCATCCCTCTTCACAATCGATGATTACTACATGGATTTTGAAATTGACAAGAGCAATCAAAAGGAACGGCGACAAGCCGTGAGAGAGGCCTTTATTCATGCTTTCAAAGGATATGAAAAAGTGTGGGGAAAGGATGAATATAGACCTGTGAGTCGTGGTCATCACAATTGGATTCGTGATTCGAATGGTTTTGGTATGACCATTATCGACTCTTTGGACACAATGGTGATCATGGGTTTGAAAGAACAATTCGAAAAATCATTGAAATATGTGAAAAACGAAATGCCTTCATTTTCAACAATTAATGGAGGAATCAGTGTTTTTGAAACAACAATTCGAGTGGTGGGAGGATTTTTGAGTGCATTTGACTTGACAAAAGAACCAATTTTCCTTGAGAAAGCCAAAGATATGGCAGATCGATTGATTCCTGCTTTCAATTCTCCAACTGGAATTCCTTATTCGGAGATTAATTTGAGAACGGGTGAGAAGAAGACTTTTGCTTGGGCTGGTTCGGATTGTGCAATTTTGAGCGAGCTTGGAAGTTTACAATTGGAGTTTAGAAGATTGAGTGAATTGACCGGAGACCGTAAATATAATTCTGCCGTCACAAAAGTCATGGATGAAATGATTCGAGTACGGCCTCAACATGGTCTATACCCTCATATGTATAATATTTTGAATGGGCAGGCTTGCTCAATTCATGTCACATTGGGAGCTCTCGGCGACTCATTCTTTGAATATCTACTGAAACAGTGGTTGATGAACAGAGGAACTAAGGCTGCAGAAAGATATCGCCAAGCTTATTTAGAGACAATTAAGGGAATTTTTAATCATCTTGTGAAAAAGTCGCACAAAGGTTACACTTACGTGGCAGAGTTTGAACGAAATGCACGTAACAAGATTGATCATTTGGCCTGTTTTGCTGCTGGCATGTTTGCCTTGGGAGGGTATTTCAATGTCTCCTCAACAGATTTCCCAATTTCGAATGCAAGACAAATTGAGGTGGGAGCCGAGTTTACGAGAACATGCTACGAATCATATCAACAAATGCCTTCCCATTTGGGACCTGAGGTTTTTACAATGGACGAAATTACTGGAGACATTCGAGCTGGAGGAGCTTCCTCTTATCTTCTACGTCCTGAAACAGTGGAAAGTTTGTTCATCATGTGGCGAATAACTGGCGATGAAAAATACAGAGAATGGGGATGGAAGATTTTCCAAGCCATTGAAAAACATTGTAAGGTGGAAGGAGGAGGATACAGCGGAGTTGTGACAGTGCTCAACTCACATCCTCACAAAGACGATTTCCAACAGAGCTTCTTTTTGGCAGAAACTTTGAAATATTTGTATTTGTTGTTCTCTCCAAATCATGTCATTCCATTGGATAAGTTTGTTTTCAACACTGAGGCTCACCCTTTAAGAGTCACCAAAACTGAGCATTAAATAGAAACGTTTATATATAATGTTCTTGAATGAATGTATTCAACAGACGGCATTCTTTGGATCGAATGAACTAAAGTGTGATAAATTATATCTATTCAGTGATTTAACAGGCAGGAGATAATGGGCCATTAGTTTAAAGGCCTGTCCATGTATTACGGACTGTGATGTGAGGTTTATTTACACCGCAGAGTTGACAAGTCAACGTTGTTCGTAGGACAATAAGTTGACGAATATCCATCTTACAATAGCTTTTCTTACAGATGGATTAATAATGAACAATTTGGTGCAGGCATGTTCAATCTTTTCTTCATCATTTCCAACAAACATAATCAAAGCACCAACAACGTTTTCAATATCACTTCCTTCAAGGTCAAAATTCTCCAATCTCTTTTCACTCATTACAACACCGAAATTCTGATCTTTTAGCAGAGCATCAATATGCTTCTTGTTCCATATTTTCGGGTTACTTTTCTCTAATTGAACATCCCCAATACGACAAGTACATCTTTTCTCCCAACCCTGTTTTCTTCTTTTTCAAGTTCTAAGAGGAGCTGCTGGAGTTCGTTGTTTTCTTTGGAGAGGGTTGTTCATCAATAACATCTAAAATGTATCCATCTTCTTCTTCTGTTTTTTCTACCAAATAAGATTTTCTCTAGGACTGAACCTTTCGTAAGGTCAATGGAGGCTGTTTCATTATTTCTTTCCCCTTCCTCATCATGAGCCGTTCTTACGTTTTCCTCCTCCTTGTTTTCCATCAAAACGACCGAATTTTGTTTTCTCCGAGGCATTGTTGTTGCTATTCTTTGGAAACAATTTTGTGGAGATTTTTTTAATATAACCTAAGGATCCCAATTTAGGAAGGTATGAAAAAAATTAAGGAAATTGAATGGATCAAAACAAGCCCTGCGAAGAAGACTCGATTCCCATATGGTCGTCCACAACAACAACAATAAGGGAAGATGAGCAGCAACCTGTTTTCGAGAAGAAGATGATTACCTCGGATGATCTGGCAAACGCCTTCCCAAAGACTTGCGTAAAGATGGATACTCCGAACAAAGACGAGCGGCAGCAGCAGCCGCATCTCTCTCAGCAAATAGCAACATCTCATCTCCCTCGAGCACCATCATTGATGCAGTCAGGAGAAGATGAACACCCTCCTCACGAACATCATTCGGGTCATTCCCTTTCGCAAAATAATAATAATAATTACTCGACCATTACTACTCTCCAAAGCACAGTTTCAAACATCGAAACCCATCAGCAGAACCATCATCATCATCATCACCATTCAAAAGAACCATCCTCCGAGGTTTCCAGTCCTTCCACCCATATTGAAAGGGCTACCAAAAGCCCACTCTCCGAGAAATTACAGAATTCTTTGAAAAGTGGAAGAGGAGAAACCACAACCTATTCTTCAACAACATCACGTGCTTCTTTATTATCATCACTACGGGCAAGTCAAATGGCTTCATCGGCAACAACAACCTCTTCGCTCCTCTGTAAGGAAAATACTTTGTCCTTGGATTTAAGCATGACGAATGGCAGCGCGAATCATCATCATCACGAGGGAGATCACTCGCCAAGCAAGTATAATAACAGTGAAAGCAGCAAGAATCAACGTTCGCCATCATCCAATTCCATCGCTCGGGATACCGAGGAATTATTCGTCAAGACACTCTCAGCTCGTTCGGCAGCATCTCATCAAAAACCTCACTTGCCCACCACTCCGAGAGGAGAAGGCATTGTTGTTTCATCGCCCAAACATCAAAACCTTCAACATCTTCCACAACATGACTTTGACAATAAGGATACAGGTAGTTCTGTCCTGAAAAAAGCATCAAACTCTCTGAAAAAAACAAAATTTTCTCAAGTAGAGTTGAATCGATTCGATGAGATGGTACAATGTGATTTAAATTGTGGACATCGTCATCATGAAATGCCCTATAAGAACATGACAGGATTAAAATTGGGAACCATTGATGAAATGTATCGAAATTATTCAAAGCCCATTGCTGTTGTTCCTTACGTTTTGAATGAGAACGAGATTATTGAGAAGAGATTGAAGAAAATCAAATCAACATCTCCTGCAAGATCTTCGAAAGATTTTGTGAAGGGTGACGTTTTGATGCATTTAACTCATGATGGTGATACGAATAATGCAAGTGCTGTTGTTATTTCAGGTCAATCACCCCTTTCTGGAGCTCTGATCAACACAAGCATTGTAACAACAATGAATTCCTCTGTTTGGACATCCCCTCCATCTCCTATTGCTTCGTTGAATTCATCTTTTCAACACGAGAGTCATCCTTCAAGAAATCAAACTGTTGCTTCAATTTCTGACATGAATCCAGGAAGCTCTAGCTCCCATACGAATGGTCATGCTGACGAGCACCAAACAAGTCCAACAACATGCAAAACTTCAATCAAAATTTCAGCAAACATCCCATCTTGCAATAGATCTTCTTTTGAAACTACTTGTTCAAGCATTGTTTCTCAAAACAGCCCCTCTAATCGATGTAAGAGTCCAAATTCAACCTCTCCCAAGAATGCATGGTCGAAATTTACAGGCGGTTTTTACAATAGTCCAGTAAGTATTTATATGGAAAAACAACATTTCAATTCACCCGAATATAATGGCAACTGGTTGTTTATAGAGATGTTTCAATACGAATTATAGGCATTGTAGCAATCCAAATTTTATTCGAAAGAATGAAGATGATGAGTCAACCCTCGGTGTTAAAAAACTGGGAGTGGAAAGTGAGAAGGATCCACCCCTGGTTAGGAAGAGAAAAGAAGAGTTACACCACATTCATCAGGTCTATAGTGTGACTGCATCTTCAGAATCAAAAAGATGCAAAAGCAATGGTCATTCTACGACATTTCAGAGGACTCAACCACAACCTATCGATAGCACCACACTTATAACGGAGGACGTAAAAACCTTAATAGATCGTTTTGAAAAATCTTGTCATACACAAAGCGATACCTCCAACAATGATTTGCTTCAAATTCAAGCGACAAGATTCAACATGTCACCCTCACCTCCCCTACCTGGAGAATCTCGTAAGCGAAACAAATCTAGCAGGGAGGACATTGAACAGAAACGAGTTGAAGAATACAGTAATCCTAATACTCTTCATTCTGTTCATTCAACGTTTGTTCCACAATTTAAGCCCAAGAGAGGATCATGTACTTCTCCAACATTCAATCAAATTTCATCGGATTTGACTAGTCAAAATAGACCCTCCACTTACCAAACAAGTATTCGAAATGATATTTCCATCTCTGGAACAGACAAGACCAAACACAAAAAACATTCCATTCTCAATTATCATGATTTCGATCAAAATGCAATGTTTATTGGAGATGGTCATGAAGATAAGTTGAAACAAATGTTAAATCCAAATAATTATCCAATTGATCTTTTCCCACAAGTAGAGGCCTTGAGAAGACGAAAGAATATGTCAAAGAGTGATTACAAGAATTTTAATGCTCTTCGTTCTTCAAAACTTCACACGGCATATTTGTGTTTTCGAAGAAGTACCATCAATCGATATTTAGATTACAAACATCAGCTCGAAAACGTGATGGGAAAAGATAAGGCACCGATGATGCCTCATCATTTAATGGATGAATTGATACCGAATGCCTGTTCATCATCAGGTAAAAAGAAAAAACAAGGAAACAAAACAGAAAAGGTCGTCATTCCAGAAGGACACAGTTATGTGTCTTCAGAACACCTTGATATACGTACCTCTCTTCCAGAAATTGTTCCTTCTTCCAATAATCAAGGCGATGCAAACCAAAGAAATGCAGTATCCTTTACATTGTAACAGAAAGGCGTCATGAAGCCATGATCATGGTCATTTCCTTTCATCCACTCACCCAACGTTATGGCTATGTCTGAAGACCCCAACAACGTGTTCGATTGCACAAGCATCCGATTTGGCATCCATACTTGCCCATTTCTGCAACGTCTGATACAATTAAATCTTCTGCATGGTCGTGGTAAGCAGCGACAACGAATGGGACAACCACACCGATCTCTCCAAAAACCATATCGACAACGATTTCGACAGTTGAATATTCTACACGTATATCCAGGCCATCTTTGAGCCATGACAGCAGAATGTTGACTTGATGAAAAGTACGTTGCAGTGAGAAATAGGAATGCAACGAGAAGAGCGATAAGCACACCTCTTTTTCGTCTCCTTATAATAGTGAATGATAACGGAGAATGCATCATGTTTTTTGTTGATGCTTTTTGGATAACCTATTGATCCTCAATTTTCATCACAAAGCACACATTTCAGAGATAGAAACGGAAAAGTTGTTTTTGGGAAAATCCTGAAAAGATTTTGCTATCCAAATGGAATTTTGACAATTCGGGTGAGCTCATTAATGTTCATAGATCATGTTCTTTAACGAAGTGTGTGGAAGTGAATATTTTGTTTAGTGTAATTTTTTGAGACTGAAATACAATGGATGTCAGAATCATCGTTAAGTCAACGTTCAAATTCAGTTGTACACATGTGTGAAATTCAATAGCGGCTTAATAAAAACCAATGCTTTGCAAGGTGTTATCAACATACTTCTTGTTGTGAATTCCAATGGGTGCTCTCAACAAGAAATCAGGAATGTTGAAAGATTCCACAATGTCCAATGAAATGTGTTTCAATTTTTCATACAAAGTTGGAAGAGTCTTGTCCATGATCAGTTGTGCAGTTTCAATCTCAAAGTATTGATGAATCAAGTAGAAGGAGAGATTTTGTCTCAAAATGCTCACAGCATAAATGTCAGAAATGGTTTTGAAAATGTCACGAGTTTCGTTGTCAACGGCATGTTTCAACAAAGCTTGTTGCATTCTGAACAACAATTCCAATTCAACAAAACTTCTTGCGAGTTCAATAATTTTGACCAAACTCAAATTCCATGCTGTTTGGAAATCTTTCTTTTCTTTCAAATGCTTTCCAATTTGAGAATTGCATTCTTCCAATAATTTCTTCACACGAAATGCCAAAACCTTCTTTTGAACGTCAAATTTCAAAATATCACTTGCTGCATTTTTGGCCATCTTGTTCTCTGCTGTGAAGATTTCTTTCAAGGTTGCAGAAGAAGCTGACTTTTTCTTTGCCTTATCAAACAAATATTTTGCTAATTGTTGATACAAGACAATGGAATCTCCTTCAGCAGTTCCAAATACACACATGTCATTCATTAAAATTCCAATTCTATTATTATTCGAATATCCATGACCTCCACAAGCCACTCGTAATTCTCTCAAGGCAGGAGTGGCATATTCACAAATATAAGCTTTCACACCTGAAACAATGGCATGAAAATCTTCGGCAGCAGAGTGATCACGAATGCTTTTTGTGTAATCGTCTGAAAGTGTGGTAAAACCTGAAAAGAAGGCCATCGTATTTGCCAGCATGGGTAATATTAAATCATGATGAGTGGGATATTCCCAAATTAAATTTTCCAAATTATTCTTGTTTCCAAACTGTCGTCTTTGATGGGCATAGCGAATGGCAGTCGTTAATCCAGCTTTGAAAAATGTAAATGAAATTGGTTTCAAATGAATCAAAACATATTAAGAATTCACAGTCCAAAATGTTCATCCATCAAAAAACTCACCTTTCAAGGCAAATGTAGGACCAGCAATGTACAACAATCGACCCATCGAGAGTGCAGAAAGTGTGACGCCAAATCTTGCTCCCTCATCCTTAATGTCACTCACATATTTGCCATCTGGTGTGACTTCTCCATATCGATTCAATAAGGCATCCAATGGAACTCTCACTCTGTCAAATGCAATACATCCATTATCCACTGCATTCCATCCTTGTTTCACTCCAATATCTTTGATGTTGATTCCTTCTCTTAATTCGAGAGTGAAGGGATCACGAATGGGCACAACAAACACATGAACACCCTTATTTTCATTATTCACAATCAATTGAGCAAAAACACAAGCTTTTGTTCCATAAACTGCAGAATTTCCAATCCAATACTTGTAAGAGGATTTTGTGGGTGAGTGAATGATAAATTCCTTTGTGGAAGGATCAAAGGTGGCTGTCGTTTCAATTCCTTTCACATTCGATCCATGTGCAACTTCAGTCATCATAAAACAACCAATATCTTGAGCTCGATTCAAATCTGTCAACAAGTGACGATGTTTCTCTGTTCCCAATCTGTAAATACACGTTCCATACAGTTGTAAACTCACCACCAATTTTGCAGCAAATGAAACATCATAACTCAATGCAGCTTCAGCAGCTCCCAAAAAGGCATAAATGTTTTCATTCATTAATTCAGTGGTGACAAGTTGATGTTTCATAAATTCATGAAATTGCAAATCCAATTGTTGTCGATATTGATGAACTGTCCATTCATTGTCAATCACATAGAGATCTTGTGCGAGAACTTGCCAAATCTTTTCACGTGAAGAAGTGAAACCTTTGGAAAAGAGTGAAGCTTCCATGGATTGCAACAAACGAGAGGAAAGAGAAGAAGAGTCCTTTGCGTAGAAAGCTTTCAATTCTTGAAGAGATTTTGTGTTTGGAAGGAGAGGACGATCTTGTCTGTGGAAATTTTGTTTGGAAGGAATTCAGATCAGCAACAGTTTGAATTGAATATATTTGGAATTTACAAATTAAAAAAAACATGAATTACAACAATTAAAAAACCAACCTCTTGAGTTCGATATGGTAACGACGAAGACTTTCATTCGAAGGTAAATCCATTCCGCTTCGATTTGAAATGAATGAAGAAGAAGAACAAGAATTGGCATGTACCATCAATTCCTTTGAATTCAACATTTCACCACCGTTCAATCCTTGTTGTTGTTCATTTGTGGTGTGTGGCATGAGATGACCAGTCAAAACTTGAAGTCTTCTCTTTTGTTCAACCATCATCATGTGGTTGTCGTGGTGGTGGTGGTGGTGGTGAATGGCGTTTGTGTTTAGCATTTTGTTTTTTGTTTGTTTTTGTCTCTTTTCGGTTCTTTTAGAGAGATCTCAAGAGGAAAATTTTAATTTTCCGAAGTGCGAATAAGGCATCCATGTGCTGAATGAATGAATTGATGAAATACACACTTGTTAATGTGGTTAGTTTTATGGTTGTTGACAGCCCACGTGGGCATCCTCATCATGTGAGAAAGTTACCTGAGTGATCACTCTTGTGAAAGGCTGCTGCGGGTGGTCAGTTCGTCTACACCACCAATGGCTTGATTAATGGCCTTTGTGGCAGCCTGGAAAACAGTGGAAACCCAAAAGATGTAAACCATGTGAATGAAAATGGCCAATCCACACATGATCATTCCGTTTGTCTTTTTTGCCACACGAGTGGTACCATCATTTAAGGATGTTGTTCCTGCAGTTTTTACGAAAAAGCTCAATCCATAATTAATGCTTCCTGAGAGGGCCAAAGTGAAATAGAGTAAATAGAAGAGAACATTGGAGGTTGATCCGCCAGAAAGTCCCGAATAAATCAAACTACAAAATTGAATGGCACAGAGTGGAATTAATTGATATCCGGTAATGCATAACAAGCTGATGATTGACATGTTACAGCCCAATACAAGTCCAACAACAAAGAAAAATGCTGAAGATGCAATCCAATACACAAAGGATGAGAATAAACTTGTTCCTAATAAAGTTCCTTCGTTCTGAGTCATGTTTGGTGAATGTCGGTACAAATATTGCATAAAATCAAAGTATGATTATGATTATTAATATTATATCACATATAATTATGTTAAATATTTTTAACAGTAAATAAATAATTATGGTTAATTATGACATTGAAAATCAAAAAATAATAATAATAATTTTCGTTGATCATCAAGTATCGGAATTGCCGTTGTGGTGATGGAAATGTTGAATCATCATCATTTGTACTGGACGGACAGACTTACCACATGAACATTAAAGAATTTCATTTGAAAATCCAACAAGATGGCCAATGAAAAAACAGCCACTACCGGAATAAACAAATCGGGATCATCCATATGCGAAATCATGGGCTGTAAAGGCTTGAACACAGTTTGAATCATTCTCTGTAAAGCCTGTTTTTCATCCAATCCAATAAAGTATGGTTTTAAAAATCCAAATGAAAACCATGATGGCACAACTTTGCTCGTAGTTGATTGCAACATGGATTTGGCGAATTGAAATTGTAGAGAATTTGAAAAATCATCATCATCACCACCAAACGATGAATCAGCACTTGCTCCGATCCTATTGTTGTTGTTACCATTAATATCAGAACTGGTCGATGATCCTTTTTGTTGTTGATCTTCCATCAGGGAAACTTGTTCATCAAAATTGGATTCCATCCAATCTTGTTGTGGTGGTTGTTGTAAAGACATTTTTTTGATAATTTTGGAGTTGAAATTAATTGCAGTTTTAGTTTACAATCAATAAGGAGACCTAAGGTTGACTATTGCTAATTAACCCCAAGACAATGTTGACAAATATGCTTTAGAATTACATCAATCAGCTAAATGTTTTTTTTTTGGAAAATGAGTAATCTGTAATCCTGTTGTAAAAATCACTCAACACTTCAAGTACGATTCTTCGTCATCATTGATTCAAAGAACCAAGCTGACCATGAACAAACGTTGAGTATTGTGAACGTCATGTCGCAACAAAGAACACTCACCTTGAATTCACTGGAGGTTGGTCATTATTATTGGAACGACTCGACATAATTATTCGCTGCTCTTCAAAGAGTGAATTCTATTCAAAAAAGTATTCATGACACACAAAGGTGTAAATCAAGCTCAACGAATCCAAATCCAAACTAATTAAATGACCACCACGTGTGGAGTGACAAAAACACATGTGCAACCATTTGATCTTTTTTCTCAATTCCAATAATGGTAACAATTCGTGATTTTCAGGAGTCCATTCGAACGCTTTTGTGATCAATGAAAGAAAAGGTTCTAGTTGTTTTGTCAATTCCAAACATGTCGTGATCCTCTCATCCTCTCGATATGGAATTCTCGTGTCAGCTCCATGAGCAAGCAATATCTTGACAAGTCGTTCACAATTTTTCATAAGGGCCAAATGTAAGGGAGTGGAAAAGGTCCACACGTTTTCAACTTTCATGGAGAGAGGATAGTCGATGTCGAACCTGATATTCACATCGGCACCAGCCTACAACAAGGTTCGAATAATTATTTCACAATTCTTCAGTTGTTCGTTGACCCATTCCTTTTCTTCCAATTCTGGGAGATTTGATGAAAGAACGGAATATTGTCGGAAGGCTCCTACCATCTCGTCTTTAATTTCCTTCTTGTGGTAGGAATGGCTCCCAATTTCAACAATTCTTTCATGTGGTTCAAGTTTTCCTTGATCGCTGCTTGCATCAACTGTTCTTCAAGGCTTTCATTTGGGTTTAACTTGAAATCAAACACTTCATTCTGTGAAGGGGAAGAAGGTGCATTGGTTGGTTCTTTGTTAACATTGCCTTGCGTATGGGTTTGACAGTTCTTCTTGTCACGGCTAAAGAAATTGAAAATTTTTTTCATTTGATGATGGAACCTGTCAGGTTTCCAAGTACGTGGAAAAAGTCAATGATATACAAATTTAGTGTTGAGAATTCATGACGATAGACAGGAGTTGGGTTGTTCTTTCGTTTTGAAATATAAATGTACTTTGCAAAAACAGAGTCATATTCTGTTTCGTTTGCGATTCGATTCAGATATGTCCTCAAACTCAATGTTCCTTCTAGAGCTTAATTTACTAACCTCAGACTTTCTCTTTTGATCATTTCAGAATTCAAGATCTCTCTCGTTTGTAAATGTTCGCTGGAACTTGGTTGCAACTTTTAATGTGCTCCTTAAACTTTGCAAAATAATGACTGTCAAGTGTCAAAAAAATTCAGGGATGGGTTTATTCGATGATAAACGTTGTTCGATGGTTTTATGTACATTATTTACAAGCCGAACGTAAGATACGTAGTGACTTCCTAGCAGGCACCCCGGAAGTAAAGGTGTTTAAACTGCTCACGATAACAGCAGCAACCCCTGGGATACGAACGCTGGACCAGTTGGCTGCCACAGTTCCAGAAAAACCACTCGGCCATATGCGGGCAGCTTGTCAAGTGTCAAAAAAATGAAACGAAGGCTTTCTGGTCATCAGTTGAATAATATCCATCATTGGATTGAAACAAATCCCACAAACAAGCACTTGAAATTACCCAATAACACCATCACCGACCAAGTGAAAATTATTTTAATTAATTTTCATCAATCTCCTTTCTCTCCTTCATCATTGATGATAAAAAATCATCATCAACAACAACAACATTCTCTAATATCCATTGAAAATACTTCCCACATCAATCACCTCTATGAATTATTGAAAAGAAAATTTGAAAATCAATCCAAAGGATTCTCAAAATGGTTATTCGCACGGGAACAATGGCTACAATGTCACTTATCTTCCATGAAAATCGAATTCATTAACGATTTCGAGTGTGTGCACAAGTGGACAAGTGATCATGACGAGTTACTTTATGAGAATGATGATTGGTTGGTGTCCATATTGGTGCAAATGGTGGACATTAGAAAATTATTGTTCACTAATTCAGATGAGCAATTTCATTCTGTGGAATTTTGGAAACCTTTTCAAGAAGAAATTTGGCATTTATTAATGAAAAAGCAATTGTCAATCATGAAATACATTCCAAAAGAGGTTTTTTTAGAATTCAATGAATGGAAAGAAAAGTTGGCACATTTATTTCAAACATCTTATGGACTCAATTTTGTGTTTGATCTTGATGATATTGACAAAGCAATGAAAGCACTCGACGAAAAGAAGTGCCAGATATTTCAACTTTCAGAAGGACTGAGAGACAATGAACAAGTTATGAAATATGCCACTCAATGTGACCCTAAAAACATTCGATATGCATCGGAACGACTGAAAAAAGATCGAAAATTCTGTTTGGATGTTGTTTCATCAAATTTCGACTCGTTTTTTTATCTGAAATATTGGATGGACGACGAATCATTTGCTTTCGAATTATTGTGTCACTCGTCAGATATTACCATTGTTGATGGAAAAATTCAGCAAGAGCAAATCCAAACTTGTATTCCAGAAATATGTGAATGGATATCTTCATCCGCTTGGAAAATCAATTTATCAATGGATGACAAGATGAAGATTTTTCAACAATTATTTCTCAAAGATTCAACAATTCCTAATCATTTCAAATCGATCAAAAATCTAATGAAATCAGCACTTCAAAAGCTTCTTGAATTACCAGAGGAGTATTATCAAGCACTTCGCAATCATCAACACACTCTCCGTGTACAAGGAAAGTTTGCACGTTCATTATTCGAACAAAATCAAAATCTCCAAAATGATCGACTTGTCGAACAAGTATTGACACGAATTTACAAAAATTATGATCAAATTTGGATGAAAGATGAAAAGTTTATTTTGAAACGCCAAGATTTGCATCTCTTGTTGAAATATGGCCCAATGACTTTGAGAAGGGACAGAAATTTCGTATTGCAGGTTGTAAATTCACATTTTCTTCATGAAATCAGATTGGAGAACATTTTACCAGAACTACAAAACGATCGAGAAATAGTATTGGCTGTCATGACGAAAAATGGTCGAATGTTTTCAAATGTGTTTGCGTTACCAAAAGAATTTCTAAATGACAAGGAAATTATTTTGACTGCTCTTAAAAGCAATCATCCTTGTTCGTTTAGTGACATTCCACAAAACTTTCATCAAGACAAAGATTTGATTTTGGAAATTTTAAATCTCCCCATTGGGATCAATGTTGCACATGATATCGATCATGTTTTTCCAATATTTGTTGAAAGAAAGGATCAAGAAGTGATTTTTGCTGCCCTTAAAAAGGATCCAAAATATTGGGATTTTCTCTCGGATGACTTATTGAGAAACGATCGAGATTTTTTGTTGGCTGCCATAAGAAACAATGTAGAACCAAGGGATGTTTTATATTTTGCCTCAAAAGAATTGAAACAAGATGCAACTTTTATGATGGAAGTTGTAAAAGCTCACCAAGACGGATTGAATTCCATTCTGTATTCGAAAGGATATACATTTCTTGACGATAAGAGTATTTTTTTGAATTCTGAAATTGGAATTGAAGGTGTGAAAGTGTGGGGAATCATTTCGGGTGACATTTTCAATGTCTGTTTGAATCGGCGTCCAACCGATGTATCTTTTGATGGAGCTATCAAGTTTTTTCAAGTTTTGAAACAGGTTGAGATTTGACTATGAATATTTTGGATGTCACATTCCTGAAACTCGGTGGATGAAAGAAAAAATCAAACACTTGAAAGGTGAAGAACTACGTAACAAATGGTGGGACCCAGCAGAAATTTATAATTTTTGGAAACAATATTTGGGTTCCAATGTAGCGAATATTGATTTGGTTTGAAAGTAATACAAAATAATAACACTTCACTTGTCAATGGAATATTTAATGAAAGCATTCAACGTCGATGGTCCATTTCATTTCAGGTGAAGCATGTTGGTCAGGGGCCATGTGCAAGAGATCCTTATCAAGTGGGACAATGACCTGCTAAAACCGTATTCTCTCAAAGCTTCAATGAATGTCGAAAGGCTTGTCCATTCTTTCCTTAGTAAGGAATTGCGTCGCCGACGGAACGATGTGGCAATTTGTTACACACACATAACTCTGCAGAATCTGTTCGTTCAGATGACTGAACATTCTGTTGCAACAGTTTATAGTTTTGATTTTTTATAATTATATCGACAAAATGGATTCCATTCCGAACCCGCCAATAATTACAAAATGTCTACAATTATTTTTTCAAAAATAAAAAAAATGAACGAGGACGATTTGGCCTATGGCTCTGGTCAGGGAGATGAATCGAACATGAATAATATCAATGAGGAGATGGGGAATAATACCTCATCGGTTAGTGGAGGAGGCGCAAAAAAAGAAAGCGTGAGTCCCTATGTATATATGGAGAGAATTATTGACAAGTTGAAATTATTAAATTATGAGAGGAGGAAGGATTTGTTTCCGAATTTTTGTGTGGGAGGTTTGCCACGATTTTACTTTGCTCATCAGGATAAGGATCATCCTCATGAACAATTTTATACATTTATGGCCATCTCGTCGTGGCTCATTACCGATGTATTAAAACAAGACGACTATGAACGACCGGATTTTCAAGTCGATGATCCAAACACAACCACCCAAAATTTAGCATTCCAACTCAAGAAAATGGGCATTCCCCTCGATTTTCCTCCGACCAAACTAAGACAAGCTTTTGGAGAGCCTGCTTGTTATGTATTGGATCAATTATTAACAAAGGCTCTTAAGGATCTCAAGGCAAAGTTAAAAACTCCTGAAGTTCCCGAAGAAATTAAATTCCATGAAGACGAAGACATTCCTGAGGAAAATGATGACATTGAGGACAATGAAGAAATCCGTGAGCAGGAGAGTGAGAGTGAAGATGAAATGTACTATACCGTAGGAGGCACGAAAAAAGATTCAAAAGATACTGAAAAGCTTGAAATGATAGAAGGTTATCACAATGCACAAGAGTGGCGTCTTGAAACGGAGCGATTATCCTCTCAGCTCGTTGTGAGACTTAATGTGGATCACAAGGATTGGAGAACGCACGTCGAATCTATGCAAGAACAGAGCGAGTCCATCAAGGAGCTGACTCCCAATTCTACGGCTCAGCTCGAGAAAATTGCAGAGGAAATTGAAAAAATTAATTCCCGCATTCAAAAGAGAGAGAAAATGTTAAGTGACGACTCATCGATCGGCAATTTGCTTTCAAGTTACTCGAAAAATCAACAAGAACTCGACGAGGTTACCAAAAAATACAAGGAATTGGAAGAAACCATCTCGCAGTTGAGTGCCGATCTCGGAAAAATCAATCAAGAGTTCAATGATGTCAAGAACAATGCAGAAGAGCTCACAAAGAAAATGGCAGATACCACTCCACTGCGAGAGATTAAGGAAGCTCTTGTCAAGATTCGAAATGATATTAAACAGCTAGATATGAGAAACGGAGTGCTCCAGAATCAAGTGTTACAGGCAAAGATGAAGACCTCTCGAGTGTTGAGTGCTAAAGGAAAGAAAATATCTGGACTCTCCTCTCAGCAACTTTCCTCAGGTTTTGAATTTGATCCGTTCCATTATTAAATATTAGATTTGAAATAACAAGTAGCAAGAAATACACTCGTGCCTTACACTAATAAAATTACAATCTATTGAATTTCGTTTGTACAAACTGTAACAAATAAATTACAAATACTTATAATAAATAGCAATTGTGAATTTCAAATACAATTATTAATAAATAAGAGTAATAGAGATGTGAAAATTACAAGTCAAGATCTAGTTGGTGCTAAAGTAAGGATGTTTGAGACACTCTGTGGCAGATGGTCTCTTGTTTGGATCATATTCCAACATTCTGTACAGTAAATCAACTCCTGCAGGATCTAGCTTGTTGTGTAAAATATCTTTGCTAAATTGTTCTTTCGAAATCCGACCATGGCATGGAATTGAGGTTTTTCTGGCAATCTTGTTAATGAGAATGTCATAATTCGGTAATTGTTTCACATCTGGCCAATCAGTTGCAGACGGTAGACCCATCTTTGAAATGATATTCGCTAATTGTGACATTTCATCTTTACCTGTAAATAAAGGTTTACCAGTGACCATTTCTGCAAATATACAACCTAAACTCCAAATATCGACTCCGTAGCCGTACGACTGGCTTCCAAGTAAAATATCAATGGAGCGATACCACAATGTGACTACTTCGTGTGACAATTTCCTCACTGGAATTCCAAAGGATCGAGCCAATCCAAAGTCCCCAAGTTTGAGCTCAATTTTATCCGTAGATGGGACATTTTGAGGAGGATTATTCGTCATTCGGTGACCATTATGGCTACTGCTGCTGCCGCCTATAAACTGTTTTTGCTGCATGTGAGTTGCACTGCTGCCAGCGGGAGAAGACGACGTACCAGTCGCCGATGTGGACCCAGCATTGACCAGAATATTCTGTGGCTTTAAATCTCGATGAAGCACACTTTGCATGTGACAATATTCAATGCCCTTGAGCATTTGTCTCATAAAGTTTTTCACTTGTTTGGGAGGAAGGCCCTTTCCATCCCCAGCAACATTATTAATGTATGCCTTCAAATCTCCATAATTGCAATATTCAAATACAAGTGTCAATTGATCCATTGAGTGTACCAAATCGACCAATCTCACAACATTGGGATGTTTTAATTCCTTGAGGATGGCAATTTCTCGAATGGCCGTACAAGGAACACCTTCATTGAGTTGATCCAATTTGATGCATTTCAAGGCTACCAGTTGTTTGTTAGGTCCGATGGATTTATAAACCTCACCATAGGTACCTTCTCCGAGAGGTTCAATTTTTGGATAATTATATGTTTGATGGGATCCCGATGATGATGATGCAAGTAGCGAATTATCATCAAGAGGAGGAATATCCATTGTAGGGTCCATGTTTGATCGGTTTGATAATTGCAAAAGGTTTTTAATTGAACGGAGCGAAGATGAAGAGTGGTTGATAGACTTGTTGGATGTAATTGAGATGAGCAGCAGCCTGTTGGTGTCTGTGGTTTCTGAAGCACGTTCGTCCTTCTAATCATACAACAACAACAACTCTGAGAGCTTTTGAAACAAAACACTGAAGAATACTTCTTGAATCAATGGTTGGTCAATGAAAAAAAGAGAACTTCTAGTCGTTGTTGTTATTTGATGAATTTCTTCTTCTTGTTGTTGTGGATCCAATCCTCTTTTTCAATGTGGTTGTTCGGATATTATGGTGGTTGTTGTTGTTGTTCTTTCGGGTCCAACAAAAGCAGCCTTCTCGCGCAATTTTTTTTTCTTTCTTTCGAGACTGAAGAAACTTAATTTTCGATCATCTTCCTGAATTTGGACTATGGATGTTAGTTTGAAAGAGTCATAATGGCTCGTTTGGACAATGTGAAGAATTTGCGTGAGAGCTTGCTTCCATCAGATGCTTATTCACTCGGAAGAGACAATTGTCAGGATTGGGATTTAAAAATTTAAATGAAACACGAACAAATGTAATTTCTTGGCGTTTTTGACTTTATTAAGAAATATGGGTGATTGGTGTGATTCGTTTTGTGGGTTATTTACAGTTTTTGTGGATTTAAGAGTATTAATAAATGGGTGTTAGAGAATGATGCATCATCATGGGTAGTGGAGGTACGTAAAAGATCATTTCTCTTACTCGTTTCAATGTTTAGAAATTGGGTGTGACAAAATGTGAGAGTTTGAATTCTACACTCAGTGAGTGTGACACTGCCTATCAACAAGTTGAACCTATGTGAATTGAAACTATTTGAAAATTTGAATTCTATGATTAAGATAGTCTGCGACAAGCAATTCACCAGTTCTCTCATTGAGGCAAATTCCGTGAGGTTTGAAAAATTGGCCATTCATAGTTCCACGAGAGCCAAACACGCATTTCACTTGACCGGTTTTTTCATGCAAAACTACGATTCGATTGTTGTCTTGATCACACAACATGATATGCTCACGAGTCTTGTCAATCGCCACTCCACGTGGATGATTAAATGTCGAGGTATATCCTTTGGTTATTCCAAAAGATTTGGTTGAGATCCAAGTGTAATTTTCGTTTTGTTGTTGGGTGGTGCTTCTACTACCATTCTTGCCACTGCATGCATCTGATGATTCAACAATTTGTCTCAGTACTTGAATTCTATGAGTGTCGACTTCACACACAACCAATTCTGCGTGTTCATTTATCTGAATATCCCAAGGTCCTTTGAATTGGATGGGTGATCTCTGTTGCTTGTCAGTGGTAGTGTGAGTTTTGTTGGCACTGTTGAAGTCACCAATGCTGCTTATCACCTTTCCATCATGTGCTTGCAGCACTTGAATTCTATTGTTGTTACAATCGCAAACGTATATTAGATTTTGAGAGGATTGACTATTGGAAGATGATACCACTGGTTGACTCTTACCATACCAAACAGCCATTCCACTTGGTTGATTAAATTGATCACTTGCTTTTCCCTTAACATTGGGTGTTCCTGATCTCCAAATATACTTGTAAGGTTCGGCAATTGTTGCTGTGGTTGCCATCGAAGTGTTTGTCTTAACACTGGTGCTGTGTGTGGATGAACACAATTTTGAGTCTGCAATTAATTGTTGCAAGTCATACTTGTACACACAATGATCATTGCATGTCACTAGAAGAGCATCGTTCCGTCTGGAGTCATAATTGGCTTCAATACACAAGTGCTTGGCCGCAATGTTGATGCTTGCTCTTGGGCGCAGAGTTGCCAAGTCCAACACCTGAATTCTTCTATTACCCATATCAGACACAAGAATGACGTGACAATTATAGGAAATTTTAATGTCACAAGGACAGTAGAATTGGTAATCGAAATTTGTTGGGTGATTCACTCCATTCATTGACATGGTCGATGTTGACAACTTTCCAAGCGTTGCCACATGTTCAAAATTCATGGAGAATGTTCTACGAGTGGTGGATCTCATTTTCATTTTCAGCAAGTCAAATAGCTCTGTACATCCAGCATGAGCAGAGAATGTTGTAGTATCAAGTACCAAGACAACATTCAAGTTGTCATCATGATTGTCACAACTTTTCATCGTTTCATTGGCATAATTTGACAACGACGACAACAATTTTGGAGAGGAAGGACAAGTGTGGGCACTGTTGGTATCATTCAAAACGCTCTCATAATGATAAATAGTACTTGTGGTTTCCCATCGAGGATACTTGGCTAATTGTGTCACATAACTCGAAATGCTTGTTTTGTTTGTCAACACAGACAATTGCCCCTTCTCCGAGGATGTTGACGAGTCAACTCCATCATTGCTTGCGCTTCCGTTGCTACTCGTTCCGTTGGATGATCTTCTCTTTCTATGAATGCAACAACAAGAGCAGAAGCGAATGGGCGAAGCTATTTTTGGTGTTACTGAGGTGATAGGTGTTTGTTTGTTGATCGGTGCAAGTGCAGCAGTGCTTCGTGATGGATCAGGCTTGTCATGATGATCACGGTGATATCCTTGCTGTCCTCCAACATGCACTTCTTGTGGGGAGCGTCTTGTAAGATGAATGGATGAACAGAGGTCAGTGGAAGTTGTCGGGCCACTCTGATCACTCGAATCTTCTTCTACAACAGTCATATTCCAAAGCAGTAGTAGTGACTGTTGTACTTAAATACTTAACGTTTCTAATTCAATATACAAATTAATGAGAAAGGCCAACAAGAAAGCACCTGCACTGATCAAAAACAAGCTTTTAACACCCGAGGATGGAGAGGAATTATTATTATTCACTGTGATGATTGTTGCTGGTTGGCTATTATGACTACTCAATCTTGCTCCCTGCATGCAATAATGAGATTTACGGAAAGGTGTATGATTGTGGATGAGGATGATGATCTTTGGAATGATCAATGTCCGAGTGAGATGATAATTGGATCGGGAATGAAAAAAGAAAATCACGCGGCGTGAGAGTGATCAGAATCGTGTTGTTATTGTTCTTCTTCTTTATAATTATTATTGTATTGATTTCTTTTTTTCTTCTCTTATGAGTCTTTGATCAAATTCAGAGAAGAAAGATTTGATAGGCTTGTTGTTGTGGTTTGCTGTTGTTTTTCAAAAAGAGACTTTTTTGAGAAGGACAAGTCCGTTGAATCGTGAACTTGAGATATTTTTTTGTTCTTTGAAAAAGTTGTTAAGGCGTTCGTTTTTGGAAAAGACAGATCCGACAATGAAAAGTGAAAGGCCCACAAAAAGTTTCAAATACAAATGATAAATTGTAGTCACATCTTGTGGAAGGTTCATTGATTCGTTGTTTTAATGTCCACGACCCAAGACAAGGAAAAAAGTTGTCATCCTTTGTTCCAATTCTTCAATTCCATTCCCAATTTTCAAAACCTTTATTCCGTCGGAGTGGAACTGCTCTCAAAGCTTTTCTAAATGGCCGCTCAAATTGTTGTCCAAAACAACCCATACCCATGAATACCTCAATCTTGATCGAAATGAAAACCAGGGTTTAAGGTAAGCGTTTGTTTGAAATTTTTTGAATTCATGACAATTCGATATATGGCCCCAATATTGTAGAGTTTGGACATGAACTTTCTCCAAAAGAACTTCTCGGAAAACTATCCTAAAAATCCATCCTATTGTCCTCCCAACTCTGGTTTCCAATATTTAAATTCTGGCATGTCTGTTGGAAGAAAACGTGATGTGAAAAGGTATTTGCAAGCGGCCTTTGCAATGGTTGAAGATCCATAAATCATATTCACAACGACGATCAAGCAGCAGTTCAGATCATGTACATTTCGAAATCACATTATCCCGTTTTGGGAGATTGCAGAACAGCAATGGAACTTCCTACGTATTTAGCATGTGATCCTATTCAAGTGGTGAATGAGACGTATTGTCATGCCATTAATAAGGAAATTCCAGAGAGAATTCCAGTTGCCATGCATAGTAACGGACCAAAATGTGACAATTTTTGCCCATGCGTGAGATGGAAATCCAAAGCTTCAAAATTGAAGCAATTCGTTGATGCGGAAATTGAGAATCAAAAGGAATAGAATTTAAGGATTTGAAAACCAATTTGAAAGTGTTGTTTTATAACCCAAGTTTGAATAAGCTGACGGATATTGTTGTGAATGGATTTTGTAGTGCGAAACAATTGTTTGATGTTCCAAATGCGGGATGTATGGTCAAGTGAGAATATTCTAAAGATTGCAGTTTCATCAATGTTCCTTGTTCGAATTCCCAACGCTTGAATACGTTCAAGGATTATCCTCGCTGAGACCTCTTTTCAAAATATTTTTTTTCGGAATATAAATAGAAAAAATGTCATTCCACTGACAGCTCACACAGTTTCACAAATTTGAAAAAAAAAACCTTCTTTTTCCCTTCGAACAGCATCATGTACACTGGTCCAATCACCTCCTCCATCACCGTCACTACCACTAAACCAAAACTAAACCGTGCCAATCGTAACAATCCCAACAATCGTCACTATTACGACAATGACAGACAATATTATTCTCAAAAAGCAGATTTAAATGCCAATTCTCAAATAATGAATCCAAATCATCCGTTACATTATCGAGGACTCTCTCATGGTGAACAACTCTATCAAGATAAAAAACAAGAATTGAGAGAGCACGCGAATAGGAATAATCCGAATCATGCGAGTTATAATGAGGATAGAAAACCGGATGATAAGAGTATGAAGAAGAAGAAGAAAAGAGAGAAGAATGGTGGGGATGGTGGTGAGAGGAGTGATGGGTGTCAAAAGTCAACATGCTCAGAGATGTAATGAAAGGAATCCGAATAATATGGCTTTCAAAGGATATTCAGTCAGTTGCGCCGAGAAGAAGTTTTGATCAGAGTGATGGTATGATCCATTAAATTGTAAATAAAATCGAATTGTACATAAAATCATATTCATCACAAAAATGTTTCATCACAAAATAAATCGAATTGTACATTCAAGGTTTAATCTATTTTTGGATCATCTTTGAGAATTCCCAAACCGAATAAATCTCTCTCCGATCGATGAATGAGCATGATCACTTGCAAGAAACAATCAAAAAACAAACAACAACAACACAGCTTACATCACCATGACCAACATTGCTAATAAAAACAATCCCAATAATCGAGCGCATTACAACAACGATCAAGAATATCAAATGAAAAAGAAAGCCATCAAGAAGCGTACAAACTCAAAGAATCCCAATCATTCAAGTTCGATCGAACATTTGAAAAATTCATTTCTCGAAGGAAATTCTATAGAGTCCTTCCAACAGGTCATTGAACAAGCAATGACAATGAAAATGGCTCTCAATTATCATTCAAATCTTCATAACCCAACCAATGCTTTGTATTATTATTCTTCTGGAATGACCAATAAGGAAGGTTCCAATAACTCCTCCAATAATTTGTATTTGTTGAAAAAGGAAGAACGTCGAAGAAGATGTAATGAACGAAATCCCAATAATCAATCTTTCCAGAAACAAACGACGACAACAACAACAACTTCTATAAAAAGCAACCACTAAACCATCGAAAGAAAGACATTGAAAAATTCACACTTGTCGCCAGGAATCGATGTCAACAACCACAAGTGTTGCAAAGAACATAAAAGTCATGAGTTTATTCAAAGACAAACAATTTCTGAAAGGTGTCAAACAGGTCCTCTCCAGTCCATTCGATAACAAAAAACATTGATCATGACTGTCACAACAGAAGGTGTAGTCGAGCAAGACTCTCTTTCCCAAGCATTAGTCCATGTCACTCCTAATGACCACCACAGCAGCAACAACAACATCACCAAGCAATACCCAATGGTTCAACAAACCATGAAGAAGATTCCTGAACCTCTCACTAATCCCATTCCTCTCGTTCGCTTTCTTTTAAAAGACTTTTATATTTACCTTTTTCAAATGTTTTTGCCCTCTGATGATCCCTTTCTTTTCGACAACTACAACAATAACATTGAACAGAACGATCAAGCGAGCACAAACAAATCACAACATCGAGATCGAAAGAATCATCATGCTTTATCAGAAGATTGTAAGGCATTTTCACCGCTCCTTAAATGTGAAATTGTCCTTCAAAGAACACTCATGTTTGTTCATTACTTTCATTCATCGCATCTCAATCGTTGGCTTCACTTTTTGACCATTATTCCCTTTTTTAGTGGACTGTTTTTAGTGTTGGGTGTTGTGATGAATGGGTTGTTTTATGGATTCATGTGGTCATTAGGTTCTGCATGTTCATTCATACAACAGAAAGAATGGATTGAATGGATCGGAGAGACCAATGTTCAATTATTATCTGCTTCGAAATGGCCACAAATCGACTGGACACTCCCGTTGGTCATCTTATGGTCCCTATTATTTATTGTCTTTGCAATGGGCATTGATCGATATGCATGGATTGTTTTGGCAAGTTTTTGTATGGCCATTGTGACCATTTGTTCTTTCTTTCTTCTTCTCTCCTCAAATTCCATTATCTCCATTCCATCTTTTTCAGTTACAGACCTTTCTAAGATGTCTTTCATTTGGAATTCTTGGTCGTCCGTTTCGTGGACTCATTCATTAAGGTTTGGATTTTCTTTGTGGTTATTTGGATTTGTGAGTCAGGCCTTTGTGGCACATGTGGTGGTGGATGGACAACTTCCTGCCTTCTTGGTTCAGGAAGCATTGTTGGTTACTCCGATTTACATGATTATGACCTGTGCTTTGATGTATAATCCATGCGTGGAATATTTACCTAAATTAAGGAAAGAAATTGAGAAACATGCTACCAGGGAGAATTTTCAGAAATTTGGAAAAATACAAAAGTAAGAACATTTCAAGGATGACTAGGATGAGACTCGATAAAGCTGTATATTATTGTACATTCATATAATTATTAATTAAACAGAGAATTCAACTCCCGAGCGATTGATCAAAGATATCGAGATAAAGAATCTTCTTTTGGTCAAACTGATCGCCACAGCATGGATCATTACCTTCAAGAAGAATCTTGCTGGTGAGAATATTCTTTGTGATTCTCTTCATGACTTTTTTCTCAACACATCAATCCATGCATGCGATCCTAAAGCGTTCTATTTTTGTGACATTTCACATACTTCTTTCGAGTACATGTTCACACAAAATATGGCTTCTCCTTATTCGTCATTCGAGGTGGTCATGAACAATTGCTTGTTGTGAAAAAGACTCCCAAATCGGTGAAAATCATGGACAGCCCGACAGTTGTGTGTTGTCCATGAAAGTTGGAAAAAAAATGTTTGTGTGTGGCCGTTGACCTCAACAACAACAACAAGAGAAGTGGCCTTTTCGACGTGGATAAACACCAATCGAATCAGGAGAGTGCTATTAAGCACACACACACAAACTCACTCAGCAGCAACAGCAGTAGCAGAAGATAGAACCATTGTTTGGTTTAAAGTCCTTCGTTTTTCTTTAAACACTGTATAAAATACAACTTGTTCTTCTTGGAGAGCTGTAACCTCTTTCTTGCCTTTCGTTCTTGTTCAATCATTCTCGTTCGTGTGTGTGTGGGTGGTGCAGATGAATGATTCTCAAGAGGAGGAGGTGGTGGTGGTGTGATAATGATTTGATAATATTGAGAAGTATTGCCAAGACTTTCCTCAGAGGGCAACCACGAAAGACTTTTACTTTTGCAACAAGTTGTGGAGTCCATTTGCACAGAAGAAGGAAATAATACATTTCGACCAATAAAGGAGGCATTGCATGGAAGGGATGAGGATCTATGTGCACTCTTGTAAGAATGATCGATCGATGATTCCTTCGATAACATCTTTTTGAGAGAAGAGAAGGAATAATGATTGTTGAAAGTAAATCTTTCGTCCTCCTCATCTTCATAGATTGGATCATCATCATCTTGTGAGAGGAAATCATCATTATTCAACTCTTGGTTTCGAATGGAGAGGAGGAGAGAAGAGTTGGAGATGGGAACTGAGAGGAAGAAGGGTTTGCTGTTTCGATTGGGAATTTGAGTGGTGGATGAGGAAGATGAGGATTGAATTACATGTGAGTTGCTGCTGAGAGAATGAACACCACCACCAGCACCACCACCAACACTTCTCTTCTTCGTGATCATCAAAGAGTCGAAACAAGATGAGGTGCTGTTGTTTGGATCCTTCATGTTGGTGGCAAATGTTCTTGAAGGAGTGATATTTGCCAATAGATCGAGAAGATCTTTCTTGTGATAAGGTAAGGAATGATGTTTTCTTGCTAAAGGATTGAAATTCAATTCTTCCAATAGTGGTGGAAGAGAGTGTTGTTGAATGGCTCGAGGATGGAGCAAACTCGAACTTGGATCTTGTTTCTTCTTCTTCTTCTTGGATGAAAGAGTTGGTAGAGGATGATGAAGAGGCATTACCGATGATGTTGTTGTTGTTAATGTTTCAGATGGACTTAATGTGGTGGTGAGAGAGTGATGCCTTGTGGAAAGAGGATTCAATAAACAACGTTGTTGAGGTGAAGAAGAGGAGATAGAGAAGGAGGAGGATGATGAACTTGTTCCTTCGAAAGTGAGTGCATGAGAAAGAGGAGGAAGAGGAGTAGAACTTGATGGGAGATCTTTTCTTCGTTCGTCTTCATGAAGACTCGAGTGGTTGTCGTTTAAGGCTGCTATTCGAGAGTTGGACGACATGGAAAGACTGCAACCCATTTTCTTGTATAATGTGGTGTGTGGGTGTGTGGGCTGTAGTGGTAAAGAGTATTAGCGCATGGTACCATATACTTGATTAGGGGAGGAGAATCCACACTCTGTGTGATCTTTGATTTCTTATTTTGGGCAAAATGGAAAATACTCTTTGGTGGAGACATGTATCGTCTTTGAACAAGAGGTGAGACTTTTCCTTCATCCAAACACTATGGGTTGTGGTTCGATGGGTTTTAGCTAAAAATGGTAATGGTCGGCTTTATACATTTCTTGACAAGGTGTTGACTTGAGTTCTATATCGAATAATGATGAGAAATTTCTCATCATTCAGAACCTTGCATTTGTTTCGAAAATCTCTTTATTTGGAACAATCATTGATTCAAACGGTCTAACAAATCGATTTCTGATTCGCTTTCGACATGATTCCATCCATCACAGCCATCACTGCCACTCCACTCACCACAAGACTTGCCGCAAACAAAGTATCTACAATATGTGTATTATTTCCCGATCTCTGTCCTCGATACAACAATCCTGTCAATGTACTTTCAATGGTTCCACATCCCATGGTGAATCCAGCCATTGCCAAATATAGGCACCACATGACATGGTTAAATCTTGAATAATTCGACCTTAATGAGGAAATTAACATTCTCAAGACATGAATGAAGGAAAAGAAGGCCATCAAGACACAAGCTCCAGAAGTGAATCCCAGAGCGACGTAGGTCTCGGTGGGTGTAGAATCTTTGGTTCGATCGGCGTAGAGTCCCAATGCAATGAGATGGAAAACGGCAGCTCCAATGGAACAGATGAGAGTGAGGAGGGAATAGATTTTGAGAAGAATGGTCGCGTTGGAATCAAAGGACATGTTGTTGTTGTGGATTGGGTTTGTTGTGAAGAGGAAGTGTGAGAGATTTTTCTTTGTAAGTAAATAAAGAGAAAGCAAATAGTTTGACAAGTGGCAGCTCTTGACGACAGAACGAAATGTGAAAGACGATCCACATGAAAGGTTGCTGCGATGGTATTGATGTGAAAAGTTAAATTTCCGATATTGGTGTTTGAGGAGTCCGTGCAATATCTCAAAAAGTGTAATGAGATGGTTCGAACTCAAAGGATTTGTTGCTCGAATGGAATAACAAATCTTTAGACTAAAACGAATCAAAATTATTGTGAAACCTCCTAGGAGCAGAGAATCGCGTCTGTATTTTACATAGTTATCGTCGGTAGTAAATGAAGCTTATTGAATGCATATTGTGCATAAGTAGTGTCTCCTTACTGCGGTCTGTTATTTCGAAGGTGATTCAAGCTTGTTTCCGGTGGTACGGCCGACGGTAAAACTCGAGATAAAAAATACTGTCGGGAGTTACTGTTGAAAAGAATCCACCAAGACACAAAATACAGTCGGAAGAAGCATCATGTTAAATATTCTAATAATGGAGGTTTAATGAACGAAACAACGACGGAAATACTGTTGAAATAACCTACCACAACACCTGTGGCTGTTACTATCGATGATAATGATGGAAATATTCCTATTTTATTTTTAATTCAAATTGAAATTTTTTTGGTTCAATATTTGATTTAAAATTGTTATTGCAAATGCATTTTAAATTTTATTGGCATCATAATTTACAACTCAACAACGTTGGCAGGGTTGACAGGTCTTGAGCGTCTCATTTTCGCTGATGATGATTTACGTAAATGCTCTTGATACAATTTATATTCCTCAGAATTGATGTCATACACATCTTCGTCGTTTTCAAAGTCAAAAAGGTGTCTGAATTTTTGCTTTTTGAGACTCCAGATCTTCTACGAAGTTTCGCCTTCTTTTTTGCGTTCACAAATATTTGACTTATATGTTTCCTGCACATCTTTATCAACTAAAAACGATTGTTGTGAAATTTAGTCAAACAAATAACAAACACAACTTACTATTTCATCTACCTGGGATTTATCACAATCTGAAAGAATACTATAGTTTGGAAGACTTGAACAAAATGTTTTAACGTGAGTAACCACTGCGTCTGAAAGTTGAAGCAGCTTATTGGCCAAACTATCTGATGCACATATGCGGGATTAAATGTTGAATATGGGTTTGAGAGATATTAAAGAGAAAAGCTCTTGCTTATTATTTATTATTATTATAAATAACGAAATTTAAATATTTATTATTGAATCAATGAAATAATGGGTAAGTGTTGATATGTAATAATTGAATTCGATTCATTCACATTCTTCAGGTTCCTCTTTATGTAGCATGTAAAATTGGACATTTGGAAATTGTGAAATTGTTGTTGGAAATGGATGGAATTGATGTCAATAAGGGTGTAAGTATTGATTGTGGAATGAAATTCAAATATTTATTATTTTATACAATGAAATAGCATGTAAGTATTGATTGTGGAATGAAATTCAAATATTTAGTATTCTTTTAACAATGAAATAGAATGTAAGCATTGAAATTTAAATATTTATTATTATTATAACAATGAAATAGTTTGTGAATATTGAAATTCAAATATTTATAATTTTTTACAATGAAATAGTTCGTAAGTATTAATTGTTGAATGGAATATTTAAATATTTTTTAACAATGAAATAGCTTGTAAGTGTTGATGATATTTAATTATTGAATTCAATTCATTCACATTTTTCAGACTCCTCTTTATGTAGCATTTGCAAATGGACATTTGGAAGTTATGAAACTTCTTCTCATCCACAATGATATTCAAATTGATAGCAATACTCAACAACTTGCCTCACGAAAAACATAAATTTAGAACAACTCAAACAACAAGCTCTTGAAAGCATTGCCAATCAAAACCATGAATGCTCCACAAGCTCTAACAGCAATGAATGGAAGCAGTAGAAAAAGAATTGGAAGAACAAGTGAAAACTCTTGAAGTGAAACTATTAAATCAAGAACGTGAATACAAGCAACAATATGAAGCTTTGATCAATAATCTCTCTGAACACAAAATCACCATCAAGGACTTGTGAGAACAAAATGAAATATTACATAAGGAGCTCCTTCATAAGGAACAACAATTGCTTCAACAAAACTCCAATTTTGATTCATTCATTCTTCGTCTTAAAGATCAAATCGCGACAAGTCAGCAGCCAATCAATAATAGTAGTGATCTTCCTTTAGACATTGCTCTTAAAAGAAAAATTGACCTATTGGAAAAAGATTTGAAGGAATGTGAACAATTGTTGAGCAAATTGATTCTCAATGATCAATCTTTTGTTTCTCAACAACCACAAGACCAAGCGATAGACTTGAATTCTCGTGTGAATGAACTCACTTTGAAGAGAAATTCACTTAGAAATGAATTACTTAAAGAGTATCAAGAGTACAATAATGCTTTGAACCACATGTCTATTCTTTCAAAGAAAAAGAAACTTGTCAAGCTCTATGAACAATCTATGGATGAGTTGAGTGAAGAAGACAAGTTCATTACTCATTCATTGGAGCCTCTCGAGAACAAATCTCAGTTTATGCAAGTCATTATTAATCAAGAAAAAGAAATTGATGATAAATTGAAACAACTCAAAGAGGTAAAAGAAAAAATTGATCTTCATGAAGAAGAGTTTGAGGAAATTAACCCATAATTGAAGAAAAAGAGAAAACTTGTGTTGACTGAAACAGAAAAGAAGAATTTTATGAAGAAACAGGAAAAGTTGGAATTGGAGATTAGTAACCTTAAAGAACAGTCTGAAGCGCTCAAATCTCAAATAATGAATCATAGAGATCAGTATCCTGAAGTTGTTCTCAAACTTGAAAGAATATTCTTGACAGAGGATGATGAAATGGTGACACACATTTCACTCTTGAACACAAATTCCAAAAATGGGCATTTTCAATGAACTTGCTTCTCTCAGGTGTCGCTTTTTCGCATTACGAAAAGATCAAACTCTTGCACAAGGGTCTCTCCACTGTCTACTTGATGAAAAAAAAAACAATCAACAAGTGATTCTCAAAGAAATTGCGTTAGATGAAGACAGTTATTATTTAATCATTACTGAGATTACTAATATTCTCAGATTGCATCCACATGATCGAATTGTGAAGGTGAATGGAGTATTTATTGATTCAGAATATTCAAAAGTAAATATTGAAATGCCTTATTATTCGAATGGAAATGTGAGAGATTACATGACAAGTGAAAGAAAGAACCATATACATCGCAGAGAGAAGATGAGAAGATTCATGAGAGTAATTATCGAAACTCTTTATTACATCCATTCAAAAGACATTATTCACCGTGATTTGAAGAATGACAACATTCTCGTTGACAAAAATGGAAATTCTGTCATCGCTGATTTTGGAAGTAGCAAAAAACTTCATGCATTACTTACCAGCAGAAACACCAGAGGTGTCGGAACCTTTCAATACATGGCTCGTGAAGTTCTTAACATGTCACAAGCTCCCAATGAAAAATCTGATATTTGGTCTTTGGGTGTGACCATGTTGGAATGTTGGTATTTTTTGGAGAACAGAGAACGTGAGCTATCTCCTAACTCTATTATTCAATATTGTGGTGAAAATAAGGTCCAAATACCAAAACCTGATGAAGATGATCAACATGGAAATTTATTGATGGAAATGTTGGATCACATTTTCAACTGTGGAGAACCTCATCAAAGACCTTCTGCAAGAGAATTGTTAAACGAAAGATATTTCACAGAGTTATTGACTGACATGCTTGAACAACAAGGAATTCAATTCACCACTCCAGAATCGAGAATTCATCAATGGGAATTCAATCGTTAAATGATTTGAGAAGAGAAATGAAGAGTATGATTGGTAATTTCTCTTGTAAGAGTCACCATTGACAGAAGTCATTTGTTAGAACAAGTCTCTTCAAAACTCTTTGCAGAATTTTTCAATTCATAACAACAAGTTCAGCATTATGTGAAACTTTATACTCCATTTCGAGTCAAGAATGAAAATGAAACTGGAATTGATCAAGGCGCCTTAACCAATGAATTATTCACTCAATATTTCCATCAATGTTTGAAGAATACAAGATTATTTAAACGCTCAGAAACTCAAAGTGTTGAGAATTACATCTTGTCGGATGATGAGAATATTTCTGAAAAAGAGGAACAAATGTTGGTGATTTGGATTTTTATTGAAAAAGGTCTTGTTGGAATGTGACGAGAAATCTATTTATTTGCCACTCAATGATTTTATTCTCAAGTATCTTATTGAAAATTCAAAGCTTTCCAATGATTCATCTATGGAGGAAAATAAGAGAGAAAGAGAATTAATGATTGCCACCTGTCAACTCAAAAAACCTTTGAGAAATCAGATCTCCATGTGGAAACATTATGTGTCTCAATATGATTCTATGTATTGTGACAACATGTTGGACATGAAAAGATTGAACTCTACTGAGGAATTGCAATCCATCGAAATGGAACAAGTTTTTACCAATTACTCTCCAAATTCACAAATGGTTGAAGAACGAGAAATGGCCCTCACTTTGGAAAATGTTGATGAATATGTCATTCATTCATTGAGAAAGAGTCTCTTTTCTCCAATTCAAAGAAAAAAGTTGAAATGCATTTCAAAGGGATTTAAATGGTATTCCGTTCAACAATTTAGAAATTTGAATTCTTCCACACCATTTGAAAAGGTCAAAAATTTATTGACACAAAATAAGGAATGGTTCATGGAAAGCAAATTGACAGTGATGGAATTGAAACTGTTATTGAATGGTCAGTCTTACATGCATTCCACATTGTTATTGAACGAAATGGACATGTCACGCCTCTCTTCACAAATTAGAGAAAACCTTAAACGCGTGGTTTGCACTCTCAATGTCACTCAACTGAGACTATTATTGATTTGGATGGCCTCTCTTTCAAGTACTCCATTGTCTGGACTTCCAAAGAAGATCGTATTGAAAGAGTCCACCAAATTTGAAGCTCATGCTTGCATTACTGTCTTGCATTTTGAGGTGTTGAATGAGAGAAATTATGACAAATTCAGTCAACAATCCGTGAGAACGTTGAAATGGTCTGAAGATTCCCAAGAAGATCGTTAAGTTATGAAACATTTCACCAGCTCAAGATATCTTTCTCTTAATAAAATCAACAAATATTTTAAATAGTTTTAAATAATTGAATCTCACAAATGTTATTGCTGTTTCAAATCGACATGGAATGTGAAAAAGTAAAATCGAACAAAAATAGCCAAAATCAAGTGACACACAAATACATAAATGACAAATATGAGAAGGAAAATGTTATCCTGAGGACCAGTCACACCCTTCTTCCACTCCTTAAACAATCCATAAATAATAAAAGCAGCTGAATAGATAAATCCCAAAACAATCAAAATCCATCGCAACCATGAAATGTCAAAAATACACATCACCAGTGGAGGAATGACCACCACAAAGGAATAACCATAAATACAGAGAGTTTCAACCAAACTCACACCAATGGCCTTATATTTCATCATAATCCACAACAAGGTTGGCACCAATAGAGAAAATGCATAGAACACTGTAGCACCCACAGAGATCAATGAAAAATCGGTCGTCCACTCTAACAAATTTCCATTCAATTTACGAAATGGCTCCGAAGCATCAGGAGTGCTATTAGCACGAACTGGAGCATTGAAATCATTTTCTAAAGCTCCTCCGATGGCTCTCAAATTGATAAATTGTCCAATATTACTGGTCATGATGATAATTACAATGAGTGTGGTCACAATCCAGAAAGGTCCCCATAAATCTGCTTGTTTCTTTCCTCGTTTAATGAAAGCCACAAACGATTCACCTCCACTCGCAAAGAATAAGAATGGTTTACTCATTCTCAAGAATACCTCCGTCGTATTGACATTAAAGAAGGGAATGTAATATTCAATATTCCAGAAACTATATTGTGAAAAATCCATCTGTTCCAAATCATCGTCTTCATCATCGTCTCCCGATAGAAGGAGGTTGTTGTTGGTGTTGGTCAACGTTGTTGATGGTGGTTGTGAATGAGTGGTGGTTGTGGTGGTTGGTGGAGGAAGTTGAACATCAAACAACTGATTGTGTTCATCGAGATTCATTCTTCCGATGGGTTCTGTGGAGAAGTGTTGTTGTTGTGAGGAGAGGTTGTTTTGTGTTCCAAAATCTGAGATTCCGTATGTTAGTAATGTTGGTATTCAAAATCATAAAGATCGTTAGGATAGTATCCATGATGGATTGAATTGGAATGAATTTATGAAGAAATATTTCATCATCGTGATGAGAAAGAAGGAAATGAATTTATGAATAAATATTTCATCATCATGATGGTTTTTAAAAAGAAACATTTTGAAATACAACACGGTTGATGATGATCATCAATTTGATAACGTTTTAAAACAAGGTCAGAGATCGTGGAAAACAGTGGTTTTTAGCACCCGTTGTTGTTATTATGATGATGATTATCATGTTGTATAAATAATTATTATTATTACTTAGTGGTTCACCTCATACAAACCTTGAAAATCTAAACTAGTAATGTTGGTTCCAGTGTTTCCCTCATAGGGCAAGAGTGGTCCTTGTGGATTATTCATGATGATGATGCTGATGTGTTGACGTTAATTTTTTTCTATTTTCGATCTTTTTTAGAATCCAAATTTCAATGTGCTGACGAAATTCCAAGATCTTGGCGCAACACAACAAAAGTCAATAAAACCATTTGATTTCAGTTCTTGAATTGAATATTCAGTGTGGAAAATGGAGTGATATTGATTTCATTGGGTGGTTGTTCATTGGAATCTTGTTCTCTCTGGATGGAAGCAAATTTCGAAAAAAGATTCACAGTAGGCGCGAATGAAAAAGCTCCTGAACTGAAGGAAAAGTTGAATTTGCTCAAGTCACATTGCGACAAGGCCTTTTCTTTCTTATCTCGTTCTTCTGCCAAAACTGTTTCAGAATCTTGGATTGGAAAGTCAAGTTGTTGTTGTTTCAATTCTTTTTTCTGTTTCAGAACAGGATCGATTTCATCCAACAATTTTGAAACATGATCTGCTTCTTCGACCTTGGTGAAGGAGAGTATGATCTTTTTCCATGATTTAAAATGGTGTTTGGAAAGATTTGATTTTTCTTGAAATACACGCTTCAGCCTGTCAAAATCATGCAGCTCAAAATTTGGCTCCTCAAATTCCTTTCCTTCACAAACTTTTTTGAGGAATTCCAATTTCAATTCATCAGTAAGGCCAGAGACAGAGGTACTAGATAAATTAGATTTAAAGCAAGAAATGATTTCAAAATACTTGTCGTCTAACAACATGTCATAAATGATCTCTTCAACCATTTCTAAATATTTGCCCTTGTAATATTTCATAATGTGTGTGAGATGTTTGTTTTCATATAGTTCTCCATGAATGAAACAAAAGAATTCTCTGAACTTGAGTTTTGCTTGATCGCTCTCAAAATTATTCCACAAGAAATCTACAAATGCTCGTAAATTGGAGATTGTGTCAAGTGAATTGGAGTGGAATAAATATGAATTTGGAATTTGCGTTAAATGATTCATCGTGAAGGTTGGAAGATGAATTAAATTAATAAATTTTCCCATTGCATTCTTTGAGAGGTAAAGTGAAATCATTTCAGTAATGTCATTTTCGCTCAAAGAATATTCTTTCAATACAGAGATTCTGTCAAGAGGATGATGAATACTTGTTATGGATTTAAAAAAGCTTGGAACGTTTTGTTGCATACTGGAGGAAGGTAAAGACCATACAGAGGCCAATAAATTCAAATATTTTCTCAAAATTGAATGTCGAGAAATGAATATTAAAATTTCTGTTGAGTGGGACACTAAATGAAACTCTCTTCTCAAATTTACATGCTCAATATTTCCCATGTCAGTGATCGAGTGATATATTGATGGAAATACTTGTGGAAAATTGCAAATTGCACCTTTTCGTTGCTCTGTAATGAATTGAAATAAATGATTGACTCCCATTTTTGCGCAATACATGAGAACTGCCGCAGTTTCGAATATGATGATCCTATCAGAGTTGTCACAACTTTCCTCTGTTATTGAAAATTCTTGGCCATGAGCCGAATGTACTATATCATTGCATCTTCCGAGATGGTCATTCAACATTTCAACATTTTGATCAGTTGTTATTATCATGGCTGTGATGTGATCACAGAACTGTTGCAACACATTTCCTTTTGCATTTTCTAAAATAGTTTTGATAAACTCCGAAAAGAGAGCACTATCACGTTGTATCAGAACCATGATTCCTGCCCAGTCTAATTGATCCTGTGAAAGAAACAAAAATGCAAGGCGTTGCTGAACTTGGTTGGTTAATAAATATGGAACGTGTTCCACAAAGTGTCTCATCATGATCAAATTTTCAAAAAAATACTGAGCTAACTCATCGGAATAATACTCGTTCAAACATGGGCCAAATTGTTTTAGAAAAAGTGCAGAGATGGCGCCATCATTTCGTTCGGTCAATACCTTACATAATGCAGTAAATGGTGGAGGAGCAAGACGAAAAACTCTGTTCCATGGTACTAAAATACCATCATTAATAGACAATTCAATTAATTCAGCGTCCTTTGTCTCATCTCTTGAACTATACTGACTCAAGTAGTCACAATAATGATCAATATCATCACCATGAAGCAACATGTATGAGTGAGCAATTACTGAAATAATAGTATTAGGTTTGTCCGTATAATTGCCAAGCTCTTTTGATAAGTGATTTAAAAACCACAACATATTGTCCGTACTAAGAACATGGTGCTGTGAAAAAGCTTTAAGAAATGTAACATTGAACATGGAAATGACAGCCTCTTGTGCACGGTTGGCCAAGTTGTTACGATTGTTGCTTATGTATTTTCTTAATACAAACAAAGCACTGTCCCAATAGTTCTTTTTGAGAAGAGTGATAAAACAAGCCCTCGTAAAGAATTCTTCGATCGATCCAGTTAAAATTATGTCCGCCAATTCAGAAGGGAGAGCTTTGTCCAGTTCTTCCTCTAGATATGCATATATCTCAATGACCATTCCTGCTTTTGGAGAGTGACGTGAGCGAGTCAGCATGGTTGTGTAAGCTTCAAGGTTGATACCCTGTTTTTGCTCTGAAATTGTTTCCAATGCTTGGGCTAATCTGTGAATGGACAGCGAGATGAGTCTCTTTGCGGCATCATCATTGCCATGTTCGAAAGCAATGGTCAAGCAGTGATCTCGATGTGCAGCATCCAATGTCAAGAGAAATGGCTTTTCAAAGAGTTGATCAATCAATGAAGTGAATCCATATTGGCAGGCATATTCCATACATGTCTTTGAGTAATAATTTGGAATTGGAAGAAGCGAATAGCTGTCATGTTGAAAATTCTTTTTTTCTTCTGGATGAACAAAACAATTCAAATCGTACAAATTACAATCATGCAAAGGTTGTAACATGCTTTGTAATCGATCATTGGGAAGCAGTAGTGCAGTATTTGTCGTACAAGTACTGCTTGCCTTTACATCGACCATCCATCGCACAACAAATGATTCAGCACACATTCTGTCTTGAACGAAATGACAAGACAATACAGCAAATCTGCATATCATGTTTACACTTGCAAGAGAATGAAAAGCAACAGTTCTTGAAAGAAAACTTGCTATGAGACGCCACTCTTCAAAGGATAATTCTCTTTTTGAAGTGAGATCATTATTTTGATGATGAAAATGGGAAGTGGCAATATCATCATCATGATGAACATGGTCAGTTGTCTCGTCCTCCTCATTATTTTTAATAATCACTCCGACACTATCAGCAACAACTTTTTCTTCATTGAATTCCGTATTTTGAAAGAATTGTTTGGAATCATGAATAATCTTTTGTTCCGATCCATCCTCCGAATGTGGTTTTGGCAGAATCATCATGGTCCAACAACCATTAAAAGTGGGATAAAAGTAATAGAGAGGGCTTGTTGTTGAATGATTGTTGGCTTTGAAAGACGTAAATCGATTGGTTGGACGCACACGGGTTTTTCTTCTCATTTTTTTTCTTTTCGATTTTGGAATTTGTAAATTGATTTTCGTTTTGACAGTTGAACGCATGAAATTCATCTTTGAACAAAATTTATTATGGTTCCATTCATGAAATTGTGACAAACCCTACCCTTTTATTAATATCAAACTATAATAATTTTTCGAAACATTATTGTTTCTCAATGGAAAGTTGATCCATCAACTCCTTAATGGTGAGCTCTTTTTCAGAGAGAGTTTTCATCAAAGCTTCACATTGTTGCTTGAACTTCATTTCTTTCTTCTTGTATTATTGTTCTTGATTTGCAAGTTTCATTTCGAGAGTTTTCACTTGTTCTTCCAATTCTTTTTTCTGTTGCTTCCATTCAGTTTCTGTCAAAGTGATCGATGACAATGGTGTTGATTGTGTTGATTGCAACTCTCCGCTAGTGTTGTTCGAGTTTAAGGAGGAAGTTTGTTTTTGATTGGCAATGCTTTCAAGAGCTTGTTGTTTGAGTTGATTCAAATTAATTCTTTTTTGTGATGCAAGTTGACAAGTGTCGAAATCAATTTCAACATTGTGAACAAGAAGAACTTTCAAAACTTCCATTTGTCTATTTTCTAATGCTATTTGGAGAGGATACTGAAGAAGAATGTGAATAAATTGAATCCTTGTTTCAATAATGATCAATGAATGCATACTTACACATTTATATACATTAATGCCCTCCACATTCAATAATAATTTCACAATTTCAACATGTCCGTTTTTACATGCTGCATATAGAGGGGTCTGAACAACGTGAATATATTCTGTCGGCATCATCATTGTATATCATCAATATATGTACTTACAAACTGTTTTATTGTTGCAATAGTTGGGATTCATTCAATCGTTCACACTCAATACTTACTCTCTTTTTCATGATTGAAATTATAATATAAAAATTTGAATTGAAGATATTCAACAATTAACACATACACCCTTATTGACATCAACATCCTTGGCTTGTAACAACAATTTCACAATTTCCAAGTGACCTTGTTCACATGCATAATATAAAGGACACTAATAATAAATGTGAATTGTTGATTCAACCAATAAATGTCGTCATTAATACTTACATACTATTTTATTGTTGCAATGTTGGAATAACATTCAATTATCAACACTTACATCAACCTGTTTCGTTATTATGACAATCAAAAATATTTGAATTTTCATTAACATTTAATACTTACAAACTATAGTTTCATTATTACAACATTAATTTCAAATAATATTTAATACTTACGCTTCTATTGACATCAATACGAGGAAACTCCAACAACACTTTCACAATTTCTAAATGTCCATTATAACATGCTGTTTCTAAAGGAGTCTGAAGCATGTGAATGAATAGTTATTAAATATTTTCAATACTTACCAACTGTTTCAAAATAATTATAAACATTTAATAATAATCAATTTCAACAATCCATACATACACCCTATTTCATTATGATAAATATTTGAAATTTTCATTCATTCAACGATCAAACTTACATCACCCTTATCGTAATCAATATTCTTGACATTCAACAAAAATTTCACAATTTCCAAATGTCCTCTTTGACATGCCTCACCTAGGAATGTGTTCACTGATCTAATGTTAATAAATGGACTCAAGTCGATTTGACTTAATGTGTTAGAATCATCCTCTTGAACTGCTTTATAAGCACGATCGTAGTCTCTACTAGACATGATGATATAGTAGTTGTTGTGGTTGTGAAGGATGTTTTTTTTCTTTACTGGCATGAGGCGTTTGGAAGTGATTGTTTCGATTAAAGGTTCGTTTTGGTCATAACTTGAGGAATTTGGTTTCATTTCAACCTCAGTTCGTCAAAAGTTCAAAGAATGTTTCAACCTTCGCTAATGATATTAGTAGCCATGACTAAACTTGTCTGTTTCTAATTTTTCAGGGAAATCAAGTAGTAATTGGAATTTTCTTCCTTCGGCACTGTTGTCTATTTTTTAATTTGTGCTCATTACAACCTTTCCCTCGTTTGCATTTACCCTTCTTTACGGATGTCACAAATGCCTCACAATACAATTTCAACCTGCATGGAATTAATCAAGTTGGTCATCCATCCGTGTAATTAGCAAACGCTTTAATAACATGATGAAAACACTTCTTACGAACCCTCATTGAATGGATTTCCCCTTAAAAGCAAAATATTATTAAATTAAACTTTTAAAGATTTAACTTTTGCTCATCCCTCTGTTTTCTCAGTGATCAAAAACATTTGAGAAGTTCATTTCTTTATGCAATCCTAACAACTGGCTCATGCTACATATGCATCCAAGTTGTCCCGAGGGAGAGGAGGAACACCCTTGAATTAGGGATTGTTCGATACATGTTTCTTATTTAATTTCTAGAAACATCCTGTTCTTCACGATTGCAATTATGGAAAGTTCATTTCCTAAAAAATGTCTCAACAACAATGCTGCAACAACATTCACTCTCCTGAACCCATTCTAATACAACAACAGATCATGACCGGATTGAGCATTGATCCACAAACTGGAGAACCCATCTATACCTATTCTCAACCCAATATCGGAGGAGGAAAGTTTTCGGGAGAGAACATTGAAATTTCGGTTGAGCCTTGTGGTGGCACTTCCAAACAACAACAACAAACAAAGAATTCCTATCGAGTGGTGGTTCATCCACATTCGAGTAAGAAGGTCTTGAGTGGAATTTCTGCTGTTAAGGTTTTGGATTCGAAGAGTCAGAAAGTTCTTGCGTCGTTGGAGGATTATAATTCAAAGGAACATTCTAATAAGGATTGTATTGAAGTGGATTTTGTTTCTTCATGTGGACATGATGATCTTCATCACACAGATATTGAAGTTCATGTCGAATGGAAGTGTAATACGATGGATCGATGGCCTCCAACTTTGAAAACCACACTAAAGGTCGATCAGAAAAAGAAAGTGAGCTCTCTTGTCAAAGTCAAGTAATGGATCATGATGAAAAATTCATGTCCATTAATACAAACTCAGTATAAATAATAATAATAATACACACTGTACATTACTAAGATTCAACTTGTTGTTGTGACTGTCCTACTCGAGTGCAGACAAGAACTTGACCTTATTTCAAGTTCATTCCACTAGAACATTATCATCAATCACTAACAAGTATCATTGAAATCAAATTGAATACATTGCCTTAATGATTAAAAGTGAATGGAACATTCTCACGAATATGCATGGAAAAACTCAACCTTATGAATTGTTTCATCAAACGTATGAATTTATAAAACTCGAGACCAGTCGATTTCCCTCCACACTTGCATTTCTATTGTGTGGATGTTTTTCCGTCGGTACCTTTGACACCTCTCATTTCATATTAATATAATGATGTTTTGCAGTCACATGCAATGCCGTAATCTTATTTCGAACTTTCTCTAACAAGTGATCCACATCTTTTTCCAGTGTCATTCCTTTCACACTGATGGGATCTCCTATCACAATAGAAGCTCGTCCTGGTTTTGGCATTTTGTGACGTGTTTCCCACATGGTGTGAGTTCCATGAACAGCGAGAGGAATAATATCAGCTCCACATTCCAAACTCATGATAAATGCTCCCTTTCGATATTCTAAAAAAGTATTTGGATCGTCGGAACGTCTTCCTTCTGGGAAAAAGAAAACAGCAGTATCGTTATTGAGGTAATTTTTGAGACGACTTAAGGCCTGTGCGACACTGTCCTTATCAGTGACAGTATTGTGAGCAAGTTTTGACTTGAAGACAATTGGAACGTCACCTGCCATTCTCATCAACCAACCACCAAATGGAACGTTAAATAACACGTGCTTGGCGACCCATTTAGCCTCAATAGGTAAAGCTGACAATAACACAAAAGGATCCATATTACTCTGATGATTACACACAAAAATTACCTTCTTTTGCTGTTTGGGAAGCTTATCGAGAGTCGATCGATTCTCATAAAATGTTCGAACTTTCCAAAATGGATTCGATTCGACTACCCACTGATTCGATTTACGAAATAATTTTCCAATCAATGTTCGATTTTTATCAAATCCAAACATGACATGCAACAGATAGAGAGGCAATGCAATCACACAACAACACACCCATGAAAGAAAGAGTCCACTGATAAAGTACAAACGACAGAGCCAAGCACTCAGTGAATGATCTTCTTTTCCTGCATGATATTTGGTGATGGAAGTTGTTGTTTTCGTTGCAGTGGTGGTTGTTGTTGTTGTTGTTGTTGAAGTGGTGGTTGTTGTTGTGGTCGGAGAGGAAGTAGTGCTTGCCAGTTCGGAGGATGAAGTGGTAGTCGAAGAAGACAAATCCGAATCGAAAGAAATGCTACTCGAAACAACGGCTTCCTTTTCGAGTCTTACCAGAGAAGATGATGATGATTCGTTGGTTGTTGTTGGTGTTGTTGTTGTTTTTCGCTCCGAAGAAGAGGATGGTTGACCTTCGTCGTCGTGACGGCTGAGCGAGGAGTTGTCTCCTTTTTGTTCCTTTCTTTTCCGAACCATTTCGAATGATGATGATGCTGACCACTCGTCGACGAGTAATATCCAATGGTTATTGTTGTACTCTTGTTACTGTTTGTAGGATGTATTCTCTCTTCTCGGAAAAAGAAGAATCGGAAAAGGCCGAACACTACGAGAGGAGAAAAATTCTTTTTTTCGTTTGTTTTGTTGAAGGAAGAATCTTCTCGACGAAAACGACATCTAATTGTTGAAACTTCACCACACAAAGCTCCAGGAGTAAAATTACCCTAAAAAGTCGTCCTTTCCACTCCTTGAATGTCCTTTTTTCCTAAGATTAAGATTTTCCTTGCTGATCATCAACATGTTGACGCAACGTTGAGTTGTTGAAGAATTGAAATTATAATTTTCTCCTAGGGTAAGAGAGGAGATGCCATACGGTTTTGAATGAGGTACACAAGAGATGTTGAAAATGAAGTGAACTAGTGGCGGGTGAATCCTAATGAATGAATTTCGAATCTGACGACTTGACAACTGAAAGGACTTGCAGATTCTGCATCCTCCCAAGCCTTTGAATGAATCCCAAAGTCAATGACTTTCCTCATGTCGAAAGCATCATCCGTACTCTCTTCAAGTCATTTCTATTTATTTCAGGAAGTTGTCATTCAAGAATTTAGTTTTTTCAAAATTTCTCTTTTCTCGTGTTGTTCGAGATTTATTGTTGGCAAATCCTTTCAAGAAGTTCCTTTAAAAAAATATTTCATTACCGTCTTTCTGAGGCATCATCATCCAATCTCTCTCGAGTTGTTGTGTGCTTCAATACATTTATATTTATTGGAAAAGTAGAAAGCCTTTTCAATTATTGGCAACCCGACCATTGATCGGATTGAGTGGAATTCAATTTGAAGAAGAATACGCTCGCTCGAGTTTATTAATAGATCTTCCTTCTCGAAGCAACTGCTTGTTGTTGTTCTTCTTTTAGTTGAAGGAAATAATTGGCAAAAGAAAGAATATATTGCTTGAAGAAACAACAAGTATTGTTATACTGGTAACCCGCAGCTGGATGATCCATTGTGATTTGATGACTATTATTCATTGAAAAGATCTTCAGATCGACTGCGACTACTACTACTGCTGCTACTTGTTCGGATACTCAATCATCAGTTTCAACTTTGTTTGTTATAATAACAACAACAACTAGATCAATCACAACAACTTGTTGTATTTGAATATTACAAAGAACCACCCACTCACGCGTGAATCACCTTCCTCTGGCTTTTTGAATGATCTCTTCTCACCATCATCATCACCATCATCATCAACAACAACAACAACCATACACCGAAGAGCAAAATCATTCCAACAACAACTATAACAACAACAGTCCAAGAAAACTCTCCCACTTTGCTTCCTCTCCCAATCCGTCGACATCGTCTTCAAACGCTTCCTCCCTCTCCTCTCCATCTCCCTTGTCGTCAACTGTAATGATGAATCCTCACTCTCATCACTCTCTTCCTTCAACTCAATATATTATGAGTTCACCCCGACAACAACCACAGTATCCTGTAATGACCACCTCCTCTTCGTACGTGAATTCTTCGTCGGGTAACACTGCTCCTTCCACTCTCAACACAACTGCTCATATGGGAAGAACATTGAGTAGCACAAGCATTGCAAGTGATGATTTGAATGAAATCACATACGGACAACGTCAAAAAGCAGGCAAACAGGTCAAACAATATATTTTGGGAGAAGTTCTCGGTGAAGGTACGTTTCATGATTATTAACATTGTTAATTTAATGAAATTCTCATTGATTCTTTCAAATCATTTATTCACTCGACGAAAATTTATATATATATATATACCAACAAATCATTCTATGGAAATATATATTCCAACAAACCACAAATACACGAAATAATAATCGAATTCATTATCCTCCCTATTAATTGTGGGTTTTGTTTGAACAATATATATGGCACATACACGGCAATTATAATATCTCATGAAATTATCATGTATGATCATACACACACCCTTTCCACCTTGATCACCTTATTCGCACATCAACAACAGGTGCCTTTGGTAAAGTCCGAGAGGCAATCGATTCAAATACCCTCAAAAGAGTGGCCATTAAAATCATCAAGAGAGACAAACTCAGGCGTATCAAGAATGGTGAAACTCTCCTGAAGAATGAAATCAACATTATGAGGAAACTCAAATCACACAAGAATATTGTCAAATTAATCGAAGTCATTCATGTGGATGGAGGAGCAGCCATGGGACACATGTCCACCTCAATTTCCTCATCAACAGCAAGTAGAATGAGTATTTCAAACATTTTCGGGAATCAAACCGCCGTTCCTCCAGCCACTTCATCTGTAGAGAACAAATCAAATAGCACACCATGTCAACAACCTCCAACTCCTTCCATTGGATCTTCTGCCCATAGTTCTAAAAAAGCCAGAACATACATGGTCCTCGAGTTTGCTGGTGCAGGAAGCTTGCAACAGCTCATGAACTCTCAACCAAATAATCGTTTACCAGTCAATGAAGTTTGGCATTATTTTAGACAATTAATTGAAGGATTAGAATATATGCACAGTTTGGGAATAATACATAGAGACATCAAACCAGCAAATTTAATGATCACTCCTGATCGAGTTTTGAAAATAAGTGATTTTGGAACAGCCATAGAATTGGATCATTTTTCTCCGAGCGATGAATGTACACAGAGTTTTGGTACGCCACATTTTCAATCTCCACAAATTGCAAACGGTCTCAAACAATTTTCAGGAAAAAAGCTCGATATTTGGGCTTGTGGTGTCACATTGTACGTTCTCGTTGTTGGAAAACAGCCCTTCCACGACGACGGAAATATTATGAATCTGTATGAACAAATTGCAGTTGGAAAGTATGAAATTCCTGATTGGGTTGAACCCGATTTAAAGGCACTCATCAAGGGAATGATGACTGTCGATGAAGATGAAAGGTGGTCTATCGAGCAAATCAAGAGCTGTGAATGGTTCAACACAACACGGTATTTGGACAGCTTTTCAGATAGAAATTCGATTGATTCACACCACTCGATTGGCCGTGACTCTTCCGCTTCGTCGAAACGAGACTCCTCCGGCAGTGTCAAGATGGGTACAAGTGCTGGCTCTTCGAGAAAGAGTCTCGTCGATCGGTGGAAAAGTTTTACCTTGTTACCGTATTTGGCTAAGGCGGTAGATACAGAAGCCAATGCATCACCACCCTCTGCCAGAAAGCCATCGACGACTGACTCGTCGGTTGTTGAAAGAACCTCCTCGAATGTGAGTTCTCACAGTGCTGCTGCTGGAGCTGCTTCTTCCAATGTTGGAAGCGTTCCCCACAAGAGTATGAATTTGAGTGATTATGCGACATTGCAGCAGGGTGGCTCCAATATTGATTCAATGAGTATTGATGACACTAATGACAGTTTTGATCACAATAATACGAAAGAACAAATGTCAGATGATGATGCATCCAATGTTCATGGTGATGGCGACATTTTAAGCTTGAAACTCACCTCTCCCAATTCGAAAGATAAGACGAGTACAAAGAACAAACGAACGAGTACAAAACCGTCGTTGGCAGTCAAATCGTCGAACACACCAAATGAAGGTGGTGCCAATACTACTGCTTCTGAAGAGGAAAAGAAAAAGTGTATCATTATGTAAAGTAAAGTGCGCTTATTTTTGCTCACACAAAGTCAGGGTTATGCAGAGACTGTGAGTGGGTCAACAATAATGCAACAGAAACAAATAAAAGATAATGTATGACACAATTCTGAATATTAATACTTGAATTTCAGTGTCACGATTATTGAGGGTATTCTTAAGGGCACCTTTACGGAAGGAGAATGTGTCCAACCAATTTATTTGAAAACATGAATGCAACCATGATCAGTGTCACACACATATAACTCTCCTGTATGCTCATTCAAACACATTCCTTCTGGAAAGCTAAATTGGTCACTAGATCCATACGATCTTATTTTCTGTCCGTTGGAATTAAAAATCCGAAGTTGATGACTATAGCACGAGCTCACAATAATATTCTTGTTTGCTTTGTCTATCACAAGTTGATAGGGATAAGCCAAATCATTGTCCTCTCTTGGTCCTTCATGTTCATCGACTAACATTTTGATAAACCTCCATTGGGCCTCATGACCTTCGTTTGGTTCTTTTCTGCAAAGAATGAGTCGATCAAAGGGATGGCCTTCTCCCATCACCACTTCATTCCGTGGAAGAAAATCAATTCCTGTCACTCGTGAAATTGTATCTGGTAGGGAAATGGTTTGCAATAACTGGCCATTCGTCAAGCTCAATACATAAACTTTTGCTCTGTCGCCTGTCACTAAAACCTCTCTTCCAACGATTGCCATCGATGCTGAAGATGAACATTTCTCAGAAATCCACAATGGTTTTATCTTTTTAAATCGTTCTGTCAAGAGTTGATGCATGTCAAATTTCGTGACACATCCCCTCCTAAAACACAACAAGGCATCTTGGTTAAGGCCATTATAATTCATCTCCAATTCGATCGCATTGGTCTGAATGGGAAGAATTTTTTTCACTTTTCGACACGAATTTTCCAAATCCACCAAAATTGTATTCTGATTATTGTATACACTCACAATCAAACATTGATGATGATAGGAAATTTTAATGCTCACTGGAGCAAGCAGTTCATATTCTTGTGAATTTTCATCATCAACAGAATCGGTCATAATTTCAGAATGAATTTTCAAAGTGTCTTTGGCATTGGTCGTGATCGAGATGGGAAATTTCTTCCAAGTCTCAACAAGTTGAAAATTCATGACGGAGAAGGGAACTATCGGTGTTTTGACACCTCTCATCTTGTTTCGGAATTTTGAAAATAATTCTTCCATTGTCTTTTTCGAACAAGGAATTTCCAATGATGACAGAGAGGAATGTGAGAAAAAATCAACGAGATATAATCGTGTGAGAGAGGCAGCATCATTTCCGTCATTATGATCATCATTGTGATGATGAGAGGGACGCATGATCAATCGCTGATGGTTTGGTTGCATTTTTTTTGTAAAATGGAAATTATAAATGGAATTCTGAACTGTCAATAATTTCCCGATCATTCATGAATGATGAAATTACTATTCAATGGTCGTAATGTTCTCTTTCTCTGTCAGGAAAAATTCATGATTAATCTTTTGATCATTTTACAATTACTACTTAAAGATCTGAATTCTGTTATTGTAACTATCTGCAACATATAATAAACCTGCTCTCTCATCAAGTGTTAATCCTATAGGTGTAGCAAACTCGTTGAGATCCTTTCCAGAAGCACTAAAATATTTCACAAATTCACCATTTTGTGTGAACACAACAATTCTATCTGAAAAAGTGTCACATCAAATAATATGACGTGAAGTATTATCAAAAGCCAAGCCATCTACTTTTTCCAGATCATTTCTTTGAAAGGAAAATTGAGAGGTCCATTGGTGACTCTCTTGTGAATGACGTTTCATTTTGATCACACATTTTTCTTGAAGAGCAATCACGAGTTCAGTATTTGTATCATTGACAGCAACTCCACTCAATTGATTAGCAACTGAAATGAGAGGATCTTCTATTTTGTACATTAATTCTCCAGTCGATGCTTTTAATACATCAATATGAGGTTCAGGCTTTGCACTTGCTAAATAAATGACATTTTGTGAAAAGTCATCAAAATTGGTCGAACATGCCATGCAATACGATTGTGTCAATTCTTGTCGCCACCAAATCTTTTCATTTGAATTTTGATTTTTCATAATTTTCGCTAAATCATGTTTAAACAATCCAAGTTTACAGATATACACCAATGCATCATGATATTTTCCATCATAATTTTCAATATCAAAATAAGAATTCATTTCAATCGGAGCTGAAAACGAACAAATTTTCTGATGCGTCTCCAAATCAAAACAATAAATTTGGTTCATGACAAGGGCTAGAATACAATGACAAGCATGCGATACTCTCACATCAAACACTCCCGATATGGATATCGAGGCTTCATGATCAAAATTCAATGAGAAGGGAATTTTCTTCAGTTTTTTCTGAGTGCTCATCTTGGCGAAAAACTTGGAACAGAGATGATTCCATTCATTATTTTGTGGATGGAGTGGGGTTGTTTTCCGAAGAGATCATGGAGAAGAATTCTCACCGTGGGCTCCTCTTCTTGTTGATGATGAAAATCATTGTTTTGCATTTTTTTGGAAGGTTGTTTTTGAAATGAGGTTTTAATGTTTGATTAGTGACATTCTCCCACATGCTTTCTTGTGTAAAAATCTCTGTAGCACTACTCTATGTATTAATAAAATCAATCTGTATGTCATAAAGTTTGACTTGTCATATTTCGTAACCTAGCTAGCTTTATATTTCTTGGCATATGACCAGAAATAGTGGTTTTTGTTCCTCAGCAAATTCTTCCTCAAAATTATCTTGCATCCAAGTCGATGCGAGAATGAACTCATTGACTTTGACACACAATAATCACACTGTTGAAGACATTCATTTGGATGCATATAATTTTTGGTGAATACGTGTTTGGCTATAAAGATCCCTAGATTGTACAGAAATTCTTTTAAACTACTTGAATATATCGATTCGATGGCTATGAGAGATGGATGGAGTGGAGATGATTGAAATTTGGAACTCCACGAAATTGAAGGCAAAAAGTAAATTTTTTGTAAATTTAAAGGCTGGCTTCTATTGAATGTTTGAATGTGTTGAACTCCACACATTTCGCAAATTATTGGTATCAATTTTTTCGAATTGTGGCTGTTGTTGCTGAAGTTGCTGTAATTGCTATCTATTCGAGCAATCATCCATCCTGGAAATTGGCTGTGTTCTTGGATGGTGGATTTGTTCCGCTCATTGAAACATTTAAGCCCTTTACTTAATTCAAAACACGTCATGTTACCTAACGTTCATCTTTGAGATCAACTAAAACTTGGAACTGTTACACGAACTTTTGTGTTCATGTGATCTTTATTTCTGTGTAACAACACCATTTTTTGACAAATCAAACCAGTTTCCCAATTAGAATTTTACCATTTTGAATATTTCTAAAAAACGATAAAACCACTTTGATCATAACAATCGAAATCAAACAAAAAACTATGAACTACAAGACCAACAACAAACTTTACTTTATTGCACGTGCTGCAAGTGCTTGTCTCTTACTTGTTCTAACTTTGGCTGTCATTGCTGTCGGTTGTCATAAAGAAGAAATTAAGGCACAAACTGTCATTCCTCAACATTTTTTCTATCCCAAGTGTAAACGGTTCTTTTGTCACAAATGGTGTAGATATGGCTATTTGAGAGATCATTGTGGTTGCCAACGAGGTTGTAGATGTCTTCGTAGGCCATGTAGAAATATCTTCTGTCATAAACATTGTAGATTTGGATTCAAGAGAGATGGTTGGGGTTGTCCAATCTGTCGATGTCACAAAAGACCCTGCAAATCTTGGTATACAATCTCTTCTCGTTAAATGAGGGCTGTCAGAATCATGAGCCTGATCCCACGGATCAAGAGCCGATCAAAAAATCAAGGATCAAGTCTTGAATGGTTTTTGTTCGTGGATTCCACAAGCTGACAATAATGAGTTGCTAATGAACTGATATGACAACTCTATTAAATACATGAATGGTCCTGTCATAACTAGTCTCTTGCTGTGGAATTTCCATTTCATTGGTTTAAAATTCAATCATGCAGGACCAACTTTTGAAAAGGTGTGCAGTGTTGAACAATAAAAATCTTCCTTTTAAAACTGCTGGTGCAATAATCTTTGCAATAGATTGATAATCATTTAATTTAACATTATTATTGTACCTTTGAGACACTTTAATCCATTATCCATTTTACACAAATCTGGATTGAGGTCTTCTATAAGGTGTCACCTTCATGACAGTTGGCACCACAATAGCAACTACGATTCCAATCACTCCAATGCATACCAGGGTAGTGAAAACGGTCAACATGATCACCTTTGAAAAGTGAGAAAATCTTCGAGCCCTTTCACTTGTTGAGTTTCTAAATTTCTGTGCAATTGCAATGAAGGGAAAACAACTACAGCACCAACATCCACAAACACACAAGAGAATTCCCATGAGAACTGCCCAAGTGAATTCCTTCTCTGCCTTATATCCTTCCGGATCCAACTCGTGGACAGAGTGAATGGTATTTCTCATGCCATAAGGTTGTCCCTCTTCACTGGTCATATTCTCAATAAAGACTGTTTTACTTTGCATGGAAGAGGAATTCAAATTCGTTGCCGGATGAATATCATGAATAGAAGTCTTATTTTCCTGGCCCGAGGTGTAATACAAGCCTGATCCGGTCTGGTTCGCTGCTGAAGTCATTGCCTTCGCCGAAGAGGTCGTTGTTGGATTGGCACTCGTTTCTGAGGCCGACATGGGCGATACATGTTTCGTGTACGAAGCAGAGTCTCCAATTGGAGTCGTGCTGATCAAACAACGATTCGAGGATGGTTCCTCATTGTAGGCAATCGAGACATTTTGTGGTGGTGATTGTACGAGTTGGGCATAAGAGGGCTGTAAATTTTCATGAGCGGGATGTGAGAGAAAAATTTGTTGTTGTCCTTGCGAAGGAGGACCTGGAAGTTGTTGTTGGGCTTGCGAGGAGAGTTGAGAAGGACCCGTGGATGATGAAGAAGGTAAATATTTGAGTTGAATGGATTCTTCGGTTGGGGAGAAGGCGTCTGTGGAATGGTCGGTGTTGGAGAGATTACGGAACACTGAAGAAGGTTTTAAATTGGTTGGAACGTCATAGGAGGATCGATTCATGGTGGTGGAGTTAACGTTGTTGTTGTTGTTTGTTCGTGTGGTTGAAGTGCCTCCGTTGGTTCTTGCTCCTCCTCGGTCGCTCGATGAAGAAGTGGTGCCTGTTTGTGCTGTTTGAGGGATATAATTCACGGAAGGATGCTCTTGAGGTTTGCCTGGAACTTTATTGATCGGAAGTTGATAAGCCAAAGGTTCATCGAGTTGAGGGTGAGGATATTGCTCATAGGTTCGTGGTTGAACGTTGGTATTGTTGTAGGAAGGAACAACTTGGTTTTGTGAGAGTGAGTGGAACATCTTGGTGTGTATGATGATGATGGTAAATGCAGGTATTTGTCGAGTTGTTTCTTGACGATCGTGATTTCGTTCAACGTACAGAAAGTCACCTCAACTTGAGCCAATTTGTTTAATACGTAATTTTGAACACTGCGACTCTTGTTGAAAATCAAAAGATGTAAATGTTCAATTGGAAAAAGGACTAAATTCTTTGAGACCCGAATGTTTCCTCCTTGTGAATATGTTTGTTGGATATAGAGAATTTCTTATTTAGGTGATGGTGAGAATTTAAAGAAAGTTGGTCACGGGGATATTTTCTTGTATAATTGAGACATGTAATTGAAACATTTAACCATTCAATTTTATATTGATGAGTTGTTTGAATGTATTACCTCGAAGGAAATGCCATGTCAGAAATGAGGGGAAGAAGATAATCTATTTGAAAATAATGTATTTTCGCGTCAACTAGGTTCTGTTGTATTATTTGCTTAATGCTTTGAAAACCCCTGTTGCAAATAACACAATGACCACAACCAAAGCTGCTATTAAGAACAGAACCAGATCACCCAACAAAATTAGAAGAATTATCCACTTGCTTCGACTCACATATTGCTGCACCTTCTCACTTTGAGAAGAATGATATTTTGCATAAATTACAACAAATGGAATGAAAGAAAAGAATCCTAAACAAAAAAACGAGAGCATGGCCGTAATGAGTAGAGCTAAATGATACGACGATTTTGCATTGTTCGCTTCGACATCAATAATAGGTTTTGACACAATGACGACGTCGAGTGGCACAGAGGTTGCTGGGAATGAGAAATCTTTTTCAAACCTTTCACCTTCAACGAGAGTTTGAGTTCCTTTGTCACCACTGCTCACTTTACTTGATGTTGTAATGCTTTTGAATGAGGACAAATTATCCACGGTAAGTGTAGAACTGGCCGGTATTTGATTGGTCGATTGCGCTACCCTCACACTTGAAGTGGAGGGCAATCCAGGTGAAGCTGTTGGGGTTGCATCGAGTGGAGAGTCTTTTGAATCTGTTGATGATGGGTTTCCCGAATTTGCGGTTGATACATTGGAAATGGAGACTCGTTTTTTGCGACTCGCAGTGCTGTGATGCCGTTTCAGCTCGGGTGATTTGCTTGCTTGTTGGAACAAGTTCGAGTTTTTGGTTTGTTGTGGTGACTTGGTGGTGGTTTCTGCAAAACTGATGTGTTTCTCCCAAGACATTTTATTTGCATCATGCAGGAAAAAGGCGCACAATAGCAGCATCCACTTGGAGACACAAAAAGAGTTTATCCAAAATAAGGAGCATCAAATAAGGTCAACAAGAAAAATGGTAACAAGGTAGCAAAAAACTTCTGGAGATCCACTGAACTTCAAAAAAATTCATTGCAAGGAACTCTGAAAAGGTACTTGTGAGAGATTGAATACATCAACCCTTTAATTTACAATTTTGTGTTGTCACTACTGTTGCGTCATGAATTGCTTCTGTTGAGCCAAAAATTGAATCACTTCTGGATAATGTTCTTTAAATCTCTCAAAAATGTCTTTCATGTTGGTCAAGCAATGCATTTTGATAAATTTCAATTGAGTCTTTTCGAGAACTTCCTTCTTTTCCAAAATTAATTTCAATTCCTCGACTCGAGCTTCTTTTTTAGGAATATTCAATTCAAGTGGAGAATTCTCATAGAGATAATTAATGAGAATGAAAGAGGCCATTTTTCTACGCCCTGATGCACTTTTCATTCTCTCAAAAATTACAATATCTTTATAGCATAGAATATTTTCTGGACAATAGGACATTCTTGCAAATTCTAATAATTGGCCACATAATTTCTTATTTCGTAACACTTTCTCAATATCGGTAATTTCTGCAAGTTGAGTTTTCTTATAATCTGAAATGAAGGCATAGCAAAGAGGTAAAACAACACAGATGAACACATCAACGAGCGTGAGTGTTGTCATGATGTTTCCCGATGGAAAAATGAACTCCAACAAAGTTGCTGTCAAATGTCATTTTGCATAAATGTTTCATCCGCCATGGTGCATGGACATGAATTTTACAAAATAATAAAAATTAATTCACAAGTAAAAGAATATAAATAATTCAATTGCATCATTATTGTGGTGTCGCATTATCACAGTGTGCACCGTCATGCAATGTATATTAGAAACACACAATTCCCAAAATCAAAAAAAATTGACTTACCATATCCATTAATTAGGGAGCATCCATAAGCAATCACAAAAAGCACTTGAAAAACCACGGCCACAAAGGTCTCTATCTTGATTCTCCAAGTGTCCTTATCTGCAAACATACACAACCCCAACGTTACAATTTCCAATAAAATATACACTCCAGCTTGAGACACAATTATTCCAACCCCTTTCGCATTCGTAATACATCCATGTGAAAATAAAAACAATCCTCCGTCATCGACAATGACACTTTGATATGGATTGGTTGTGTGAATTCCCTCCTCGATGGCTCCCAATAAAATCCACAAACCCAAAGAACATGAAATGCATATCGAATAGAGAAGAAGTGTAAATTTGTGACTTGAAACGAATTGCAAAATTCTTAAATGACGTAACTCCTTGTCATCTAAAGAGTAAGGTTCATAATTGGAAGCAATTTCAGAGACAGAATCAAAGGAATCCGAAATGGAATCATTCCAAGAGAATTCATTGTTATTGAGACCACTGAGAGGATGCGGAAGATTTGCATGATGATCTGTTGTTGTTGATTCCTGTTGTTGTGGTTCCTGTTCTACCCTTTCAGTGGTTGTTATTTGAAATTTGACAGAACGAGGAGTGGCTGTGTGAACCTCAGAATGAAGATGGACTTGTGCCCCATTGTTGTTGTTGTTGTGGTTATTCATGGTCGTATTAATAATAGCGGAAGACTTGTTGATTGCATTGGTCTTTTGAGGGTGTTTCAATTTTTCCGAGAAGGGATGAAAGGTAGAAAGAGAAGTCGAATTTCTCCTCCGAAGAGTCTTGAGCAAATTCAACTTGTACATGACAAACAATCTCAACGAACGCAGCATGGTGGGCAAAGTCACCAATGGTTGCGTTAAAAACCAAGTCAATGAAAACAAGGCACACGGAAAGACCTTTCTCCCCACAAGATATCGAATGGAGGAAATGAACACGAATGCCAAACTCGACAAGAGAGTGGACATCATCATGAAAGGAGTTCGGGCCACCACATGTCCACTCTTTCTCTTGAACAGAATAGCCAATGCACATGCAGCAGTCAAGATCACAGAAATGAAGAGTATGAGACTTGTGAAGAGAGGAACGAGAAAGCTGTCGGGGCAAATGGAGTATTCGTAGGTGGGATTGGATTCGACACTGAAAGAAGGATTGAAGAGCATGGGATGACAACGAGTGCCATTCAAGAGTGGCGAAGAGTTGTTGGAATTTTGTGGCTGTTCTTCGAAGAGAATTGAAATTGGAAAAAGATGATTCGCGTTGTTGGTGGTTGTCGAAAACAATTGAAACAGGGAAAAAGACCAAAAAGATGATTCATTAGGTGGCATTCTTGTGAGTGTTTGAGCTGTTTTTTGTTGGCCAATGAGCCTTTGATGTTGGAAAGTCAGGGCTCAGAATGTCACTGCCATGCACTTTTTTGGTGTCGGTCTTGCGAATGATTCGCTCTCTACCGGTAGATTATCCTTCTTGACCCACCTAATGAATCAAGATGACCTTTGGGTTTGATGTACGGTTTTTGTTTTATGTATTTAAAAGCACTTTAAGTCCAATTGGAGAGTTTTCTAATTGTCATTCGTTCAACAACCTTCTGAAAGAATGTTAAATTTTGAATGATGAATAGTTTTTTGTTGCAAGTTGCCAGTCCACAATCATCCAATTCTTTCCTTAAACTTCATTGGAATGCGTTCAACAGACGCAAATATTACACAATTCGTATGAGTCGTAATTATGAGATTTTAAAGTCACACCTATTCCATTAATTTTCGATAACGTTTTCTTAGAGCCTTCACAACAGCAGCAAATATTTTCTCTTTTGGTATTCCAATTTGACAATGATTTACATTTGTTGTTGTTGTTTGTGAATCAACGACGACTGTGAAAGATTTCTCTCCAAATAATTCCATCATGTCCATCACTTGAACATTGGGTAAGGCAAAAAGTCGATAAAAGGCATTTGAAGTCATGACCGAATTTTCTGAATTGCAAGATGGTGCAAGTAACATGGTAGTTTCTCTTCTCATGAACATGGAAAAATAGGCAATGCTACTCAATGGATCTGAAATTAAAACGTCCACATCGGTGATGGTTTTCACGAGAGAAGGAATGTCCGTTGTGGAATCGTCTGAATTTAACACTCGAATTTGTAGAGATTTTTTGTAACCTGCGTTCGAAAGTAATTGTTTTCCAATAAATACTTCTTGTGATAAATATTGTTGAAGAAATGCAACTAATTCGTCGACATTAGAAATGGAGGTCGTTGGTGAGTTGTTTTGTTTGTGATTGGACTTGACAATGCCAATAACAATTTGTTTCTTCAAGGTATATTCGAATTCCAATGCTTCCAATTCCTTTGAATTTTTGAATTTTTGACTTTGGTAAGGGAAAATCTTCAAGTTCTTGTAAACGAGTTCTCGAAGTTCCATGAACAGACCTTCTTTGCCATATGGATAAAGTAATAAATTACTGATGGAATGACCCATGTGAATATTTGAAAAACATGCTTGTAAAACAATAGATGAGTTTGACATTGAATTCGATGTAGAGGCAGATTCTTCATTACTATTAGGAGTGTTAGGAAATGTTGTTGCAAAGTTTGTCTGTGAAGGTGCCACATCGAATGCTGGAATGGGAGGTTTTTGTTGAAAATTTTTGAAATTTTCACATGGTGCTTTGTCAACTTTCCAAACTCCATCTTTAAAGCACAATTCTAGAATTGGATTGATGCTTATTAAGCTGGCACTCGCAATAGATTCTCTATTTGCAATTTCCACTGGTTGATGAAATGTTCCAAGCCAATTGGAGTTTCTCTTTGTCGTGTCATATAAATTGTCGAGAAAGAGAATGTGATTATTTTCCAAGCGAGTTTGTTGACTGCTGTCAGCTCTAAAATTTGTCATTAATCCCATAATCATTGGAAGTGTTTCTGATAATAAGTGTGTTCGATTTGCGGCGTGGTATCGTTTCAAAGCATAGACTGGTTTCTTGTACAATTTAAAATCTTTGGCTATTTCAATCGGAATTTTGGATACTTGTTCAAGGCGATGAGAGAGTGATTGTTTTTCGGGGTTGTGATGATGAGCTGTCACTTGTCATAGAGGACCGTACCACATAGGCACTTTTAACATCTTTACCCTCATATTGCAACATTAAATCTCCATCGATTAGTTTCATGTACAAATAGCCTCTCTCCGAATGAACAGTGGATCCCTGAACATAGACCCAAGGTTTCGAATTTAACATATCGACATTAGGTCCAATTCTCTCACTAGGTTCAAACAACACGAATTCACCTTTCGAAGTCAAACATAAATTTTCAATTTTACAAGTGGCCATATACGAGTCCGGAATGTATGGAAAAGGTTCTGCATTCGGAACCAAAATAGGAGCAAATCCATAACTTGCATATTGATTGCATCGATGATTTCCAATCAATAATTTGTTAAAAGTTCGTTTTTGTTGAGAAGCGAAAAAGAAAGAAAAAGTTAGTGATAAACTGATTGTCATCATACAAAGTAGCATCAGTAGGACGTGATGGTGGACTTGTCCTTTCATTTTTGAAATGATGATGTATGGAAACATTTTTTTCTTTGAAACGTCAGTTGCCAAAAAAATGTCTTCATTGCAATCCTCTTTAAGAAAAGGCAAATCCAGACAACTCCTTCTGTGTTTGTTGAGCTCTCTACTATTGATGCTGTCCATCTTCCGTTCGCATACTTTTCATTCAGCTCCCTTTCATCATGGCCACGAAAATTATTTTGCAATTTCATGTGAAAAGATTTCAACAATTTCAATTCAACAACAACATTCAACTCAAAAACTGCCACCCTATGAATCTTTCACATTCAAGCAACGTTTAGATCATTTTGATTTTAGCAATGATCAAACTTTTTCTCAACGATATTTTGTGTTCTGAATATATCAAGAAAAATGTTAAGCGGAATTTAAGTTTGGGTTTGGGTTTGGGTTTGGGTTTGGGTTTGGGTTTGGGTTTGGGTTTGGGTTTGGGTTTGGGTTTGGGTTTGGGTTTGGGTTTGGGTTTGGGTTTGGGTTTGGGTTTGGGTTTGGGTTTGGGTTTGGGTTTGGGTTTGGGTTTGGGTTTGGGTTTGGGTTTGGGTTTGGGTTTGGGTTTGGGTTTGGGTTTGGGTTTGGGTTTGGGTTTGGGTTTGGGTTTGGGTTTGGGTTTGGGTTTGGGTTTGGGTTTGGGTTTGGGTTTGGGTTTGGGTTTGGGTTTGGGTTTGGGTTTGGGTTTGGGTTTGGGTTTGGGTTTGGGTTTGGGTTTGGGTTTGGGTTTGGGTTTGGGTTTGGGTTTGGGTTTGGGTTTGGGTTTGGGTTTGGGTTTGGGTTTGGGTTTGGGTTTGGGTTTGGGTTTGGGTTTGGGTTTGGGTTTGGGTTTGGGTTTGGGTTTGGGTTTGGGTTTGGGTTTGGGTTTGGGTTTGGGTTTGGGTTTGGGTTTGGGTTTGGGTTTGGGTTTGGGTTTGGGTTTGGGTTTGGGTTTGGGTTTGGGTTTGGGTTTGGGTTTGGGTTTGGGTTTGGGTTTGGGTTTGGGTTTGGGTTTGGGTTTGGGTTTGGGTTTGGGTTTGGGTTTGGGTTTGGGTTTGGGTTTGGGTTTGGGTTTGGGTTTGGGTTTGGGTTTGGGTTTGGGTTTGGGTTTGGGTTTGGGTTTGGGTTTGGGTTTGGGTTTGGGTTTGGGTTTGGGTTTGGGTTTGGGTTTGGGTTTGGGTTTGGGTTTGGGTTTGGGTTTGGGTTTGGGTTTGGGTTTGGGTTTGGGTTTGGGTTTGGGTTTGGGTTTGGGTTTGGGTTTGGGTTTGGGTTTGGGTTTGGGTTTGGGTTTGGGTTTGGGTTTGGGTTTGGGTTTGGGTTTGGGTTTGGGTTTGGGTTTGGGTTTGGGTTTGGGTTTGGGTTTGGGTTTGGGTTTGGGTTTGGGTTTGGGTTTGGGTTTGGGTTTGGGTTTGGGTTTGGGTTTGGGTTTGGGTTTGGGTTTGGGTTTGGGTTTGGGTTTGGGTTTGGGTTTGGGTTTGGGTTTGGGTTTGGGTTTGGGTTTGGGTTTGGGTTTGGGTTTGGGTTTGGGTTTGGGTTTGGGTTTGGGTTTGGGTTTGGGTTTGGGTTTGGGTTTGGGTTTGGGTTTGGGTTTGGGTTTGGGTTTGGGTTTGGGTTTGGGTTTGGGTTTGGGTTTGGGTTTGGGTTTGGGTTTGGGTTTGGGTTTGGGTTTGGGTTTGGGTTTGGGTTTGGGTTTGGGTTTGGGTTTGGGTTTGGGTTTGGGTTTGGGTTTGGGTTTGGGTTTGGGTTTGGGTTTGGGTTTGGGTTTGGGTTTGGGTTTGGGTTTGGGTTTGGGTTTGGGTTTGGGTTTGGGTTTGGGTTTGGGTTTGGGTTTGGGTTTGGGTTTGGGTTTGGGTTTGGGTTTGGGTTTGGGTTTGGGTTTGGGTTTGGGTTTGGGTTTGGGTTTGGGTTTGGGTTTGGGTTTGGGTTTGGGTTTGGGTTTGGGTTTGGGTTTGGGTTTGGGTTTGGGTTTGGGTTTGGGTTTGGGTTTGGGTTTGGGTTTGGGTTTGGGTTTGGGTTTGGGTTTGGGTTTGGGTTTGGGTTTGGGTTTGGGTTTGGGTTTGGGTTTGGGTTTGGGTTTGGGTTTGGGTTTGGGTTTGGGTTTGGGTTTGGGTTTGGGTTTGGGTTTGGGTTTGGGTTTGGGTTTGGGTTTGGGTTTGGGTTTGGGTTTGGGTTTGGGTTTGGGTTTGGGTTTGGGTTTGGGTTTGGGTTTGGGTTTGGGTTTTGGGTTTGGGTTTGGGTTTGGGTTTGGGTTTGGGTTTGGGTTTGGGTTTGGGTTTGGGTTTGGGTTTGGGTTTGGGTTTTGGGTTTGGGTTTGGGTTTGGGTTTGGGTTTGGGTTTGGGTTTGGGTTTGGGTTTGGGTTTGGGTTTGGGTTTGGGTTTGGGTTTGGGTTTGGGTTTTGGGTTTGGGTTTTGGGTTTGGGTTTGGGTTTGGGTTTGGGTTTGGGTTTGGGTTTGGGTTTGGGTTTGGGTTTGGGTTTGGGTTTGGGTTTGGGTTTGGGTTTGGGTTTGGGTTTGGGTTTGGGTTTGGGTTTGGGTTTGGGTTTGGGTTTGGGTTTGGGTTTGGGTTTGGGTTTGGGTTTGGGTTTGGGTTTGGGTTTGGGTTTGGGTTTGGGTTTGGGTTTGGGTTTGGGTTTGGGTTTGGGTTTGGGTTTGGGTTTGGGTTTGGGTTTGGGTTTGGGTTTGGGTTTTGGGTTTTGGGTTTGGGTTTGGGTTTGGGTTTGGGTTTGGGTTTGGGTTTGGGTTTTGGGTTTTGGGTTTGGGTTTGGGTTTGGGTTTGGGTTTGGGTTTTGGGTTTTGGGTTTGGGTTTGGGTTTGGGTTTGGGTTTGGGTTTGGGTTTTGGGTTTGGGTTTGGGTTTGGGTTTGGGTTTGGGTTTGGGTTTGGGTTTGGGTTTGGGTTTGGGTTTGGGTTTGGGTTGGGTTTGGGTTTGGGTTGGGTTTGGAG